TTTGTCTTTCTTTTTTTTTCGGTCTTTTTGTCTGATGTATGATTGATTGATTAGGTATGACTTTTAATATATGAAACTTTTTTGTGAGGCGTTTCTTTTACTCTAATTAATCATCACGCCCAGTTGATGTGCATCTTGGCATTAGTCCCGGTATTAGCCTTTGTATTTTCGGTTTCGTTTTTGATTTTTCCCTTTTGTTTATGTCAAGGGTATTTTGGGAGATTTATGTTGTTTCTTTGTTTTTCTTTTTCTTTTTGTGTTATTTATTTTCTCGTGTAAGGAAGAGGGTCTTTAATACACCAAACCAACTTCTCATACTGCCTCGGCTCGGAAAAGCCGAGGGAGAGAATGTCTAGTCTCACCGGGGAGGAGGGCGCTCATTCCTCCCAAAAGCTTACAAACTCACCCTCCATCTGGACGCACCGTTGCCTGCAGTTTCAGCGGGATTAAGCAGCAAGGTTGATGACCTTAACTTCTTTTAGGGGCCGGTTAGCGTGCGGGTGCAGAAGACCAAAAGGGAATCTCCCCCTGACGGCAAACTCTACCGGGGCGCCGGCGGCCGACTGTCCACCGATCATGGATCCCTCATGGATCCTGGATGGATCATGGATCACTTTATTCACTGGGCTTTGCCGTATCGACTCACCCGCTATTCCGATCTCCCTCTTTGGTTCAGCCAGTGGACTGCCAGCCCTGCCATACAGAGGCACGAACCGCAATCTATTATTTTCCGAAGACAGTACTCCGTACACAGGGCAATCTACATATGAGTAGTATGAAATGAGGATGAATGAGTATTGCCTGTTGAGTAGCACTCTTTTCATTACGCAGTTGGTCGCTCCCTGCTCCCTGCTCCCTGCTCACTGCTCCTCCATCATAGGTCGATAAACTGTGACGTATACGTACCAAGCATTCCTCATCTTCGATTTTTCCTCTTCCACGTGGAAAACTCACAACCACGTTTCAAAAAAAAAAAGCATGGTGCTTCCTTGTCCTCGGTCGTTTCACCATCTCATCCCCCAAAGTTCCCAAGAACGAGAATCAGAAACACTGGTCTATAACAGGGGTCAGCTTCTAGAACCAACCAAAACGGTCATCCACCTAGTACTGAGTACTGTGTGACTGTACAGAGTACCCTCCGGTATATCCCGGCGGTAAATCCCGGGTGATCGATGTGGTTTACCATTGGGCTACCATTGGACCTGCACTTTTCGATCGACGGCGGAGTCGACCCAAGTTAAAGTACATTCCAGCCAGTCCGCCTAAGCTTGTCGTTCCAAAAGGCCCCAAAATTCCACCTCCACCTGGGCGGGGAATCTTTGGGTCCGTGGTTAATCCTCTTCCCATGCGTCCGCGTCCTATCAATTTCATTCATTTCATGAGGTCACTCCGGGGTCACTTTCTTCACTTTCCTTCCCTCCCGTGGCTCACTGGCCTCCCTTCAACTTCCAGGGAACCTTCACTCAACGGCTTTGTGATCCTTCTAGACGTGTTGTCAGCCTAGACTATTTCCCAATTTTCGATGGAGACTATACCCATTTCTTTAATGATCTAACCTCTATACGGTGATCAACTCTTCATTTTACCTCATCGGAACGGGGGACCGTTATACTACGGAGTCTAACCCACTGCTCAATCTTCCTTCTCCCCCCCCCTCTCTCCCTCCCCACCTCTCCGGTCACTCCTGCTGCCACTGCCAGGTGCAAGAACAATATTATTAAACTAACGGGTCATCGAGGTCAACCTAGTGTCCAAAACCCGCTGCCCACTAATACTATTTGCATATAGCCTAAGAGCCTACCCTTACCGACTAAACCGTGATTCGTGTTGTGCCCTTCTCCGGATCTTCTTCATTAACTAGCTACGTACTACTACTTCTCATCTCATCTCATCTCATCTCGCATCCGCTCCATCCCGCCCCGTGCCCGACAGAGCCGCTGCAGCATCCGGCCAAGCCACATTTTGCTGGGTCCGTAGTATGCGAGCGCCGCCTGGTCACTGTCGGGAGAAAAGCGACCAGCGTGCAGTTTTCCAGGGTCCACGCCCACAAAGCATGGAAAGGCTCAACAAGCTCGATTTGCATTCATGGACCAACGAACCCGCCTGCGGAAGGCGTGCGATGCCTGCAGCATTCGGAAAGTAAAGGTACATCCATACACCTACTGGTCCGATGTTCGATTTTGTATTTGGCAAGAGGTCGATTATGCTGATTTGCGTTGGGATTGACCACAGTGTGACACCAGCGGACCACCCTGTCGGTCATGCGCAAGCTTGGACATCCCCTGCACGTATGAGCGGCCAAGCCGTCGTCGGGGACCGCCAAACCGGCATGCTGAAGCTTTCAAGAAGCGAAAACTCGCTGAATCTCCCTCGGGTTCTCCAAGCCCATCGGATGCAACCTCGCCTATTCCCCCAACCCCTGGGGGAGGCGGCATCCCACCCTCACTTCCCTATCCCGCATCACTGGAAGCCATTTGTTCGATGCCCACCATTCGGCTGCTGATTGATGACTATTTCACCTATATTCACCCCTTAGTTCCGATCCCTCATGAGCCCACGTTCCGCGCCGCGCTGGAGCGGCGAGAGGATCTTACCAATCGCACCTTTCTGGCCCTCGCGGCCGCCATGATCGGGACGTCGGTCGCGTCTTTCCCTCGGAGGCCGAAGCGTCATCTGACGACAGATGCCGAGAAGGCGGCGTTCCCGCACTCTATGGCACTGGTCAAACGGTGCCACGAGGTAGCCGTTCAGGCCCGAGGTACCGGATACCTCGATCGGACCGCGACCGTGTATGATGCCGCCCTCAGCTACCTTCTCGGCCTCTGCTCCTGCTACGCTTGGCATATTCGACGATGCCGTGTATATTTTGCCGAATGCCTCACCATGCTCCATGTGTATGACCTTTACCGCCACTCGAATCGGCTGTCCTATGTCACCATCTCCAGTCCCCAGTCTGCCTCGTCGCGTCTCTCTCAGGAACCCAACGGTAGCTCCGCAGAAGCCCAAGTCAACATTATCGAGCGGGAACTGGGACGGCGGTTGTTTTACGTCGTCCTTGTCGGTTATCGCACGATGCAGCAGTTGGGCGGTGGCGACACCATCATTCATGTCCCCCCTGAGACCCCGACAGAACGCTATCCTCCTCTCCCGCTTGAAGTCGACGACGAGTTTATCTATGCCACACACTTTGATCCCCAGCCGTCCGATCGCGTGTCGCGCTTGGTGGGGTTTATTGCCAACATCCGCGTGATGAGCTCCTACAATCAGCTCTCGGCTTGGGAGACGGCCTTTGGAAGCGGCCAGATTCTGGAATGGGAGCGGCAACGCTCTCTTCTGTGTCAGTGCCTGCAGAATGCCAAGATGGCCTTCAATGAGCTTCCACGGGAGCTGGTGATAGGGGGAATCCATAGCCCAGCATCCACCAGTGGACAAGATAGCCCTAGCCCACTGTCCAGCACGAATGACCCGCGATCTTATAAACGTCACATACAGTATGAGATCCAGAAGGCGAACATATATGCCAGTCAGCTTGCTGTACGGTCTTATCTGGTGGAGAAATACTGGTCCTTGTACGGCGCTGTGAAGATGCACCAAAAGCCGACCGAGCAGCATCCTTCTGGCAGTCCTTCGGTGGCTGTCAAGACTGAAGGGGGCCAACCGCATACCCAGGCGGCCATGGACGCGGATGCCCAGTCCGACTACATCGGAAGGACTATGGCTGAAGAAAGACGACTCGTGATTCGGGACTTGTTCGCATTACTGCAATCGGTCAATGAGGTTAATATGGAGCCTAACGGCGCGAGCTTTGTAAGTGTTCCCCCTCTTTCCTTTCCCGTCACAGCTCAAACAAATACTCATCGGCTATTGGAAACAGACGGCGAAAGTGCGCCAGGTTGCGTCAACCCTCCTGAATTTTTCGAATCCGAATGCCACCTCCACGATAAGCGGACCACAACCCCTCACCAGCGCCGAAGTCGAGTCATACCTCCGTGCCTTTATTGACACACTCATGCGCCTCGAAGGCTTCGGGTCGACCGATTCGAGCAAGGCTCGACAACAACCAGACGTGTCCGGACGGTCCATGAGTTATCTAAGCGACCACGACCGGGACGAAGAGGAGCTGCGGCAGTGGGCCGGCATCAAGGAATATCAGGCCAGGTTCGCCGAAGAAGGGGGGATGGCTTTTCAACTATAGAGTTTTCTTGCGTTGTTTGTCCTTGACTAGCACTGTTTGGTGATTGATTGAGATGTTTTTCGTTTTTAGCATGTTGTGTCCAGCGGAGTTCGGTGGAGTTTTCCTTGAACTGATTTCTAGGGGGTTGATCGGGTTGTATGTCTGTCTGTCTGAATTAGCGGCCTGCTTGTTGACATGTTTACTTGTGCATATGCATGGGGTGTTTGTAATAGTATGGACCAATTATTGGGTGGTGTGGCTGTGTGCTCACATTCTTTGTTGTTTGGCTGGGTTTGGGACAGTTGTGTTTACGTTTGGATGCATATACAAGTACAGATACACCGTGGCTCATACTCTATAACTTAAGAGAAAGTATCGACCGTCAAAACTGCCCGTGTTTCCTCATAATCTCGCTAAGTACGTATTCATCGCCTCAGGCGCAGGAAAATTACCCGAGCGTTGGCAATTGGAAACCTAGCCTAGCTTATCGATAAGCAAAAGGCGGTCAACGGCCGCCTATAAGAACGAAAAATTCTCCCCCCTCCGACCTCTTTCTTTTCTTCTTCATACATATACTGATCACTCCTCCCTATTCACTTCGAGAATCCTTTCCTCCGTGGGTTCTTGAAGGGGAAATGGGAGGTCAGAGCAACCTCTGCTGACTTACCCCGGACTCTTCTCTCTACCTTTGGCGTGGAGCGTTTGGAAATTACTACAGCGGGACATTCACCTCACCTTTTTTTTCCATTGCCTTTTTTGCCTTTTGGTTTTGGCTTGGGCTTGACACAGAAGGAAGAAGGGGACTAAATAAAAAACATCGTGCATTTTATTGGTAGCCTTTAATTATGTCGACGCACTCGGCCAGCCGACGTATTGTCGCCGTAGGCTTGACCTCGGGCAGTGCTCGGTCGGACCACCCCGCCTGGTTCTGGTCGCGATCGACCCAGATCGTGTTCAGGCCTGCACTGCTCGCGCCGGCGATATCGAATGGATTCGCACTGATGAGCCAGATCGTCGCTGTGCTGCTGCTGCTGCTGCTGCTGCTGCTGCTGCCGCCGCCGCCGCCGCCCGTGCCGGCTACTTGCTCCCGCAGGTGACTGTAGGCCGCCGGGGCGGGCTTATATTGTTGTAGGGGATGCACACTGATGATCTCCATGTTCTGTAGTTGCAGCTGCAGCAGCAGCTGCGGCGGTGCGTGGCTGAGACAGGCGCGGACCATGTCCACGGTCCCGTTGGAGAACACAACCGGCCTGATCCGCGCGGTGGCGCTTATCTTCCGGAGGGCTTCTTCGACGTCCGGAAAGGGTTGGAGGCGATCGTAGGCCGCGAGAACCCCGTCGATGGCCGGCTCGTCCAGGGAGGATCCGGTGTCGTCGAGCGCGTGCAACAGAGCGTTGCGAGTGACTTCGTCGAAGGGGAGATAGCGTCCTGCAGTCGTGGGTGGGTTCTTAGATCGGTTTGCTTCGGACAGTATTATTCCTAGTAGTGCATGGGGCAGGGATCAATGATGAATGGAGGTCTCGTACCCATGCTGTTCAGCCGCCAGGTGTACTCCAGCTGGTAGCGTCGCCATGTCTGGGCCACGGTGCGCGCGCGCTGGGCGTCTCCCCGGAAGTGCTGCTCCAGCTCGTGCGTGGCCGTTTCAAGGGAGAGCAGGGTCCCGTAGATGTCGAAGGCGACCACCACTTCTGCCATGGTGGGTTGCTGATGAGGATTGCAAGAATGCAGGAGGGATTTCATTCAGTTCAGAGTTCAGGAATGTTGGAGTAGTAGAAGTGTGAGAACAAGCAGCCTCCCGCCGCGGATACCAAACCCCACAATTTGATGATGTCAAACCACCTTCATCGCATTTCCGCCGTCGCCGCCACCTCTTTTTTTTTTTGTTCTGTACAGTACAACCTTGGCTTCTACTTCTAGTTTCCAGCATCGATGACCTCCTTCCTCAGCACAGAAAACTACCAGGTCTTCCGCGAGTGCCTGTCCACGGCTATCGTGGAGAGATTCTCCGCCCCCGCGCAGCCCAAGAAAGCTCGGCGCACTCGCGGCGCCGTGTCGCAGCGCCAGAAGACGCGCAAGGAGACTGCGGGGACTTCCGCTGCTGCTGCTGACGCCTCGCAATGTCTCCCTGACCGTGCGAGTCCGGAGGAATTGGCCGAGTTTATTGATGTACGTGGACTTGTGGATTGGTGTTTGCTTTCCAGTAGCACGCTCTGTTGCATGTTGCATACCCAGACTCACTCCACGCCCCGCGGGTACTCCATGCATGCCTTCACATCCATGGAACAAGAATACCAATGACCCATCAGAAGCCCGCGGAGCATCACAATCACAATCACAATCACAATTGAACCTAACAGAGGAGAAACAGTTCCTCGCAACCGAAACCTTCCCCGCCCTGCCCCCCTCCATCCAAACCCTAACCTACACTCCACCACCACCACCACCGCCGCCAACAACAACATCATCATCATCATCATCATCAACGACAACAACAACAATAACAACTTCCTCAGAAACCGACCCCCAAACCCTCGCCTCAACCCTCTGCACCACCACCCTCCCCGCCACCGTCCACGACACCCTAACCACCTACGCCATCCTCGCCGACCAACCCGAAGAAAACGAAGAAGCCCTAACCACCTTCTTCACCCCGATCCTAACCGAGTACCTCGCCGCCGTGACGCGCCCGCCCCCGGTCTGGGCGACGACCCGCACCGACAGCTGCGAGATCTGCGGCCGCGACTGGATCCCGCTCAGCTACCACCATCTCATCCCGCGCAGCGTGCACGCCAAGGTGACCAAGAAGGGGTGGCACCCGGAGTGGATGCTCAACAGTGTCGCGTGGCTGTGTCGCGCGTGCCACAGCTTTGTGCACCGGATGGCGAGCAACGAGGAGCTGGCCAGGGAGTGGTTTACTGTGGAGCGGATCTGCGAGCGTGAGGACGTGAGGGTTTGGGCGGGCTGGGTGGGGAGGGTGCGGTGGAAGAGTCGATAGTTCTTTTGCCCGGGTTATATGGGATTGGGGAAATGGGGAAAGTGCTGAAGTTGAGAGTTTGATATTTAGACCACACTCAGTATATATACACGTGTGGACACCACTGTGACTTGATCGTAAGGGTGAGTGAGGTATAGGTATGCAAAAGTTGTGTTGTCTATGTGGTATCCGGATATTTAGACTAATATACAAGAATCAACCGTGCCCCCTTGTTTTCGCATCAGACATGCTTTGCGGTAAACAATCCCCCAATACAATCGAATCCGTGATAGTACAGAATAGGCAGATCTAAAATACAGGGCCCCCCCCCCAACCGAGCACTACAGATAGCGCTTCTCGAAGATCTCCTCGTAGCACTGCACATGGTCCCCGACCTGGAAGTCGAACCAGCCCTCGAAGGCCATGCCGCACTCCGTGTCCTTGCGCATCTCGGTGACGTCCTTCTTGACGTTCTTGAGCGAGGCGATCGTGCCCGTGTAGATCGTCTCCTGGCCGCGCAGCACGCGCACCTTCTTGGTGCGGTTGATGAGCCCGTTGCGCACGCGGCAGCCGGCGATCTGCATGCGCTCGCGCCCCTTGAGCTTAATCTCGAAGATCTCGCCGATCTCGGCCTCGCCCGTGACGCGCAGGGTGACCAGCGGCGGCAGGTGCTCGCTCAGCGTCGCCTTGACGTCGTCGATGAGCCGGTAGATGACGTTGTGGTCCTTGATGGTCACCCCGCGCGACTCGGCCATCTGCGTGATCCGCGGGTCGATGGCCATGTTGAACGAGATGACGTGACCGCCCGCCGACGCCGCGTGCTCGATGTCGAACTCGCTCACGGGGCCTACCTCCGCCCGCAGCACGTTCGCGTACACCTCGTTGTTGCCCACCGCCGTCACCGAGTTCAGCACCGCCTCCGCCGACCCGTGCACGTCCGCCTTGATGATGAAGTGAATCGGCTTGGGGCCCGATTGGGCCTCCTTTTGGTCCAGTCCGGCTTCCTCGAGGCGTCGCCGCTCCATCAGCTCGCGGCGGGCCTCGTTCATCGCCGTCGTGTCCTCCCCCAGCTTCGAGGTTTCGGACCGCTCGATTCGGTATTCGACGACGGATTTGGCCTTTTGCTCATTCTCCGCCTGCAGGAACTCCGTGCCGGCGTTTGGCTGCTCGCGCCACCCGTCTACCTCGACCGGCATGCCGGGGGTGGCTTCTTTGATGGCGACCCCGGATTCGTTGCGCAGGGTGCGCACCCGCGCCCAGGTTTCGCCGGCCACGATGATGTCGCCGACGCGCAGGGTGCCGCGGCGGATGAGCACGGTGGCCACGCGCCCGTAGCTCTTGGTCGTGCCTTCCACCACCCATCCTTCGACGTTGCCGGTGGGGTCGGCGCGGTGGTCGAGCACCTCGGAAAGAGTGATGATCGCTTCTTCGAGCTCCAGCATGCCGGCACCGGTTTTGCCGCTCACGCCAATCGCCTGCACGTCACCGCCGAAGTCCTCGACGTGGACGCCGTGCACGGAGAGATCTTGCTTGACCCGGTCGGGGTTGACGCCCTCCTTGTCCATCTTGCTCATGGCCACGATGATCGGCACGTTGGCCGCCGTGGCGTGCTTGATGGCTTCGATGGTCTGCGGCTTGACACTGTCGTCCGCGGCCACGACCAGCACGACGATATCGGTGATGTCGGCACCGCGGCGACGCATGTCCAGGAACGCCGCGTGACCCGGGGTGTCGAGGAAGGTAATCGTCTTGCCCGAGGGCATGGACACGGAGAAGGCGCCAATGTGCTGGGTGATGCCTCCGTGTTCCGAGTCCACAATCGAGGACTTGCGAAGCCAGTCCAGGATCGTGGTCTTGCCGTGATCGACGTGGCCCATGATCGTCACCACCGGCGGCCGGGGTGGCAGGCTCGATTTATCTTCGGGCTCCGGCGCGGCGGTCAGCTCGTCCTCACCGGTGTCAAAGATGGGCTCGAAGTTGTACTCGGCGGCGATGAGCCCGGCGGTTTCGGCATCCAGAATGTGGCTGTGCGTGACGTCCTCGAAGCCCATCTCTTCCATTCGCTGGATGAATTGCGCCTGTCGCACACCGATGATGTCCGCGAGATTGCTGACGCTGATGAACTCGGGCAGATATAGAGGACTGGGCTCAGCGACTTCCGCCTCGATTTCTTCTTTCCGTTCCTCCCTCTTCTTGCGCTTCTTGTCCTTCTTTTGTTGACGACGTCGCTGGTAGTCTTCCGTATCAAATTCATCCTCATCCGCGAACGTGAGGGGTTTCGCGCGACCCCCTCGTCGCTTGAACCCCCTGTCAGATGAGCCTCCCACTTCCTGCCCCGCATTGAGCTTCTCCAATGCGGAGGTATCCCATGACCAGTCGTTGACGGACTTTTGTGGTTTGTCTTGCGTCTGCTTTTCCAACTCCTCTTGCTGCTGTCTTTGCTTTTCTTCATATCTTGTGGCATACTCGTCCAAAGCCTGGTCTCTCTCATCCCACGATGGTGTACTGCTGCTGTCCAATTTTCGAAAGGTCAAGGGCTTGTTCGACTGTTCCGACATTAGCTCAGGCCTGGGGGCCCGGCAGCAAGGGCAAGCCCTCTCCGTCCCGGGGCAGAGATAATGGCAGTCTGGGCAGGTCCAATCCACCGTCTGAAGGTGCTCGGGAATGTGATCGTAGCGACTGCGCCTTGGCCCATCAGGCCGAAAACGTCTAAAATCTTGCGACACCATGTCTTCGGAGGACCGCCAATTGTTGTCATACCGATCGTTCGTTCGCCGGGAGTCGAAGCGATCTCTGTGCGACCTGAAGCCACCCTGCTCGATGGAGCGCTCTTGGTGTGACCACGATCCTTGATGTTGCCACCTTGAATGTGACCTATCACCGTGCAAATGTGTATGTTGACTCTGTTGCTGTTCGAGCAGGGACTCTCGCATTGCCTTCTCTGCCGCGCTCAGGCCAGTGGATGTCGTGGCCCTACTTCCCCAACGAGGAGCTGCAAATTTGCGACCGGTTCCAAACTTGTTCGAAGTTTGTGAGGAGGGAAGATCCACCGGACTCTCCTGCGCCTGTTGTTCGGCTACCAGAGCATCTCGTGCTGCTTTCTCTTCCGCATTCAGGCCCATTGATTGGACTTTTCTATCTTTTGAACGGATAGTAAACCCCGTCTTAGCCAGAGAACCTTCTGCCGAGCCATTTGAAAATTCTGAGAGAGGAGTGTCGACGGGTTTATCGGAGGTCTCTGAGGTGGTTTCTGAAAGATTCTTCTGCGCCTGTTGCTTGGCTGCCAGAGCGTCTCGCGCTGCCTTCTCTTCCGGGGTCAGACTCGTTGCTCTATATCTCTTATCTCCTAGCCGAATAGTGAACCCGGCAGAACCCTGTTTGAGATTATCGGATGATTCTGACGGTGTGTTTGGGGAATTGGTTTCTGAGGAATCCTGCTGTGCTTGCTGTTTGGCTACCAAAGCATCTCGCATCGCCTGCTCAGCCGCACTCAGACCCGTGGGTCTGGACGCTTTGCTTCCCCAGCGGGAAGTGAATTTTGCGCCAGTGGGAGAGCTTGTTCCAGGGCTTTGCGAGGAGATTGAAGGGGTTGTACCAACAGGGTTGTTTGGATTTTCCAGGGAATTGATGCTTTGACTGGCCTGCTGCGCCTGTTGATTGGCCTGTTTTGCCGCCAGCAGAGCGTCTCGCTGTGCTTCCTCTTCCTCTTCCTTCGCCCTCTGTTGTGCTATTGAAGCATCTCGCCGGGCCCGATCTTCCTCGTCCTTTGCCTTCTGTCGTGCTATTAAAGCCTCTTGCTGTGCTTGCTCTTCCCATCTCTTCGCTTCTCGTGCCGCTATCAGGGCTTCTCGGCGTGCTTCTTCTTCCTGTTGCTTGGCCTTCTGTTTGGCTATGTTAGCATCTTGCCGGGCCTGGTCTTCTGCTTCCTTCGCCTTCTGCCTTGCTATTAAAGCATCCTTCCGCTCCTGCTTCGCTCTCTCCTCTGCTAGCAAGGCATCCTGACGTGCCTGCTCTTCCCGTGATTTCTTCTGCTGTTTCGCCACCATAGCATCTCGTATTGCCTGCTCGGCCGGGCTCAGGCCTACCGATCGCGTGGCCTTGCTTCCCCAACGGGGGGCAAATTTCCGGGGCTTTTCGGAGCCATTTGGAGTGTCTGAGGAATCAGCACATGCGGGAAAGGCTCGAAAGCCCCTCCGGGGCACAGGATTCAACACTGGGGCGAAAGCCGCATTTCTGCGGGCAGTTGCGCAGGACCAATCGACACCTTGACGGCGAGAAAGCTAGGAGCGATTTTGTACGTTAGTGTCTGAGGGGAGGTATCGGTAGATATATCCTAGATGATATGCTCACCTCCAACGCAGCTCGCCTGTGCATGATGAAGGTCGTTGCTCGCAGCGATTCCCGTGGCGTCAAAACTGCTGCGGCGGAGGGAAAGTTGTCGGAGACGTCACGGACATGGAAGTACTCAACCTCCGCCCGTTAACTTCCATCATGGATACAATCCGATCCAACCGCATTGAGTTTGGGCGTAAGATGACCGTAAGGTACTGTAAGTTAGATTAAGTTAAGTTACAGTGAAGAGTGTGTGCAGCTGACTCAGCATTATGCTTGTCCCGCTTCACGTGCGTCGTCGGCGCCTTTGCCGAATCGGAGGCCGCGATCGGGGAAATGGGGCTATCACCTCATCGCTCTCCGATAAGCTTCTCTTTCTCCCCTTCCTCCTCGCTGCTTCTTCTCAGGATCTTTCCTCTCCATACCGATCGCTGAGGGTTTCTGTGCTACTTGGACCGAGGAAAGGCCCTTTTTGGTACTCTCCAAACCCCAGTTCCTGTGAATCTCCTCTCCACTCCACCTAATTTCACTTCTCCGGGCGTGATCAAGTTCCCCGCAATGGAGTCCGAGGCTTTTGAGGATATGCAGAAAGGCGGCGGCAGTCTTCGCGCTGTCAAGGACTTGACGGCCGGTGCTGCTGGCGGCATCGCTCAGGTGCTCATTGGTAAGTGCTCAGCTATTTTGTCCCGTTATCTCTGCTAGCAATGCGTCATGTATCCCCCAATTGGAGCCATGGGCATCGACCTTCCAATCTCTCTCCGCATGCCGCAACGACATAATACCATCGCTACCAACTGATCGCGTCGCACATTGACTGAGTGCTAACGACTCTCTAGGTCAACCTTTCGGTGGGTAAACGAATGCTCTCAAGATTTGTCCGTTCGCAAGCTTCTCACCAATGGCCCCTCCCCCATAGATATCGTCAAGGTCCGCCTGCAGACAACCACGCAGTACGCCAGTGCGCTTGATTGCGCCACCAAGATCCTGAAGAATGAGGGACCCACGGCCTTCTACAAGGGTACCCTGACACCTCTGATCGGTATCGGAGCCTGCGTATGTCTTTTGTCTTTTCTTTCCCGGGGGCCCCCTTCTGCCCCGGGAAACCCGCCCTCCTACCTCAACATTTCCGTGTTAACCCCTCCATGTGCAGGTGAGCGTCCAATTCGGCGCGTTCCACGAAGCCCGGCGACGGCTGGAGGCGCTCAACAAGAAGAAATACGCGGACCCGACGCTCTCCTACACGCAGTACTACCTGGCGGGCGGGTTCGCGGGGATCACGAACTCGTTCCTGTCCGGGCCGATCGAGCACATCCGCATCCGGCTGCAGACGCAGCCGCACGGGGCCAACAAGCTGTACCAGGGGCCCATCGACTGCATCCGCAAGCTGTGCAGCCAGGGCGGCGTGCTGAAGGGCCTCTACCGCGGCCAGAACGTCACCTACCTCCGCGAGATCCAGGCCTACGGCACCTGGTTCCTGGCTTTCGAGTACCTGATGAACGCCGACGCAAAGCGCAACGGCGTCCGCCGCGAGGAGATCTCCAGCCTCAAGGTCGCCACCTACGGCGGCCTCGCCGGCGAGGTCCTCTGGCTGAGCAGCTACCCCTTCGACGTCGTCAAGAGCAAGATGCAGTGCGATGGGTTCGGGACCAGCCAGCAGTTCAAGAGCATGACCGACTGCTTCAAGAAGACTTATGCCGCTGAGGGGCTGGCCGGGTTCTGGAAGGGGATCGGGCCCACCTTGCTGAGGGCCATGCCCGTCTCCGCGGGGACGTTTGCGGTGTATGTTTGGATTTCCTGCCTTACCTTACCCTACCCCCTTTTCGTCTGTGTCTTGGACGGTAGACCCAATGCTAATTTCTTGGTTGCACAGTGTCGAGCTCACGATGAGAGCCCTGGGATGAGGTATATAAATCGAAAAATAACCAATGAAAAAGTCCCAAAGAAATTCAACAGCTCAATTCGAAATACCCTGCCCCTGCATTTTTTTTTAGCATCTTCTCGTTGTCCGAACATCCAACCATTTCCAAAAGCAAAGGCAAAGGGAGGGAAAGTGGCATTGTTTTTTCTTATTAGACTGGATATTCGATGTCGCTGTTTAGCGGGAATCATGGATAGATTTTTTTATGCAGGCAATTTCAGATTCAACACAGCAGCTGGATTTTATTACTCATAATACCAGATTGACTTGGCCTGTACACCAAGAACAAGCAAGTATCAAAGCAGAATACACCCCCCACCCCTGACTCTTCCAACGCAACAGATGATACAACTCTCCGCGGACAATCGACTGGCGTGAATCAGCTTCCAAACCCCAACGAGGAGTCCCCAAAGAAATCCTGCCACGCCGTCGGGAAATAGAACAGGTTCAGCCCGGGGAAATCCCAGTCGCGTACAAACTGTTCTGGCACGAACGACTGCAGATCGACCTGCGCGTCGAACAGGTCCCAGAAGGAAGTAGAGGTTTGTTCTGCTCCCGCTGCTGTCGTCGGCTCCTCTGCTGTTGCTGTCTCCACACCTGCAGTGGTAGTCGCACCGTCACCACTACCAGGCCTGCTGCTGCTGCTGCCACTTGCCCCCCTCTCCCCCCGCTGCTGTCCCTGAAATATGCGGCTGTATTTCTCGATGCTCAAGCGGAGGATATGCATGTAGACATTCCCCAACCCTGTACCTGTTCCTGATGCCAGGCCCTGAACGGCGGGCGCTCTTGTTCCAGGATCGGTGATGTGTGAGGACGGTGACGTTGTCGCCGCTTCGGCACAATGACGACCTCTAGACGGTGCAATATCCAGATCGAGAGGAGCCGATGTCTCCACGCCCTTAGCCGACCGGGTCAACTCCAACAGGAGCTTGTTTCCGAGCTGCAGCAGCTCCTCGTGTTCGTCCCGCTGTTCGGGAAGGAGGCGGGAGAGTTTCAGCAGCAGCAGGAAGCAGAAGGCGCACTTGGCCCAGACGAAATCCATGGCGTATTTGAGCTTGGCGAGGTAGAAGGCGGGCTCGAGGCTGATGAGGCGGAGATGTTGGCGGGCGGCGGATTTGGCGAGGCTCAGGATGTTAAGCTCTATGGGGGCGATTGCTCTGTTTCGTTGCAATGTAGAGGTTAGTGTTTGGGTATCTAATTTAATGGAGTTATGGAGGATGAGGTGGTATGGCTCGTTGTAGAGAGCTGTGTTGCAAGGATTGGAGATTGGTGCTGGACTTACGCTACGTTCTCCACGCCCATGGAGCGCAGCGCTTTGCAGTGGAGGATGAGTTCGGCCCAGCAGTGTTGGACACTCAGGGCGGCCAGTAGGAATGGTCGTTCTTCTTGGGCTGTCGGGGAGTTGACTTTGAGGGTGACGTTCAGTATAAGTTACACGCTGTGGCCCTAGGGCTAGAAAGATCAAGGAGGGCTGCTCACCGATGATGCGCTGCCAGTCACTGAGCACGTTAGTTTGGGACTTATGGGCAGGACAGGGCAGGACAAGGAACTCACTCAAACCAGAGATCAAGGTCGACCTTGGCCTCGTGTACAAACTCAGCAATTGCTTCTCGAGTCAGACTGTCTCGGATGTCTAGTGTGTCGTTGATGTTGGCTATATCCATCGCTAATTAGTATGCTGCACCGCACCCTCTGGCTACAGCCCTAGACGCATACCTCGAATAACGTTCAACTTATATCGACGATCAGCTACCCGTTTCCCAACGCGACTGTCGGAAACTTACCTCGACCTGAGAGAAAAGACGCATATCTAATACTGTCGACGAAGGATGATGCAGCAGGATTCGGCATCTCCGAGCATTTCCCATCATTCGTATCCCAGGTGGCTTGCCGCCGTCGACGTGAAATCTGAGCACAATGGCCATTAATTTTACCCAGCATGAGCGACTTGAGAGGAGCTTTTACATGTGATCCAGAACCAGGAGCCCAAACCATGTCCTGGACTTCCGCATCAAACAGCGCACCTGTGCGTCCACGCTATCACAGGGAATTCTCAACGGGTCACTAGTCCTCTTCAACGTTAGTAGCTGGATCAGCTCTTCGAACGCTACGTCCAGACCAAGGTCCAACGCCATTCTGGTAGCAAAGGATAGCATCAGCGAGCGTTCGGCGGTGTAGCACGCGACGATGAGCAGCGCCTGCACCGACTCCAGGCAGTTCAGATTTTTGTTTTGGATCACAGTGCCAATCCATTTCTTGAGTTCCGCGTGCAGCAGATCGGGAACTTGTCCGGGACCTGCATACTACCACTCAGCATGCTATCATATCAGGGAAGCTGGGGTGAGGGATCGCAGACTACCCGTCGCTGCACTCATTTCAACACGGCTGCCAATCGTGCAAATCGCGTTCAGCAGTATGCTGCTGCGAGAGCGTACCGAGGTGAAGGTGTCGACCTCCGGATCGAAAATCGGGATGTACCTATCCTGAAAAGCTCATCAGCATGTGATACTCGCTAGGTCCGTTCAGCGTCGAGCAGTACATACGCAGCCCTGGAAGAACCTAGTTCCCTCCCTGTCAGCATGTCTCATTGAGTCACATCTCTGAGTTAAAAGCGCATACGTTCTGAAACAAGCGACAGCTTGATCAGCAGTCATCAAGCCCTGAGATACGAAGTCCGAAATGAGCTCTTCCTTAACCTCAAATCCAGAGCGCTTCCGTTTGACCGGACGAACTGTCTCCTCGTCCATCGCGGATCGAATCTGCGACGAGGAGGGCAATCCTCTTAGTGGACGCAACTCGGATTCCCTCTCGGAGTTGAGAGCAGAGGTCGCCACGGCGAAAAGCATGGGCATGCCTCCTGAATGAGAAGCCGCATGATTCGAATTCAGGAAAGGTGCTTCGGCGGGGTATGCACGATGCTGATCCACGAATTGGTCCTGAGCGTGCTGCACTTGCCCGAGATCTTCTGGTGGCAATTGCTGCGTGGAGAGATGAAAAAGCTCGCCCATGGCCTCTATCTGTGCACGGAGACGTTGCACTTCAGATTCGACGTTCTCCAGTCTCCTTGCGTGGGTATTAGAAAACTGAATGGTGGTGCTGCGGGATGGAAGGGAAGATGTGGGATGAATGATTGGACATACTCGGTGGTGGGATCTTTAGGAACTTCGTAGAAGATGCATTGTTTATATGATCGCTTGCACCTATTATTTGGTATGCGTCATTCGAGTATGCTCGTCTTGAGTTTGCGATGGGGAGAGCGCTGGATGGGATACCTCGAGCAGGGCCGTTTCCCATCACATCGCACCTGCCACGGGCTGTTAGTGATCAAGGATGGAAAAAGCTAAAGCAGGATCTACCTTCGACTGTCGACAAGCACTGCATGCTTTCTAAATTGCCGAGGGGGTGGTCAGTCCCTGTACGCAGTGTCTTCCGACAGCGACAAGCAGGAGAGGACGAGTAACTATACTGGAATTCGTTTCTTGCCGGTAGGAAGTTGTCTCACGCATGAGGAGTCATCTGATTCCATCTTCGCAAGCTGCCGGTCACTGTCTCCTCCCGCAGCAGTGTATAGTAGTGCCCGATGTTGAAATACTGCATGTACATGGCAGACCAAAGAGTGGGTCGTGAGCAATGCCAAAGGCGGGGGCGACGCAAGCCATCAACAGTCGTCGGCTCGGCTAATGTGTATTGGCAGGCGGCTTGTTGTACATACCGAACCATCAACATCGTCCCCTTGCTCGCGCACCCAACTTCTTCTATTCGAAGGTATGCGTTCATTCAAGCTCCATCTACCGACTGAATTAATCTAGATTCGAATTACAAACTTACTCTACAGTACGATAAAAACATTGCACGCCTTCATTGAACTCTAGCCATACAACTTCCCACGCGTACTTCACTTCACCACACGTCGCTCGTCAAGCCTCCGAGTACAACTAGCGCTAATACACATACACAAAGTCCTCATTCAACCAGTCCGTTAGGTCTTTGAATGCGTTGTCCTCCGTCACAGCAGTTTGCACCGGTCCTTCTAGTTTGTCGCCCTCGGCCGCCCCAACAGCTTGCATCGAGTGATCTACGATTTTGGCGCTCTTGCCCATTGATACTCGCTGTCTCTCATGCTTCTTGTTGAGGAAGAAAAGATAGGCCATATTCGATCTAGGTCGGTGAGCAGAGGATCATAGCGGTTGAGACCGAAGACTTACATGCATAGCACAACCAAGACACAGAACATCGCAAGGCTGCAAACTATCATCAGTATTGTTGGTCCGTAAAGATGAGTACCGGGGATCAGTTTACTTAGACCGCAAGCCTCGTCGATACAAAGGCGCGTCTGTAGTGGTGTACAAGTTCGAGCCCAGGACCTGTTCTCCAAAATCAGCATAGAGGCCACGTAGTGGACTCAAGTGCAAAACCTACGTTACCGGCGCATTGGCCCACCAGGACAATTCCATTCACTATCTTCTTCTTCGTCTCACCGGCTGTATTTGCTGCTGACCAAGAATAGATCAGGGGGGCTGTATCTCTTGTCAGATTGCATCGTGCGCACAACAAGACGATTAACATACTGATCCCGGGGTAGACAGACACCTGAAAGCCAGTTAGTGTATATTCTAGTCCAATGAAGCCGCTGCAACTCACAATGTAGTATCCTGCGAGCAACGCTCCATTATGTTGGCCATCATGGGGAATGACCAGCAACATAACGCAGCCTGCAATAGCAGGCAAGCATAGCAGCGCAATCACGGGGCCTTTCATCATGAGAAAAGTCGCCAGCCAAGCTCCACCCATCGTTGCGACCAGTTGAACTGCACCGAATGGGATATTGAACAGAATCGTTTGGAACTGATTGAACCCAAAGGCCTCGATTATCAATGGACCAAATGTCGAGATACCGCCACTAGGAATCCTTTGGAAGGGTAAGATTGGTCATCCGAGCCTCAGGGAATGGGGGGGATTGTCTTACGAGATTGAAAAGGTGAACGCAAACCAAAAGTAAGACTTGAGGTCAAGACAAGCCTCCTTGACATGTTCCCACTTCCACACGTGGGTTTCGAGCCCTTGCTGGTTCATGCGGAGTCGTTCGATAGTCAGTAGTTTGTCCTCTTCCCTCAGAAACTTCGATTGGACGGGTGAGTCGGGCATCGCGTAGAATATGACCACGGAGAAGACGATTGTCAGGAGACCAAAGAACAAGAAGATGATCTGATAGGGTTCGAACACCGAAGAATTGATATGCCCAAGCCCATAAGTGATGAGGCTTCCGAACTGGCCGCAGCCCGTGTGTTAGACAAGGAAAGACGCGTTTTGGAAGTAAGTGCTAACCATGTAGACCACGCCATTCATGGCATACCATGAACCCAGTCGCACGGGCTGTTCGATACGCCGATACCACATCTGGGTGATAGCGATAAAAGCAGGAGCTATGTTGTGACTGGGTTAGTCCCAGTCTCGTTGACAAAAAGAAAAAGAAAAAAAAAAAAACCTGCGCGAAGGATCAGTACTCACGAACGCCGGCTTCGAACAGTCCCAAGAACATCCGGCAGACCAACAGCCCAGCAAAGTTATTCGCCGGGGTCATGCACGTCAACGACACGCCCCAGAGAAAGGTGGTGACGGCCAAGAACTTACCCAGCGGCACCTTGACGAGGATATAGGCCACAAACGGCTGAGCGACAAGCTGCACCAGGTAGACCACCGCCCCCAGCCAGGAATACATCTGTCCATGCAGGTGGGCTTTCTCGACGAGACCGAAGACGGACGCATATGAAAGGGTGGACTTGTCAAGCTGCTGTAAGAAGTAGATGCCCAAGAGAATAGGCAGCAATCGCATATCAATCTTCCGAAGCACACGAGCATTGTTTTCGGGCGTCAGAACAGTGGATTGGCCTGCTTCTACCAACAGACCCAGGGCTTTGTCCACTTCTGGCTCCGTCGGACGATCCTCTGTCTGAAGGGGGGCGGCCTCAACAGACTCGATCTGTTCATCTTGTGCACGTTTTCCATGGTCGACCTCTCCGAGATGGGTCATCTTGTCTTCAGTAGTGAGTCTTGCTTGGTGAGGGTCTGTGGTTATACAGCCCTAGATAAGATCGAGACAATAAGTGCAGCCACACTCTAGACCGGACAAATTCTTGTATTGCAGACCGTCGAGCGAGCGGAATATCAGGGACGCAGACCAACAAAATACACTGCCCCAAGAGAGGGGTGTGGTCCCCTTTTTTACTCTCTCTCTCCCTCTCTCTCATGGTGTACGTGCAGCACGGGATGGACAGGGGCTCGACAACCCCCGTGGGGAGGAGTCCTCAACCCCAGCCCCGGACAAGTTATTCCCAGAACCGACGCGGGGACGAATCAAAACGTGTCTGGAGACTGCTTGACAGCATCGCAAGTGCCGCGTTCACGTGAGAGCACTTTAACCCGGGCTAGCATGACGGTGGAGATGGTGGGGGCATGAGGGCTTTCGGACAAAAACCGACGTAAGCATCTGGTAGACGAGCCTGCAGTGATCGTGCCATGGCCCAACAGTGGCGCAAAGTGGGCAGATGCTTGACGCTGGAAAGTTCTCTAGCTTCGGGGATCGGTACGAAAGGCCGACGATTGTAGACGAGGGGACATGCCTTTGAGGAATAAATGAGGGGTGGATGTGGGGGAAAAGAATGTGGGGGTCGGAGATGACGGCCGAAATCCGTGCATACCTTGATAGTCTATACAACCCAATCTTTGCGTTTGCAGTATCATGCCCAGACCGGAAGAAGATCACTCAGTCACTCAAATAGAACCCTCTGTGCACCATGCCGAGCCGAAAGAAATCAATCGATTACTTCCTATACTTCGCAACCGCGAAACACAAGCATCCAACTTCCCCCATATCACCACACCACCCGAGCCGAATGCGAAATAACCATGCCGCAGAAGGAATGCTGTCCCAAACGCTACGAGGCCATCTCTGCAGATGCGCAGGAGTCGCCGGGCATATCTCTCCGTTCTACGTCCGAGAACCGTCAATTCGAGTTCTCCTTCGAGCCCGTCCGTGAAAACCTATTCCGAGTCACCTTCACGTCCCCAGACCACCCTCTACCTCCGTATCCCAGCGTCACCAGGCCGGCCACCGACCTCAAGGACACCCACATCTCGACGATGAGCGGTGCTCAGAGCAGAACGTTCCAGGTCGGGGACGTCACGGCATCCGTCGAGTGGGCCAACTCGCCAGTGGTGTCACTGTCGTGGAAGGGGCAGCCGAGCCAGAACCAGCCACTGTACCGGGATCTGCCGTTGCGCTCGTACGTCGCAGACGGGGCAGGCATCGCACACTACACGGAGCACGACCGCGACGCTCTGCATGTGGGACTCGGGGAAAAGCGCGCCCCGCTGGACCTCAGCGGGCGCCATTTCATCCTGTCCGCCACCGACAGCTTCGGATACGACATCTACCACACAGACCCGCTCTACAAGCACATTCCGCTGCTGATCAAGGCGACCCCGCAGGGCTGCGTAGCCATCTTCTCGACCACGCACGGCCGAGGCACCTGGTCCGTGGGCTCGGAGGTCGACGGCCTCTGGGGCCACTTCAAGGTCTACCGCCAGGATTACGGCGGGCTGGAGCAGTACCTCATCATCGGGCGGACGTTGAAGGACGTGGTGCGATCTTACGCCGAGCTCGTCGGGTTCCCCCTCCTGGTGCCCCGCTGGGCCTATGGGTATATCTCCGGCGGTTACAAGTACACCATGATGGACGAGCCCCCGGCCCACCAGGCGCTCATGAACTTCGCCGACAAGTTGCGCGAGCACGGGATCCCGTGCTCCGCTCACCAGATGAGCTCCGGCTATTCCATCGCGGAGACGGAGCCCAAGGTCCGCAACGTCTTCACCTGGAACAAGCACCGCTTCCCCAACCCCGAGGAGTGGATCGCCAAGTACCATGCGCGAGGCATCCGTCTTCTGACGAACATCAAGCCCTTCCTCTTGGCGTCGCACCCGGACTTCCAGAAGCTGGTGGACGCGGATGGGTTCTTCAAGGATCCAACCACCAGCGAGCCGGGTTGGATGAGACTCTGGAGCGCAGGAGGCGCGACGGGGGGTGACGGATGCCACATCGATTTCACCTGCGCCGCGGCGTTCCGGTGGTGGTACGAGGGCGTTCAGAGCCTCAAGCATGCGGGGATCGATGGCATGTGGAATGATAACAATGAGTATACGCTCCCCAACGACGACTGGCAACTGGCCGGCGACGAACCCACCGTGGTCATCGCCGACGCCGACGCCAACGCCACTGCGAGGAAGACTCCGAACTCCGTCGGCCTCTGGGGCCGGGCAGTCCACACGGAGCTCATGGGCAAAGCCTCGCATGATGCTCTGCTGGATCTGGAACCCAACCAGCGACCCTTCGTTCTCACCCGGAGCGCCACGGCGGGAACCATGCGGTACGCCGCCAGCACCTGGAGCGGAGACAACGTCACCAGCTGGGAAAGCATGAAAGGCGCGAACGCACTGTCGCTGAGTGCGGGGATCTCTCTGCTGCAATGCAGCGGTCATGATATCGGTGGTTTCGAAGGTAAGACCTTGCCCCCTCTCGCTCAGCAAAACCCATACATCTAACCCCCTCCTCACCAGGCCCGCAACCCTCCCCCGAACTCCTCCTCCGATGGATACAACTAGGCATCCACTCGCCGCGCTTCGCAATCAACTGCTTCAAGACCAGCCCCGGCAACAGTTCCATCGGCGAAGTCATCGAACCGTGGATGTACCCCGAGATCACGCCGCTGGTGCGCGACGCGATCAAGCGCCGCTACGAGATGCTGCCGTACATCTACTCGTTGGGAATAGAGAGCCACCGGACGGCCTCGCCGCCCCAGCGCTGGATCGGCTGGGGCTACGAGTCCGACCCGGAGGTGTGGACGAAGCCCCTGAAAGCCGGCGACGAGCAGTTCTGGTTCGGGAACACGATCCTGGTCGGCGGCGTCTACCAGCCCGGCGTGAGCGTCGCCCGGATCTACCTGCCCCGTAAGGCTGGTGCAAACGACCACGGCTACGTCAACCTCAACGCACCCTACAACCACCTCGCCGCAGGACAATGGGCCTCCATCCCGTCCGAATGGCGCACGAGCATCCCCTTGCTCGCGCGCGTCGGCGGCGCGATCCCCGTGGGCAAGGCGGTGCAGACGCGCGTGCCGGGCGACGAGACCGCGGCGTCGCGGGCCGTCGAGGAGGTCGACGACTACCGCGGCGTGGAGATCTTTCCCCCACCGGCGGCGGCGGCGGCGTCCCACGGGCAGGTCTTCGTCAACTCTTGGTACGAGGATGATGGGATCTCGGTCCGGCCGCGCATCGCCCGGTATACGGTCCGGTATCGCGCCACGCGGGAGACGGTCGTTGTGGGGTTTGCGCGCGACGACGAGGAGGCGGGCGGGTTTGTCCCGGCATGGAGGGATTTGGATATTATCCTGCACTGCGGGGATGTGAGGTGTGTTGTGGCGGAGGATGGAAGGAGTACGGTGGTGTTCAAGGGGAAGGATAGCCGGGGCCGCGTGGTTTATACCTTCAAGAATTAAGCGAGAACTGGAATGGAAAGGGAAAGGATGGGGCCACACCAAGTCCTTGACTTGAGATATCATCAGAGTTGGAAGGGGCTCATGTATATCTGGATAAATTAGATGAGATGTCAATGACAAATGCTGAAAGCTTATGGTGTGCACACTTACAACTCTGGAATAGATGGCTGTCATCCATGTTGGTTTGGCAACTAACATTGAGAGTGGTGTTCTGTCCATCGATTCACTTAGACAAGATGTTCTAAGAAAGACACAGGTAGGAATACTCAACAACTCGGCCCATCAATGATGGGGCAAATCTACAATGGTTAACTTATTTACTATCCAGCCTGGCCCAAATGGCAGCTCCCAGTTGTCCGAACAATAATACACTATATACAGTTCGCCACAATTCAATCGGAAATAAAGACGATTCAAACGTAAAGGTAGGTCCTCGGGCTCCAGCGCGCATCTGTTCGCTCGGCTTGCTCGGCTCCAATTCCACCCGCGCATGCAACAATAATATATCATCAACGAAGGTGGGAATGATTATCTCTCAATGCTAGAAACTTGTGTCCTGTATTAGCGCCATACCATAGCCCATGGCGCTTGACCTGATTTTCAATGTAGAGGTCATATACAACATGTCTGATCATGCAGCTCTACTCTTGTCCGAAACCCAATGTCTCTTCCACAGCAATGGACATCTTGTGTTCCAGAGCTTCGTGTGTCTTGTACGGAGGTAGATCCAGACGGTTGAAGCTGGGAAAGTTAGCTAGCTGCTTAAGATGAAAGAAGTCAGGGGGCATACCAAGTGTGCGACTTGGGCAATGCGTTGGGATCGCCCGATTTCTCGATAGTGAACCGGCGAGGCCCGTCCGAGCCTTGCAGATCTTTGAATCCGTTGACCGGAATACGCGAGGTACCAGTGGTGAACTGCAGGAGACGAGACTTTTGTTCGGCATCCCACGTGCGGACAATCTTCCAGAAATTCTGGATGACTTCGTCCTGCTCCTGGTAGCCGCGGTAATCGGTGTGTTTCTTCCAGTCGTCAACATCGATATCCGCAATGCCACCAATCAACAATTCCAACTCGCGCTCGTCAAACACGTTGACCAGATCGGCCGGAATCAGCTCGTTGAACCCAGACATGAAGGCATTGAACTGCTCCTCCACCCGCTTCACAATCTTCCACTCCGTCACCAATCTATGACCGTCAGCGAAGTCCACCAGCTTACAAGCACGAGCAACTTACTCAACATATTCATGCTTGTTCTCGTTCGTCACCGGAATGTCGCGACCGCCCGGCTTCAGGTCAACAGTGGTACGCTCGCCGAACTTCTCGTCATCAACCGCGAACGTCAACTCCAAAACACCGTCGATGTCGTTCTCTCTGTTATGCGTTAGACGGAATACTCAAAACCCTCCATTCAAGGCACTTACAGAGTCCATGTCAAGTTACGGTGCAAGTCCTCATCAACACCCTCCATGTCCTGGAGCGAGACCTTCTTTCGCAGCATCATCTTATAGAAGGCGCCAATGAAGAAGGAATCCAAAAATCGACGATGGAAGATGGCCAAGCCGACAACTCGTCCGATGAACTTGAAGTAGTTCAGGTGCTCCGGGTTCACTCCAGAGTGAGGATTAATTTGAAGGGTATAATTATCGTGCGCGGAATACTCGAAAAGACAATAGAACGGGTTAAACATTTCGTGAGAAAGAAGGAAGAAGAATTCACTGTAATTGTCAGATCCGTCACGACTCTTAAGAGAAGACATGGGCAGACTTACCGTGAGAGACCACCATAATCCAAACCATCTTCGCCGTCGAACTTGATCATCAAGCGCTTCTTGAGATCGGAAGCGCTCTGCCGCATGATCTCGGCGTATGAGTCCTCGAAGATGTTGTTACGTCGGACCTTGACGTGGCACTGTCCAGACATGATACGCAATGCCGGTTGAGACCGGAAGTAGATCAGCTTGCGTCTGAAGTCACGCTTGTACTGCGGTACGCCCTGATCCAGAGAGGAAGGCAAACGGGGGTCATCCCAGGTGGTCGTCTTGGTGTTGTGATCCACGAAGTACACTCGGGCTGTATTCGTCAATCGCATCTCCCATCCGCTGGGCAGCGGACCCAATTGCGACACCGGCTGCTGCTGAATCGTGGTATTGGTGCCGTTGGAATTCTGCCCGTACATGCGAATGTACTGTTGACGCCGAGGATCCACCCAAGTCGTAGTGCGGGTGTTGTGGTCCACGAAGTATGGCCGGCCCTCAGGTGTATTGCGCTGCTCCCATCCGGGTGGGAGCTCACCAGTGCCTGCAGTGGTAGCTCCCGTCGCCATCATAGAAACTGCATTGGCGCTGCCTCCTGCTGGAGGTGTTTGAGCCTGCGGCGGCGCCGGCTGCTGTTGGCCCTCAGCCAGGTTCGGAGAATTTGCACCCGTGCGGTCTTCGGGCAGCATTCGACTCTGATGGGCGCGACGCTCCAGTTGCATGTTGGCTTCGCGCTGCGTACGCTGCGTGTGTTCGTTGTAGTTCGATGATGGCCGAGTCCAAGTCGTGGTCCGTGTGTTGTGGTCAACGTAGTAGGTCCGCCCCAGATTATCTTCTCGGCGCTCCCAGCCCGCTGGCAACCGGCCCTGACTGTCTTCAAACGAGCTCAGGTTGGTGCGAGAGCCTTGCTGACCATTGGCTGGTGCAGCCGGGGCGCCATTGGGCGGCGGAGCAATGATGCTGGTCGGTCGGGTGGTCGAGGGAACACGCTGAGGGTTCAGAGACGCAGTAGAAGCGGCGGCGGACGAATCGACCGGGGCGGGACCGACCGGAGGGTGCGGTGAAGATACTTGCGGGACAAGTCCACTGGGTGTCGATGGCTGAGCATGTGTACGATGCAAGCCATTAGCCTGGTTAGGGATGGGGGTGGTGAGGTTGGTGGACAGATTGATGATAAGCTTTCCATGAACGACCAGATTGTCGTTGGATTTCTTGAGGTCGCGGGTGAGCATTTCTGTTGCAGGCAAGGCAGATGCCTTGCGTTAGCCGCGGAGATTCAGCATGATAAGAACATAGCGACTCACCATCACCACCCATCTGTAAATCGATCACGTCGCCAATCCGTACATTGATAACACCAAGGAATCCCTGATCCTTCTTCTTGAACTTTTTCTGGTCGAAGATCTGGATTGCGAGAATACTGTCCTCATTGACTCGTCTGCAGAAAATCCCGCCGTCAGATTCCGAGACCAGCAGTTGCACCACGCGGGGCTCCTTACAGATCAAACATCTCATTCCAGTAAGGGTTCAGCGTCTTCTTGATTACCGACGTCGTGTGGGTTTGCTCGCCCCCAACGGTGGCCACCGCAAAAGGATCGGGGAATCCTGCGATACGTCAGCCCCAGAATGCATGGCTTGATGAGATCTCCTTGCGGAACTTACGGAAGACATCACGCTTGTATAGACCGTCCGCGGCGATAACTGTAGAATCACGCTCTCCGTCAGTCTCCATCCATCCGTAGGCGCCATCCTCGACAGTCGAGAAAGGGGCATGGGCTTCTTACTTGTGACCCGAAGATTTGGCTGACTGCAGAAAGTATCTCTATTAGCATCCATTCGAATCCGGATTATGCACGCATGACACTTTCGTGAAGGAAAATGATCGTGCCCGCTTTAAGCAAGGGAGGGAAGGGAGGGGGGGGATGAGGGGTTGGGACGAGGGGGAAAGAGGGGAGGGACGCTTGCACATACGCAGGCAGATTGGAACCCATCCTGAACTGAACCGATCAGTGCAGGCGATAAAGTGCCTTTGGGTGCAAAAAAAGCCGATCCGGGCAAGCCTCAAAGGGTGATTCGCGGTGTGCGCATCCACCGCTGTCGACAGGCACGGACCCCAACAGCAGCAGTCGAGTAACGGTGGTGATCGTGATAGTAGGCAGGAAAAGTCGGTGGGCGGGGGTGGTTGGAAGGGCGTTGGGACTGGTCAACTCAATGGGAAGAGAGGGGAAGATCCGGAAGCGATTCGAAGGCGAATAAATTGGACGAGGGAAAAGTGGTGGATAGGCGGCGATAAGAGGCGATTTCAAGGAGAGGGAAAAGAGAGAAAGAGTGAGCGCGAGCACTAAGGCTTGACGATGGAGGCGCGCGGACTTCTATGGGGCTGAGCAGGGCAGTCCTGACGTTGCGCCTTCGGAACCAATCACGACCGAGCGAGGGGTTCAACCAGGAGGAGCAACTGGAGGAGGACTCGGAAGAAGTACTACTACTAGGTAGGCAAGGTAACAAAGTAGTAGTAAGAATGCTCATAAAAGAAGGGAAAGGTAGTGACAGCCTGAAGTCAAACAATACCAGATAGTAGTCAGCTCTTCCGTGAGAATCCTACCTCCCCAGAGGATTCGTGGGAAGAGAGTGTGGTAGTGGTGTGGTTGGTGGTTGTGGTCGTGGTCGTGGCAAAGGAAAGGAGGGGAAGTGCAGTGGTGGTGGTGGTAGGAGGAGGAAGAGGGAGGAGGGACGGAGTACAGTAGTAAGAGAGAGAGAGAGAGGAAAGAGGAGTAAGTCAGCCATGGATAAGCTACGGAGTTCACTACAAACTACCTTACACTTCTTGACACCAACATCACCACACTCACTCTTGAGATTGATATTCTACCCATTCTAGACCAATAACCTATGAACCGAGCATTATTCTCATGATTCATTCCCATCAGAGTCAGAACCACATCCCTTAGGGCTGCAAATATCCCCCCCAAAAACATCATCAGCTGAGTTTTGCTCCCGGGAAAACATGGGAAAGTAATGAAGTAATCAGCGCCCTACTGAGATAGTAACAATTGGTACCCTTTCATTATTCGTTGCATTATTTCCCAACACCAAACCAGGGGAGGATAACAGATTAGATTTTCAGTCGCATCATGGGGAGGTTGCACTGGAACGAAACCTAGGCGATGGAATAAATAGAACAATACTTGGTTTTCCAGCCAATCACCCGGCTTCAAAAGGACTGTGATGGCCTGCTTAACAAGGCAACAAGATTATTTCCAGATTGCAATTCACTCATAGTTGTCTTTCTCCGGTCTTACATCTTCCGGGCTCTATTGACCGAAGAGAAGAAGGAAAACACCCCGAATAAGTTATTGAACACATAACCCCCCCTTGACCGTGCCAGATCTTCTCCCTCATTACGACTCTTCTTTGATGGTGGGGACCCAATGAACGTCGCAATTCCGGTTGCTCTGCTCCGCTTCCTTAGACAAACTCGTCAGCATCGCCGTCTAGACTGGCTGAAGTACCGTCCGTGCCGGTCCTTACCCGGATTGGAGGCCATAAGGCCACAAGTTCAGGGTTATCATGCGCAAACATGATATCGTAATTAATTAGCTCGTGGCTAAACAGCTGTGACGCAATCCCTCATCTCCCTGTTCATCCTGTTCATTAGTCAGTACTACGGACCGAGACCAGGTGACAACCATGGATTTCTTCGATGAAGAAGCTGTCAAGAAGACTGGTTTTCAGGTGCAGATTCCTATTGCGGTGGATTTTTCTTTGAGAATCGTAGTTTCATGACCGTCCTGGTCCTTTTGAGGAGGGGTTTAGCAGGCAATTCCTGCTCGTAAAGCAATTCTCTGTAGCTAGATGATATCACAGGTATTCCGCCCATCTAACCCAGTCCGAGATTGCCAGAAAGGTTATCATACAAACGTCCATTCCAGTAGGTTGACTCCAAAGACAATTAGAAAATAAAGAAGTTTCTCCCTTTATTCAGAGAGACGCGCACACGTGCATCAGAGCGACCACGACCATCATGGTCAACCCGGACGTCTTGGTAGCGCTGGGGCTTCGTGCGATGACCTCTGTTCCTTGCGCAGACGAATACCACCCCGTATACACTGAACTGGGGCTTGACGTTTCTCTAGTAAGGCGCATAGCCCCGACCCCGGCCACGATAACCGCCGCGATAACCGCCGCGAGGCGCGAAACCTCCGCGGTAGCCCCGACCGCCACGGAAGCCACCCCGTCCGCGTCCTCGGGTCATACCCGGCAAGTTGGTACGCTTGGGAACGACCTACCGCATCAGAGTATTCAGTCAGTATCGATGGTGAAAGGGGGGAGTTTGATTGCAAGAGGAAGCACCTTCAGGTTCCGGCCGCGGAAGACACTCTCGTTCAGTACAAGGGCCTGGGCTACCAGACTGGGCTCTGCAAATTCAACATAGGCATATCTGTAGTCGTCAGAAGTCAGCCAATCTTGTAACACGACCGAATTCAATGCGCTGCAACATACCCCTTGGGCTGCCCGGTGAACTTATCCAACAGGATGGTGACCCGGTTTATCGAGCCACAGCTCTGAAAGTGTGCTTGGATTTCCTCGGGGGAAGCACCATAATCCACATTGCCAACGAAGATACTCCGGGCATCAATCTCTTCTTTGTCCTCACGTAGGCTCTCCGACTGCTGATCGAGCGTGGCTTGCATCTCGCGCAGCTTGGCCGCCTCAGATTCCATCTCGGCTACCCGCTTCTTCATCGCCGCAATTTCCTCCTGTTATGGACAAGAATACTCGGGTTAGAACGAATGTCATAGTTGCGAATGTGTGAATCAAATGAGGGCAGCGGTCGGGAGCCAGCGCTCAGAATCCCAGCAAGCAGCTTCAAGCCAAAAAGGACGGTTTTTACCTCATCGTCACCTGCTTCCTCAGGCTGCTCCAGGTGCTCATCTTCAATCTTGTGTTCTTCTGTCGCCATGTTGAATAGGGGGGTGTGGATTTCGATTGTCCGTTCGAGTCCGTTTACACCACGGGGTCGCAAAGTGAAAGCTCGAGCGGGCACCGATAGCTTTCCCGCCGGGTTGGGGCTGGTCAAGTGAGCTGCGGGTAGGAAATTGCTGGAAAAATACAAGATCCGATAAGATAGGAGCGATATGCAACTCCCAGAATTGGGTGTGTAGCGGTCGGTGGAGAGAAGGACCAAGGCAAAAGCTGATTCAATGGAAGACTGGAAGTGGAGGAAAGTGAACGTGATGCCTGCGTTTGATTGTCCCCGAACTTACTGCCTGCTCTTTCCGGCTTAGCTCTTTGTCAACTGGAACATCCGCCGCCGACTCGGTCGTCAATAGTCGAGTATTGGATTGCGGCATGCGAAATGCTTTCGATCCTCACCCTATTGCTGATCGTTGACTACTACTACCTAGTAGGCACAGGCATCAATATTGAGTGGATTAATAGGACCAATAGAATTGAAGACTATGCTGAGAAAATTCCCTCACACCAGCCACTTCTTCTAAATCCAGTATCTCTAGCGTTGAGAAATACCCGATCACAGTGATACACTACAGCGAGACTAAGTACTTGCAAAGACGAAGCCAACAGCCTGTCAGCCATCATCTGGGCAACTCTAGAGGAATTGAAATTGCGAGATCAAACGAGACTCGGCCACATTGAGGCCACATGATGCGACACTACGATCCCCAAGCAAGCCGCAGTTTAACCATATCTAGCCAGTACTCGATCCTGATCTCTGGTTCGAATGCGCTCAGCAGCCTGGTTGCGAAACAATTCGTGTATAGGCACTCGAGCTTTGGGGCTGTCGGGGCAGGAAAGGAGCGACCAACAAGGAGGAAGTCATTATCGTGTCAGATCTATGGTTATGTACAAGAAAAATAGATAGGAGCGTCAACTCATGAAGATGCGATGTTGTTCTTGCGGTAGGATACTTTCTCCACGGCAACCGTCTCAGCCCCGTTGGCATCCGTCTTCAACTGGTAAACATAAAGCACGAGCACATCACCTTGGATCTACCGCGATTATTAGCATCAGGTCGTCTCAGCCGTCTGTGGCAGCTCTGCAACTCACATCCATCAAGCAGAAGCTGGGTGTGGGCTCATCTCCCTCGGCCCAGTATCCTGTGCTCATCGCACCCGTGGCACTGCCGGGGTTAATGAAGAATCGGCCTTCCAGCTCGAAAGCCTCGAATCGATGGGTACCGCCCCACAGCAGAATATCCACGTCCATCTGACGAGCGGCGATCAAGAGAGCATCCGCATCTCCTGGGGGGATGATTGTATGGCCATGCGTAAATCCGATGCGCAGGCTGCCGTGGGTCACGACCTTCGAGAGAGGGAGATTGGGGGAATCGACATCGAAATCTCCTTTAACCAGTTGTAGGTCAGGCGCCACCTGCCGGAGGAATTCAAATGTGTTGCGATCGGTCAAGTTGCCGAGACAGAGAATCTGGCCGATCTTGCCCGGCGTCAATAGTTTCTTGAACTGTGTTGCGATTGTGTCAATAGAGGGTAAGTGGCAATTGTCAGGAGGGCCATGGGTTATGGCCGAGCAGAAAGTCGCACCTTTGCGGGGAGGTCCTATATAAGAATGGGTTTGAAAGTCAGTCAACTGTTTGTTGTTGCGGGGGATGATCAACAACATACGGGAGCTCTGTCAGGGATGAACAGGTCGCCGATGACGAGGACCAGGCGCGAAGTCATTCTGAACGGTGCGGTCACGTTCACTCAAGGCCCAATTTGAGATTGAGCTATAAGTCTATGGAATATGTTCAGTAACAAACTGACGGGCGCAGATGTATGGAGTGCACAGTTGTCTGATGGAGATATCAATTAAGCTACCTAACGTAAGAGGGAGTGACGACTATCTAGGCTGGCGCCCCTATCGCTGGAGCGGCGCGGGGAAAGCTTAGGCTATTCCAACGCCGATGCCACGCGCCTGACAGCCCTATGCCCTAGAAGCAGGACCAGTTCGGACTAGTCCGAGCTGCTTACATCTATGAAGGCCGGCGTTCCTGCGTACTGGTCTGCATCTACTGGACCGCTGGGAGACATAAGAAAAGGGACTGGGAAAATGTGGGAAGAGTGAGGGAGGAATACGAGTGAGCGAGAAACGTCTTGCTCTATTATACTACACCTGCAGGACAGCCTGGAATACCACGAGTAAGAACGGCAGTTGACATCGTCATTCATCCTCAGCCGCGCAAGTATACGGAGCAAGTAGGCGGGCTCGCATAAGCCCTGCAAGCCAATAACTAATGGTTGTTCGGATATACTATCCTCATTCTTGCTCAGACACTAGTTCCATGAGTCAATGCAATGTGTCTTTAGATTCCTTCCCCAATTGTTTCCACGGCAGGGCCCGCCCGTTGGAGGCATCCGTCGCTTTACGGCCGATAGAAGGCAAGGGAAATGGGGGAAATAATGCGCCAAAGGGGGAAAGGAACCAAACCAACCACTGGGAGCTGAGAAAAATCTCCTCGATTGATCAACACACCTGGGACTTTTTTCCCCCCGTTTGTAGTTATCGTCTTACAATTGTTTCTCCTCATCCTCACATCCAATTCTACCAGTACTGAACACCATCAATACTCTTCACCCAAGCAAATCAATCCATCCGGAAAGCGAACCCGGCGATCCCCGGCCCTTTCCCCTCTTCCTCCTCCCCGACAAGCCCAGTCAACGCCTGGGTCTCCCCCCCCCCTCCATCTCACCAGCAAACCAGCAAATCCCCCTCCCCCGCGGGCTCTCCCGTAGAGAGCCGACCTTTCGGAAAACTGGCGGCCAAACGGACGCAGCAGCGCTTGAGCCTGATCTCCAGACACCTGGATCAGCGACTCCCGCTGCCTGAGCTTAATACCCCGTTCTCGACCGAGAGGAACTCCCTCGCTCCAGACGACCTCGAATATAAACCCATCGATCGCTCCGTTCCTTCTTCCATCCCTTCTTCTCCTACCACTCCATCCTCCCCCTCCTCCTCCCCCCCGCCCAAAATGTCTTCCCAAGCCCCTCACAACACCCTGCTCATTCCAGGGCCTATCGAATTCGATGATGCTGTCCTCCAGTCCATGTCTCACTATGCGTAAGTCCAACTGCCCCTCCTTCCCACGACCGCTCATCATCACTATCCGCCATTGAATCATACCTTCTCTCTACCCCTCACTAACCGCTATATGTTCTCTCCAGTGAGAGTCACGTTGCCCCCGGATTCGTCAAGACCTTCGGTGAGACCTTGTCTCTCGTGCGCAAGCTCTTCCAATCGTCCAATCCCGCCGCTCAACCCTTTGTCATCTCCGGCAGTGGTACCCTGGGCTGGGATGTTGTAGCTTCCAACCTGATCGAGAAGGGCGAGAATGCTCTGGTCCTGCACACCGGTTATTTTGCCGATTCGTTCGCCAACTGCATTGAGACCTACGGGGCTCATGCCACCCAGCTCAAGGCCCCCATTGGCGAGCGGCCCTCGTTCGAGGAGATTGAGCAAGCCCTCAAGGCGAAGCCCTACAAGATCATCACCATCACCCACGTCGACACCTCGACCGGCGTGCTGAGCGACATCAAGCGCGTGGCCGAGATCGTGCGGCGCGTCAGCCCTGAGACGCTGGTCGTCGTCGACGGTGTGTGCAGTGTCGGCTGCGAGGAGATTGCGTTCGATGAGTGGGATCTGGACGTTGTGCTGACGGCCAGCCAGAAGGCCATCGGCTGCCCTCCTGGTCTGAGCATTCTGATGCTGTCCGGCCGGGCTCTCGACACCTTCAAGGCCCGCAAGACGCCCCCCGCCTCCTATTACGCCTCCATCGGCAATTGGTTGCCCATCATGCAGAACTACGAGAACTTCAAGCCCTCTTACTTCGCCACTCCCCCCACCCAGCTCGTCCACGCCCTGCACACCACGCTGTCTCAGATCACCGCTCGCCCCATCACCGAGCGCTACGCCATTCACCGTCACGCCTCGGACCGCGTCAAGGCCGCCGTCGCCGAGCTCGGCCTGAAGCAGGTGGCCGCCACCCCGGAGAACCAGGCCCACGCCATGACCGCCATCTGGCTGCCCGAGGGCCTCGCTCCCCCGGACGTGCTGCCCGGTCTGCTGAAGCGCGGGGTGATCTTCGCAGCGGGTCTGCACAAGGAGGTTGCCACCAAGTACATCCGCTTCGGCCACATGGGCGTTAGTGTCACTGACCCCGCCCGGTCGGACATTGACAAGGCCATTGCCGCCTTGAAGGAGGCTCTGACCGAGGCCAAGCAGGCCAAGGGACTGTAAATATCCATAAGACTGTCATATATTGAACTTTAGCAAAAATACGAATAAAAAGTAGCAAAACAATTTTTAATCATCATGTTCCTTGCGGTCAGAATCCCAACAGAGTTCTTCCTCTACTACTTGGTCTCAGCACTTAACCCCACCAGTTAGTTGTACTGTAGATTGGCGCGCCCCGATCTCGGACCAGTGGTGCCCGATAAGCGCGGGCGCCCGCGATAGGGATGACCTACCGAATCAGGCAATCCTTTCCCGCCCCGGTCTCAACGACCAGGCGCAACTCAACTCAGGCTATCAGCATCCATCTCTTGTAGAATACTCAAGTAAGATACAGGAAGGGCCTGGATTGTAGCCTTAAAGAAAGAGGTGTACGCTTACCCTTTGCTCATTCCGAGAGCATCAATTCTTTGCTCGAGGGAATGGGCCTCGATCGCTCCCTGAGAGCACTGTATGTTTATGTTCCAGCACCTCGGTATCTCACAAGGTCCGCATCACGCTCCCAAGCGAAATCTGCTGTGATTTCCTTTCTCATGTGATTTTAATTTTGATGAATGCCTAGGCGGTTCACCGTGGCCTACAGAGCGTCGAACCCTACTCTCTTGATCGGGAAAAGTCCAAAAATAAGGCGGTGAGAGATTTTGAGGGATAGGAAGTGATGATGGGTACGGGAGAGCAAGAGCTATGGGTCAAGGGGGGGGGGTTATATCTATTGCGGTGCAGACCTGCTGAGTACTCTCATCGGGCGAGTGGGAAAGTGATATCAATACCTTGACGGCGAACATGGTCCAGAGAGATTAGTGTGTGACAAGGGACGAGGAAGGGATACAGGAGAGAATATATATAGTCGTTGTCAGGAGTATAGTGGAAGGGGAGGCATGGATGGGGATGCCGACCGAGATATTAATTATAAGCGACAGTCAGGAAGAGAAGGTCGAGAGACGATAGCCCATTGTATCATCCCCCCCTCATGCCTCTCTCAACTTTACAAGAGCAGAGACATGGGGATCTGATCGCCATGGGATGCATTGTGAGATTCCCGTAATAACATCAAGCTTGGACAACATTCCGGTCAGGGTTTCCCTTATTCTGTTTTCGTGTTTTCTGTGCAAAGGGGGGGGGGGGGTTATTATTATATTAAAGGCCATAAGTTACTCCGTCACTGCCACGGGTCCATCCTTCTTCTCCTTGTCAAAGCTAAGCTTCTGTTTCCCCTCTACGCAAGGCTAGGAAAGCCCGCACGTCGGTTACATACTGTAAAGCTTCTAACATGGGGACGAGGTGGAGCAACCCGTTGTCCGTCGGATCATTAATCCAGCCCTCAATGGGGATTGCGTTATCTGCGATCGAAGGTCAGTGGGGGGGAGCTGCGCCTACAATCCACAAATCCATACGCACCTTCGTGAAAAATATAACTCATAGGACTATTGTCCAGGATCATCACTTTACTCAGGTCTGGCTCAACAGAGCTGAGATCTTTAATGTACGCGCCGTTGCGAAATGTACAATGTTGCCGGTAATACCGCGCGTGGAAGTATTTCCGCTCCTGTTCCAGCCAGTCGATGACCGGATCGGCGTACTCTTGCACACTCGCAGTAAAAACCACCAGCTTGTACCATTTACACACCTTGCGCAGAAACTCGTCACAGTGAGGCCGTTTGTGGACATAGTACAAGATGGGATGTTGCGGACCAAGCGTGGTCGGAGGCCCGCCTGGAGTCAGAGCGGTCGTCATCGGCGTGGACAACTTGACTTCAACCATGTGGCCACTGGACATGCGGCCACCCTTGGCCAGGGAGTGGATGAGTGTTTCGTCGAGATCGAGGACCAGAGTCTTTTGCGGGCTTTTCGTGTTGCGTAGGTTGGCCGTGTAGGAAGGTATGCGCTGGGGAATCAGAGGCCGAGGAGGAACGGGCAAATGCGGATATCGAGTGACTCGATGGACCGACGGGGAGGTCGGGGACTTCAAGCTATCAAGATTTAGAGCGCCCTGGGATCCATTCTGCGACGCCTGTCCCAAATCCGTGCTTTGCGCACGACGCTGCCGGTTCCGCTTGAACGCCTCTTCATTATGAAGCTTGATTCGAATAGATCGCCGAGGGATGTTGTCGTCCGGTGCATGCTCGGAGCTGGAGGACTTAGACTTGACGGACCGAGAATGACTGCTGCTGAGTCCCTTGGCGCTTCGCCGATCCCCCTCCGACTCCGAAGTGCTCGAGGCAATTGATTCGCGTGATCTATGAGCTTTGGGTCGTCGTGATGTTCGTTGTTTGCCATGTGCTGGAGTCCCTCCTTTGCCCGGCGCGTCAGGACCTGATCGTTTGGAACGACCCGGAATCAGGCGGCTGATTTTGCGGAATGGAGCCAGTGGAGAGTAATGCCCATCGTCTTCGCGAAAGCAGTGGACGACAAAAAATCCAGGCGCGGCCAAGGTTGACAAAATGAACTTGATCGTCTCAGCAATCGCATCGAAGAACCGGTGCACGAACAGCCCTATGGTGCTGTTTGTGCCCAGAGAGCGATCCTTGGATAGACTTCGTAATAAGGGTGATTTCTCGTCAAGCGTGTACTCATGGTTTTCGAGGTCATCTGGCGCGCCGGGCGTCACATCGTGGCTTTTCTCATGGTGTTCGGAAGCATGGAAGTTGCTCTCACTATAGGACCGAAACTTGGCGAGATCGCCTGGTTCAATTGCCCGGGAAATCTCTCCTTGCGATCGAGATCGTTGCCGACTTCTACTGGAACTGGTAGGCTGGCCAATCACTCGGGACGATAAGATGTTCAGCGAGTTCATCTTCCGACGTGGCCCACGGGTGTCCGGGCTGGCGCAGGTGTCTAGTTATGTTGAGCGGAGGCGCCGGTCAGCACCTAGTCAAGTCACGAAGTAACTGGAGGTAGAAATGCGATGCACGAAAGAGGAAAGACATCGAGCTGCACCGACCTCAATGCGCCAGTCGACAACCCGTGCTGATAACTGTTGACGGTTGACCCCAACTGGTTTTGGGCTGGGCGAAATTGGTGGGCGATAGCCGTCGCCGTAGTCCTTGGCCTAACCGATGGGCGGATAAGCGGGATGGAGTGAGGGAGGAGGATAGAAGAAGAGCCCTCGTAATGTTTCAAGACGACTATATACAGACAGTCGAGGACGAGGGTGTGGGATTAAACGGCAAAGGGAGGGGGTTAAGGGAAAGAGAATGTGAGGAGAGTTGAGGGAGAGGCCGAGGAGGAGGAGAGAGAGAGAGAAGAGGTGGAGGAGAAGGAGGAGGAGGAGGAGGAGGAGGAGGGAAGGGCAACCAATCCATAACTTAGTTACCGTATGTATTATTTGCTTGTATGTATGGGCTGCTGCTACGGCTGCTACTACGGCTGCTACTGCGATGGTTCGTTGGGCCGAGCGGGCAAAATCTCCCTCCGTCACATCCATCCCACTCTAAGGTTGGCTCTTCCGCCTTTCACTTCCTCCTACTCTCCCCCTCCCCTCTTTCTTCTCTCCCTGCTCGGCTGCACAGTCCTCTCTACACCTACCTCGACCTCGTTCTACAGAAGGAAGTCTCTTTCTTCGGGAATTTACTCTGAGGCGACCATTTTGCGAGCTGACAGTTGTTGCGAGTGCGCTAACACTTCCCAACGAGTTTCCCTGGTATGCGACTTGTGCGACCAACCCGATGACTCCACCGTTCTGCCTCACTAATGCTGCATATAGCTCCAACACACCATTGAAGCTTGGTGACCTTCCGTCTAGATTAGACTTTGAATCGCCGGATCAGAGCCCTTGGCAGTCTAATTTCCGAACGTCAAAAACAAAATGCCTGCTACTTCGGGGCCCTTGACGCCCGGCCTGGCGTCCTTCCTCAAGACATTGAGGACCAACCCCATTGACACATCCATTGACAATCTGATCTCGTGCGTGTCATTCACCACGCGCCGGCTGGTTGCAACTGAGATCGAAGCTGTACTGACATACCCCCAGGCTCCTCAAGCGCAGACAAATCCGCCATTCTAGATCGTGTGCTACTGCGACTGCATATCTGCTGCGCGGTGTTATATCGGCCTCTAGAACAAACGATGCCAACAAGTTGATTGAGAGGGTGCAGAATGTTGGAAGACGGCTCATGGCAGCTCAGCCCCGGGAGATGGTGGTCGGCAACATCGTCAGGCGCGTGCTCGGATTGATTCGTGACGAGGCCGAAGACGACCGTGAGGGCGACTTCAACCTTAGCGAAGCTGGCTCTGAAAGCCAACCTCAAACCCCTCGTGGTCTCGACGGTATGGCATCTGCCTTGTAGCATGTCTGGTTCAAGACGAAGCCGGCACTAACGACGAAGGATTACCATAGATCCCACCGATGTTCTTTCCGCTCGCCATGACGGCTCCGACCGTGGCGCATCGAGACAACCCTTCCCTGCCCTGACCGCCGCCCCGATCTCTATGTTTAGTCTGCTTTCGCACCCCGACACCGAGAACTCCCTGCCTGGAACCCCTGTATCCGCGTCGCCCTCCGGTCGGCTATTAGGCCACGCGCCCAGCAAAGACATTCGGGCGGAAGTTCTGGACGGTATCAGCGAAATCATCGACGAATTGACGCAGGTCGACGACCAGATCGCGGCCTATGCTCTGGACCACATCCACTCCAACGAAATTATTCTCACTCACACGTCATCGACCACGGTCCAGAAATTCCTGCTGAAAGCTGCGGCCAAGCGGAAGTTCACGGTCATCCATGCCGAAGCCTTCCCCAACAACCACGAGGCGACGCACGCAACCGTCAGCGGGGCCAACCCCCACGACGACGAACTTCTGAGCACTGAATCCTTCCAGAAGCCTTTGATCGCTCTGGGCATCACCGTCATCCTCATCCCCGACTCCGCGGTATTTGCCCTGATGTCCCGTGTCAACAAGGTTATTCTAGGCACGCACTCCGTCCTGGCCAACGGTGGACTGGTCGCCTCAGCCGGTACTCGGGTCATCGCTCGCGCCGCGAAGGTGCATCAGACCCCTGTCGTTGTGGTGAGCGGTGTGTACAAGTTGAGCCCGGTCTATCCGTTTGACTTCGACTCGTTGATCGAGTACGGAGACGCCAGCAAGGTCATCAGCTATGAGGATGGCGACTTGGTGGATCAGATTGACGTGCAGAACCCGCTGTACGACTATGTTCCGGCAGAACTGATTGACCTCTACATTACGAACTTGTACGTCCCATCTCTTGTGACGGTTTCCGCACTGTTTGACTTAGTACTGACCACTTACTTCTCTTTTAGGGGAGGACATGCGCCATCTTATCTGTACCGTATTGTGTCGGATCACTACCGCAAGGAGGATATCAGTGTCTGAAGCCTGACCAATAAAGGCAGTTGCAGATAAAAAATTACAATGGCAAAAGAAAAGCGGATTTATGAACAATTGGATCTCTCATGGCCGAAGAAAGGTCACATGCCAAAATGGATATAAAAGGCGTAAGGAATTATCAATAGACAATATGAGAGACGATACCCAAGGCGTTTGGTACACAAAGGGACTCATCGAATGCGGTCTGCAGCGACCTAGTATGAGTATGATCGAGCATTTCCAAAAACTACGTCGAGAATACAGAGCTATGTAATTTCTTTTGAAAGAATTTGATATTTTGGGCCCTTCCCAAGGAAATCAATCATGGCGCCATGTTTTTATGGATATAACAATCGTAGTGAAAGCCGCAAATATTGGGTTTGTATTTGCAGGGTGTCTTTCTCATCCAGGCCCTTTCTTTGCTTTGAACCATTACAAAAAAAGAGAAAAAAAGATTCCAGACCATAGTAGAAAAAAAGTGTCGCCTCCCAAGCCGATAAGTTTTTATTCTTGCTATGGAATGGGCCCCCCCAAGAGAGACATCCTCCCTCCGGGGAAAAATATCATGATTCCCCCGGAGTAGCAGCCAGCATCTTGCTTTGTGTTGGTGGTAGTGGGTTGCTTAAGAGCGGGGCTTCTCCTTCTTCTCCTTCCAGAGGGCCATGAGACCGACACCGGAGACCTTGACGACCTTGAAGCGGACACCGGGAATATCACCCTTGGCCTTACCCTTACGACCGAAACCGGCGAGGAGGACCTCGTCGTTCTCATCGATGAAGTTCAAGCAACCGTCATTGGGGACTGTAGAGGGGGGTCAAGGTCAGCGGGATGCTCAATTACATAGATTGTGATTCTGTGTAGTCGCTGTGATGGATATTCTCGTTGTCGCCACCTCTTGTCCCTCACGTCGCACTCAATGCGCAACCCATGGACCCATCCAGATGATCGTCTCCGAGGATCCACCACAGAACACACAAGTAGGGAGAGAGGGATGACCCACCGAAAGCAGTGACCTTCTTGCCGTTCTTGATGAGCTGGACCTTGACACACTTGCGGATAGCGGAGTTGGGCTGCTTGGCCTCAACACCGACCTTCTCGAGGACGATACCCTTGGCGTGGGAAGCACCACCGAAGGGGGAGGACTTGTAGGCGGTACCGAGAAGGCGCTTCTTGTAGTGCAAGTCGGCCCAACGGTTCTCACGACGGGTGGTCGCGAGCTTGCGGGCGGCGTTCAAACCACGGGGCTGTCCCTTACCCATCTTGTCGGATTATGTGCGGAGGACTGAAAACTGCAGCAGCAAAATAATAAGGCGTTAGATGTCTTTGCTTTCCTTGAATTGGGCCATCGCGTAGTTCCTGGTTTTCCAAGTTCCACAGAGTATGCGCGGATCGCGAAATGTGCATTGCGGTGTGTGTCCATCGGTGCCGTCCATCTTTATTCATTGCTCGGTATTCGATCGGATCCCTCTGCTTCTCGATGTTCCCTTCATGTGCATCCTCTTGCTGTTCCTGATTGAATGGACGGGAGGCGAAATGGATGTCGAAGTATCGTACTGGTGAATATTGAAGGCGAGAAATATCTATCGGCGGTGGGACTCTTTCCCTCTTTCGGGGCGGGTTGCACCTTCGATCTCACGCAAAAACCGGGGAACATGGAAAACCAGACGCAGAGAATGATAGCAATGATAGGAAAGCCGTCAATACGTACCGACTGATGGAGATGCCGAAAGGCTGGATGGGCGGATGGATGTCGAGAAGTCGAAAGGTCAAAGGGGGGGTCTTCCTTTCACGGCCGGCGGTCGCTCGACTAGATCGAAAATGTTCTGCTGTGCGCCTTCGCCCTAAACGGCCGCTAAGCGAGACTGCCACGGCAGACCTTTTCTCCGCTCCGAATCTGCCGGTCTCCACCGCCCGTCGGCTTACTCCATCTGGGAAGAGTCCATCGATAACGATAAGACCCGGGATGGAACATCATGCATGTTAACTTATCAACTGCCCCTAAACTTACCGTACCTTACGGACTTATACAAACTTGTTGGCTCCAACTACAGCCTCATCGCTATCTTGATCTTTCATACTACAAACTTGGGCTATTACCCAAAGAACCCGAGTATAATGCGTTAATTATAATCACCAGTCCACAATCCAACATAAACCCCAAAACACAATGGCCTCCAACACTCTCCGCATGGATCCCAAGATGGATCCCCGCATGGAAACCCTCCGGAAGATAAGCTCCCAGCGACTTCCCCCACCAGTCCTGTTCCAAGGTCCCCCCTCCCACAATGCCTCCAACATCTCAATCCCGCCGCCCCCGGCATCCGTCGGCGTCAGCCCCGGTGGTGGTCGGACAGGGCCGGGACCTGGACCAGGCCGAGGAGGCAGTCAATCGCCGCCGCTGCATCGGAACCGGTCCGCCCGCGGCGGCGGCCTCGAGACCTCTGGCGGCGGCACCTTTGGCTCTCCCTTCGTCACTCGCAAGCAGTCAAAGGGGGATATTGACGGCTCCGATGCGATCTGGCAAGAGATGCAGAGCGCGCTCTCGGAGGTGGAGCTGAGTGCCACCACGGGCGAGCATGTGTTCGGGGAGAAGCATTCCGAGGCCTTGGAGGATCTCCGGGCCAAGCAGCTTAAGCTCGCGCAGGCGTGGGCACGCAGCGAGGCCGCCGATGACAAGGCCGTCGATACGAAAGAGGCCGCTCCGCCGGCAAAAGGAGCTGCTGCTGCTGCCCCGCAGGGCCAAGGGGCACGGGGCGTTGCTGGCCCTGGTGTATCTGGGAAGCCGGCTCCCGTGGAGCACGGCGGCGCGGCTCGGAATCTGGATGAGGAGACGGAGAAGGATATTCTTCTTGCGCGCGAGAGACGCGAGGCTAACGACCGGTACTTTGATCGTGTGAACAACGGCGTTCTGGATGTCGTGGCCAAGTTGGAGGAGGTCGCCCAGGCTATGCGTGCTGTGGAGCGGGAGAGTCAGGACATCTGGAGCGATACTGATAGCGTGAGCACGGCGACAGAGACTACAGCAGAGGCGGGCTGAACAAGCAGATGTGGGCTCGCACTCGAATTTCGTCCCCCTTATGATTATCTCTGGCAAGAGATCAGCTGGTATGACCTTTTCGCCTGCAGGTGGCTTTCATGTTAGCTCACCAGGCATACGGACCTGGAATGGGTACTGCTGGAACTGGAGCTTGAGGGTTCAAACCAGATGCCACTGCGCGCGGAGGGCAATATCCGGCCTTCGCCGCGGCCATCTATACTAATGCCGATAGTCTGTCCACACCAGACTTTCTGTCACATCCAAAACGACGAGCAGTAATTAATTCGCGGAGAACACAGTAGAAGAACTTCCCAAACTTTTCAAAGTACCAACAACAAATCAAGGGTATCAGAGACACAAACCACTCCCGATAGCATACAAGCCCAAGCATGACACACATAACAAAATCAAAACCCTTCTAAGAAAAAACCACATCCACACCCCCTCTACTCGTTCTTCACCAGCCTCATTGCCGAGCTCCACCCTTCCACCGCCATATCCCGCACGTCCTCCCAGCTAGTCTCGTAGGCCTTGTTCGCCAGGGTCTCCACCTCCGTGTTCCAGCGGTGCTTGAGTAACTCGGACAGCGTCGGCTGGGTGCGTTTGGGCGGCAGCTCCTGCAGCTTCTCGGTCTCGCTGGGGATCAAGCGGCGATCGTAGGCGCCGGTCGACGAGGCCAGCCAGGTCAACGCGCGGGTCTGGTCGCGGATCGCGTTGCGTTGCTCGAGACGGTTGTACCGATGGACTTGAACGGTCAGGTAGAGGACGGTCGTGGTCAAGGCGAATCCACTCGCCTAGAGCTGAGGTTAGCTTCGTGGACGGCGTGTAGGATTTAGGCGTGGCTGGGGTGTCTAGGAATAGTATCCAGGGAATAAGTATCGGGGGTAAAGTCCGACTTACAAAGCCTGTGAAGAAGCCCATTTGGGAGATAAGGCCAGTGACTGGCTGGAGAACACCCGTTCGAAGTTTCGCAAGCCTGCGGGGTGCAGTGCTATTGACCGGGACAGTTCAAGCAGGCGGGGAGAGATTGAGCGACGGAAGAAGGTTGCAGACTGGCAAGGTCTTCGGGATAGTGGATGTGGATTGGATCCAATAGGCGACAATGTGAAAATATGATTCAAATAAAGTACAATACCTTAGTCCTCTGAATAACTGAGAAAGCAGGATTTACCCCGAGAAGTTGCCCACAGTAACTGAAGTAATGCATTGTTGCAAGTCCAAGAGTAACAGCGATTCCAACAGCGCGCGGGACCGGGGCCAGCCGTCGACACGGACTCCGATTGGCCGATGCGGGCAAACGCCGAATCTTTTGCTTCTCTTGCAGTGCGCAGAACTTCAAACCGCATGAATCGATAACCACGACCCTTAACACACCCAGACTCAACCCCTTCATTCACCCACCTACACAACCATATACCCCCTTCGTATCTCTTCAATTCGAATATCACCCTCAACTCGATCGGATATCCACCTCGAAACCGCTTCCGCTCCAGCCTCTTACACCCAATAACCGGGGGGTAGAGAAACCGCCCAACCTACAACTCTCACTCACTCACTCACTCACTCACCACCACCACCACAACCCCCTCCGATAAACCAGCATCATGGCCGGAGGCGCAGCCAAATACCGCCACCTGAGCCGCAAGTCGTCGCACCGACAAGCCCTCCTCCGCAACCTGGTCACCTCCCTCTTCACGCACGAGTCGATCACCACCACATGGGCCAAGGCCAAGGAAGCCCAACGACTGGCCGAGAAGCTGATCACTCTGGGCAAAAAGAACACCGAAGCCAGCCGGAAGAGCGCCCTGGCTACGTTTTACGTGCGTGCCCCAAGCCCCCGTCCTACCTTGCTCTAAGCTCCTGCCCCAAAACCCGACCTTCCCCCCCTCCCCCTCCCAAAAAGAAAACATACTGATATGAAACGAGAAGACCCCCCACTCCATCCTCCCCAAACTCTTCGGCCCCCTGCGGGAACGCTACGCCAACCGACCCGGCGGCTACACGCGGGTGCTGCGCGTGGAGCCCAAGAAGGACGACCAGGCGGAGAGCGCGATCCTGGAGCTGGTCGACGGCCCCAAGGACATGCGGTTCGCCTTGACGGCGCGGACCATCGCGCGCCAGCGCGCCCAGGGCTTCGACACCCTCAACGAGATCACCGCGCTGAATGTCCGCAAGGTGACGCGGTTCCGGGACGGTGGGGTCGAGGCCCTCGAGGATGAGGTGCAGAAGTTGAAGCTCGGGGGCCATGGTGAGAAGACGGCCAGTAACAACGGTGAGGGCAAGGGCTTTGGCTGGAAGGGGCGGAAGGAGAAGGCCAAGAAGGCGCCTCTGGCTTAGAAAGAGAGAGAAAGGGACAGGGTTGGATTTGAGAGGGGGGGGTTTGGGTTTGGGTTCTGCCACAAAGATGAATTCCCAAATTGAGGGTCGGATAAGACAACTCTTTCTCTCTTGGGGTGTATTTGATTGTGATGGTGGGGGTTTGTTAGCAGCGACGCTGGTCCGCCTTTTCTGGTTTGTTTCTTTTTTCCGTTTCCCCATTTCATTTATGTACCTTATATCATTTCGTATGTTGTTTCTCTCTGCTGCTGCTTTCTTCTCAACCTAACTGGACCAGTGGCTGGCTGCGACTGTATTTCTAGCTGACTTGGCTTATCTGAAAATCATACTGTTCAAACAAAGGAGCTCACTCAATAGTACTCAGACTTGGGAATTACCACGACGATAGAGATAGGCTAAGAACGGCGACTAATCTGGTTTCAGCATCGATTCAATCATACATTTATTGTGTCTAAGCACTGTCGCCCATCCCCACACCAGCAAGATCTAATGAGATATAGCAAGTTTTAAAGCTACTGTGACATGCTCGCATGTCAGTAGCTAAGCCCCACCAAGCGCCATGTAAAGCCCAGTCCTGGTCTGCGCTATCGACGAACCGCAGACGCAACAAACCCACTACAATTCGAGAATGGGTTATTCGGGCAAGCCAGAATAGGCCCCGCACTCTCCATCCTTCCGATCAATCTGCCCCGAATTGGGAATCGCCACACCAGACCCTATCACACGTGCTTGGCCACGAGAAGAAAGTATGTGCACTTTTAAAAGTAGAAATCAGTCTATCGACCGAGCAATAGTACTAATTAGGACACGGGTCAATTCGCTCGTGGTAACATAGTTCCTCCGGAAACAACGAGCGGGCCATTCTTGCTGTTTAGCGAAATGCTTGGAAAAGGTGGAGTTGAGGTAGGCCCATTTCGATGCTTCATGTCGAATTCGGATGGTACCTCGGACGGTGGTGGCTTGGGAGGAAGATGAGATGGCGTTCCCCATTTGGCAATTGAGTCTCGTCCACCGGAGGGTATACTGCGAGGGAGACTCTGCCCAGCGGACCCCAATGCATCCGGACTCTTGTTGTTGATATCCTGATAGCCATTCCACTGTGGAAGGACCCCGGGCTGCATGCCTGTGTACGGGCCCATACCGTGCTGACTGCCCTTAGCAGGGTGCCGTACTAATGTGGCAGCTCCACCTGGAACAAACGAGCGGGTTTGAGGATTGAAAGGAGACCGACTAAAGCTTCCAGGCATAGGGTGAGAGCCTGAGTGAGGCTGCATGGCAGGACTCATTGGCTGGCCCGGATATTGAGCATAGGGATACGAAGTAGGGGTAGGCGGTTGGGTCTGATAATTGGTCCAAGCGGTCGGGGCATGGGTAGGGGGATGGTTGCGATGAGGCGGAAGAGTATAGCCGCCAGGATAAGGTGGTGTCGACCAGCCAGGTGTCTGTTGGTATTGTACAGTGTTGGGCATAGGATAGCTGCCAAGCGCAGGTGATGATTTCGTAGACGCCATCGCCGGTGACTGAGTGATAGATGCATATCCTGTGTAAGGAGACTGCTGAGGCACAGGCCCATTTTGCCACGGACCACTCGGCGTCATTTGGGGAGAGACAGGCATCGAGTAATGGGGCATCGTGTTCTGGTTCATGGGACCTGGGTACATGGCGCCGGTCTGCGCACTAGGTGCATAGCCCATACTGGGTGGGGATACTCCAGGTCCAACCATGCACGGCTGGTTTGGGAAGGACGGATCATTCATAGCCATACCATACGGCACCGAACCGTTGCCAAACTGCATCCCAGGGTAGTAGGCATTGAACTGAGACCGAGCTTCGAAGCTGTCGTCATGCGGCGTTTTCTGTCGGTGCGTTTTCTTGCGTCCGCTGGTTGAACTTGAGCGCGACATGTTGGCGCTACTGTCGCCATTCGCGGTTTCGGCAGCTGCCTTTGACTCAGGGAAATCTCGGAAGATGCGCTCGCGCGCTTCCTGGTACTTGGCTTCTCGCTCCTCTCGGGTAAGAGCCAGTCTATCTTTCGCCGGTGTGGCACCTGTAGATGAACCACCACGGTCTCCGTCGTTACCGCTGTCGCCAGCTTCCGATCCATCTTTCGAATGACCAGAGCTTGCTGCAATGCTGCCTTCAGTGGAAGGTCGCTCACTGCCTGCACGTCTCATGATTTTCATGGCAGGCATGGCAGGTGGCGGTGTGCTGTTGTTGGCAGCATATATGATGGACAGGGGCGTTGGCCTGACAAGACATTAGCGCGATGTTCTGCCCAAGGACTATGCAAGAAGAATATAAACATACAGTCGACAGAAAGGTGTTCTGTGAAGTCTGACTGACGTGACATTATTATCCACGAAGTGGGTCAGATGGTAGTAGTCGCCCAGTTTATGAGCCAAGAGTCTCCCAAAAGCGTTGGAAGGAGGAAGTTCCAGTGAATGCTCCCTATTGACCAAGGATTAGAGTCCATCGTACAGACACCACGACACAATCAAGGACTTACTTGGAATTCTGTATGAAATGCCGAACCTTCTCTTCTAGCTGTAGAATCAGAAGACGATCCTTAGGGGATTTCATGGCCTCAAGAAGCTTTTCATCTGGCTCAGACGGAAAACCATGTATGGGTCGTCCAGCTTGGAAGGCCTCCGAGTTGGGGGTGATGAAGCCGCTGGACATCGCGTCTGGAAGCAAAGCACCGTTACTGTGCTGGGTGCCGTCGGAATACACTGGTCCTGTCGGCTGAAGTATAGCCCGCGGTCGTTGTATGTCTCTAAACCCGCGAACACCGGAATCGGACCCCGTCAACGAATTGGGTGCGCCAGAAGCAGGTCCGGAGAGAGACTCTTCCTCGTCAATGGCTTGCACGCTAGCACTATCATCAGGACGCAATGAGTCCTTCTCGTCCATCGCAAATGTGGTGACTGACGCCATGCTCTTCGAGTCAAAACTCGTCGGTTTGGTCGAAGAACTTGACAGATGGGTGCGGTCATCCTCGTCAAAGGATGTCTCCCGTTTCAATGATCCATTTTCTGGACCCTCACTAGAAAAATCGGGACTAACATGATATTTCTTTTCCGACAAATCAATGCCTTGTACAGCCTGGGAGAGACCGTCAACGTTTCGATCGCTAGTAGCGGCATCATCAGGAGCGTTGCTAGGGCCTAGCTGGCCAGAATGAATGTCATGGGAGCAGTATAGTTCGGAGGATGATGGAACTTCGATCGACTGAGAACCATGTAGCTCGTCAGATGGCATTGTAGCTACCGGTCCAAATGGTGGAGGCATCGCCGCAATCTGTGAGGGTATGTCAGGCAAGAACCGGGGCATGAACCTAGTTGTTGCACCAGAACCGACCTTTGCAAAGGAGAGACGGTGCTCGTCCCTCGTAGAACCTTTCGATGCCATTATCATGCGAATGCTTTCCGCCGGATCCGAGGATCTCTTCCTAACGTTTTCTTTCTTTGGTGATGAAGACGAGCGAGCGGAGAACCAACGGCGGAATAGGAAATCCCAACAAGAGAAAGCGCACGACTGAGCTCAACGCGTTCAGGAGTTGGCGATAGAAAAAAACCGGAATTCGAACTGATCAAGAGCCACTCAAAGAACCCACTTCACACAAGCCCAAAAAGAAAGACGGCACATCTCTGGGAAACGTAATTCGCCATAAGGAAAGCTGTCTGAGGTTAGAACCGCGCAAGATACATAAGAGCCGTTTCGTGGGCTAAGCGGAGAGTAAGGTGACTGACTGATCGATCAGGGGAAGAAAGCCAGTGACGGAAGACGCGAGAATGGCCGGCAACGCAGTCTGAGGAGAAAAGTGACTATTATTACACGATTGTCAGAACGATCGAACCATAGCCTTCTTTAATAAGCTGACTCGTGTCTTTTTGGGGAAGGTCAAAAAAAAAGGTTTATATGACTTGGGGAAGAGAGAGGAAGAGGGGAGGAGGAAGAGGGAGTGGGGAGAGAAGAGAATCTTCCTACAAGAGAAATAAAGAATAGGGGGAGCTTGAAGACAAGCAACCGCCCTGGAAGAGCAAGTTGAACGGAGCCGACAGACAAATAGTACAGTACTCTAGATAAGTACTGTGGAAGGGTGTGGTGTGGCCCGGATGGGGTGGTGGTGGTGGTCCGTCGCAACTATGCGGGTTTGGAAAGTGAATGAGTGGGTATGGGATGGATTCTTTTGGGCTGAAGAAGGAACGACAGACTGGCCGGCGGCAGGCACACAGGCAAGCAAGTTTAGCCGCGCGTTTAGCCCCGATGTTGTTCCGGCCCACATGGTTGGCTTGATCAGCCGCGGAAGACAAAGCCTGGAAAGTGGAAAGACTCCCCGGGTGGCAGTTGAGATTCCATACTAGTAATTGGAACAGTAACCTTACATACTACGGATACCTAGTTTCGAATCTGAGTCGGGTCGGACCGTGAGCTACAGGCGAGGTAATAAAAGGGCTGAAATAAATCCCCTCCCTGTCGTTCTTGGTGGTCAGTCACGTACTTCCACTTCAGCTCCTATCAGCCAAGTCTCTCTAGTCTCGACCGGATCGAGGGCCGACGATCTGGATGATGAATCGGTATCGAAATGCCCCCGGGCTAAGAGGCCCTAGCAAGGCAACGGCCAGCACCTTGTGCCAAAAATGCTTGCAACGAGATATGTACCCGTTTCGCTTTTAAGCCTTTGGGTCGCAAACTGACGTGGTTTAGCACGGCACTACAGCTATGAATGTAAAGCCACCGCGCAGGAGCGGCCTTACATGTCTCGCCCATCGCGCACGCAGCAATTACAGAACCCAAAGCTGCGGCCGCAATTAACGAATGATGCTTACAAGGATGCCTTACGCACGTGAGTGTGCCTCGATCTCAACCGTGCTTCACTCCTGTGTCGTCATCAAAGACATTAACAAGACAATAGGCAGGAGTCTAATGATGCGCCTTTGACCAGGCATGAGGAAGAAAGAGGCCGCAAGAGAGATTTAGACCAGGTGGAACCGTTACACAGCCCAGCTCACTTGTCAAAGCGAGCACGCTCGGCTTCTTCACGTTCAGCAAGCTCTGTATCGACAATTTCGACAAGTCGGTCGCACTCCCGGTCGCCTCCCCGCCGCAACGAGCGGACAAGATCAGTGTCCTCTCGTCCTTCTGGTCACAGAAAGAGACGCTATAGTGATGCATCTTCCGCTCACTCCGTTGCTTCTTACACCTCGGGAGCAAGAGGTTCTCGGTCTAGGTCGCGTGAGTGGTTAGATGACAGAAATACCCGACGGAGACGGCGCGCTTCGAGTCCAGACGAACGAGGACGTTCCAGGAACATGTCGCGAGATGGTGGACGAAGAGATCGGTCTAGAAGCCACAGTGTGGATCGCAGTCGAATGGCCAAGAGCAGAAGATCGGTGAGCCCCTCGCTGGCGACTGGGAGCGACTACCCAGCTTCAAGCCACCGCAAGGCGCAACCCCGTGCGGAGCCTGTGAGCAGTGGCGGCGGACGTGGCCCCGGTCAGGGTGTTCCTCCGCCCCGGCGGGAAAGAAGTCTCAGTCCCTACAGCAAACGCATTGCACTAACCCAGGCAATGAACCTGGGACGTTAGGGTGCCTGTGGATTTTGGATAGAGCAAAAGTCATTGGGGAATTTGCGCGGGCGTATTGGCGTTCTAGCCTCATATTATCATTATTGGGACATTGTATGATAGGGTTGCAAAATCATTGAGAGCATAATGTATTGTATTGGTATGCAAAATTCCGTAACGCCTTGCGACTATTACCCCTGACCCCAGCAGAAGAGCGCCTGATAGATAACGAGATGAAACCGAGTCGTACCACCACTTATTGTACACCATTCCTAGGGTATAAAGATTATGCCGCACCGTCCTCCTCCAGCTCCCTCCGTTCCTCTTCCTCCTCTTCCCTTTCTCGGACATGAATTCCCTCCACCAACATTTCGCCTTCAATGCCCACTTCCTCTCCCTCTTGATTGTTGGATGCTGCGCTCTTGGCTTGCGCGGCCCGCTGCGCATTTTCAATGCGTTGGCGCACCAGTCTTGCGATGGCGTTCTGGGTTCGCACATTCAGGACGTTCAGTTTCTCGTCCAGGTCACGCTTCAAATCCCAGTTCGGCTTCTTCGGCTGCAGCTTAAATAGATCGATTGGCTGATCCTCCTCTGCATCTTTCTTCGCTTGTTCAGCGGTTGCTTTGGCAATCTCCGCAGCTTGGGCTTCCACGGTGATTTGGCCATCATTCGGGGCTTGTTCAAATCCAAGCTTGGGTCCACGAGTTTCCGGGTCGTAGTTTCTGCCGGACAGGTATTGCTTGGTCACGTCTGGAGCAGCATCTTCGTACTCATCGTTGGCGGCCCCAGCTTCCGTTACTGGCTCTGGTTCGGGCTGTTTGCGCTTTAAGGCGGCAAGCTTCGCAAGTCGAGCTTTGCGTTCTGTCGCAGCGGCATCAAGAGAGGCATGGCTGGATGACATGGCTGTGGAGGGGATGTGGGCGACGGAGAAAGCTGCGAATGACCAGGTCGAGAGGGGAGGGGGAATGTGGATTGCCCAGAGAGCAAAGACAAGGGTGGAATAATATATGTTTCTGCCTTTTCACACCCTCGCAATCTCAAGGAGCTTCTCAATAGCTGGAATAGAACTTGGCCAAAGCGGTGGTGGCACAAATTAAATTGAGGTAGTAGTAGTAGTAATAGTAGTAAGTAACTGGTTGCGCTTTAGTAGAACGGATTGTCGGCAGTGATTTGCGCGCGCCACAGCCCAGGATCTCCTCAGCCACACTTTATCCGCGCCGGAGCAAAATCGGGCCCTTTCTTTCCCCGGGTTCGCCGCGAGAAAGAAGTTATGCAATATTTGCCCAGTCACCCCCTCCCCGGTCGCTGAATCCTAACGGGCTTTACTGTGGTCTTTTGCTCAGCTGGTCCATGCAAATCCAGAAATCGAGCACTGAATGTCATTCAGTCCGCATCGCTTCTTGCGCCCCCGCTATGGTGCTGGGTTGCCTTCCTATGCACTGCAGCCCCGACTCCGCCCCGGATATTGGTGTCGCCAGAGAGAAGGATTTCAGCATACGAGATGGCACATCCATGATGCGACGCCCACGAGCAAACAAATATCGACGGAGTCTGACCCGATACTACACGAGTCAGCACCTCCCACCGAGCCCAGTGGTCTTCTAAACCACAGTCTTGACCGATCCCGAAACAAAGCGCAGTCTTCGTCCTCCTCTGCTCATACCGCCTTACCAGAATCTGAACGTGATTTCTTCGACGATTCATCTTTTCCGCAGCCTAAGCCACTCCAGGTCTTAGATGCTTGCGATCCCTGGAGCGATTATTCGGCTTTGCGCACTCCCGACTTCCACAACGAGGGCAGTCGCCGACTTCGACACAATGCACTCGTGGTGAATGGTGGCACTATCAGCTACCGAGAGAGAATGGTGGGTGAGGAGGCATTCCACGCGGATGAAAAAATACGAAGTTCATCTTTTTTCGTCGGCTCACCTAGGCTTCGGAGGTGGAAGGTTGCCCGCAATGAGCTGTTCAAAGCTAAATACTTTGATCGGCCAGTGGCACGGGAGGATCTTGTTGAGGAGTTTCACATGCACAAAGCTGACAAGGAGCTACTGGTGATACTGCAGAGTGAGGATTTTGACAAATTCCGCGAGGAGTGGGAATTCAAGGACATGGCCATCAAAGGTGAGCACTGGATGAGGCTGTCACTATGGCTTATAGCAAACTCCCCGGAGCTTGCTTTGAAGTTTCTTTACATAACCTGCCAAGCCGAGCAGAGGCCGCTGCATGTCATGGTCTGCGAATGCCTGCTTTTCTTGCGAAATTATCCAGATTTACTTTCTACCTGGACATGGGAGGGGAAGACCTTTGCCGATATCCTCGCTGCTTGCTTAGATCCAGAACACTGGCCAATTGTCTATGCATCACAGAAAGGTATCCGTTTCTTCATCATGGGAGCAGATGACGAACAAGTTCTTCGAGCCTGGAAGCTCGCACACGAACGACAAGTGTACACGTCTGCTGAAACCTATCTTGCTTACGCGGCTCGCTTCACCAAGATGAAGAATGTCGATTTGGCCCTCGCAGCTTTGGACCATGTACGCCAGATTGGACAGGTTGGCTTGGAGATGACATCCCAACCAGTCAAGTCCCACGGCTGTCTGCTGTTGCTGCTCGACTCTGTCGAGGATGGCCCCAACGGGCGGAATTTCCGCATCCTTCCCAAGCTCCTCGAGATGGGCATGCGCCCTGACTTGGAGATGATGGATCTCATTCTAAGGAACTGTTACAGGACAGGGGATGAAGAACTTGGTCGCGATATGTTGAATCACATGCAGAGCCAAGGCTATCCGTTGACGACCTATACCTATGTCACGCTATTGTCCGATGCCACCCGGCGACTGGACCGACATGAGATTGATCGGCTCCGGGATGAAATTGACATGGAGGGAGAGGACATCCGAACCAACAAGTTTGTCCAGTCCAAATTGTTCCACGCGTACTTCTGTCTCAATGTGAAGGATCAGGCGAATCGGCCTTCAGACATAGACAACAAGCACGCATTTCGCACTCTGCTGAAGATGTACAATGAGATGTACGACATTGTACCTTTGAAGAAGCTTGGGATTGTTCCGCAATTTTATCAACCGCCAACTACCGAACGAACCACGGTGAGAACCTCGCCTGACGCCGTACCTCTCTTCCTCATGATTGCATCGTACCTTCGGTGCAACAAGCATGTCTCTGTCACTGCGCATGTCTACGAACGCTTTATCGAGCTCTTAGAGAAAGAGGACCCAGTCATCTCTTCTCTCGCTAGGACGGATCACACTTGGCACGAGTTCATGCATGCATGGCGTAATGACGTCCGAGGATTGCGTCCTTCGATCCGCCTTGTCGATACCATGCAGCGCCTTAGCAACGAAGGCAGTGTCAGCCCGAACAAGCCACACTTCCGGCCGAAGCCGACAGTCTACATCTGGACGACGTTAATATCTGCGTTCCTTTGGAACAAAGAACCGCGGGCGGCAGAGCACGTGATCGAGATGATGAAGAAGAGCAAGTTCAAGTTCAACCAGATCTTCTGGACCACCTTGATCGACGGCTATGCTCGGAACAAGGACATTCTCAAGGTCGCTGAAACCATCCGAGCGATGGAGAATGATGGCTATGAAATGGACGCGTTCTGCATCAAGGCGCTGCGTCACATTCAGGATCCGGAGCGACTGTGGGAGGCTGTGGAAGAGCTGGACAAGGAGACCGACGAGCAGGTAGACCGAACCACGTTCGAGTCCCTCACCAAGAAATCGCGTCTCGACGAGATTCAGGACGACCAGGGAGACCCAGATTGGCTGCTCGACCAGGGTCTTCAACGCTTGAAGGCCAAACAGGCTTGAAGGCCTCATCTCAAGCAGGCGCGGAACTAAGATACCCCCAATTTTTTTTTCTTTTGGTGCAACTCGGATTGATTCTTCAGCATAGCTGGTGTACATGGGAGGGAGAGCATGGCGGTTGTTATACAGAGCGTTTTGCGGCGTCCAGAAAGGCACAAGATATACTTCGTGGAGTAAAAGTCACATTTCTTCGATATCATGTACATATCCATCACTTCTAAAATTCAAGAAGAAACCATCAAGCTTCATGCTACACAAACGGCATGGTGAGAGTGAAAAACTTCAAATTAACGCCACTGGCTGATGTAAAGGACAGTATACTACCATGCGATTTCCTGAATCCGTGAGAAAAGCAAGACACCTCGATCAGCCGCCAAAGAAGATGGAAACCTAGAAGAGCAAGAACCATCAGCATCTGGAACTCGACTTGAGGGGCTGTCCCTCTTGTCATTCGAGTGAATGGGCACTTACAGCCATCACCACGCAGCAAATACTGACGTAGGGACTCAGCCGTTCACCGATGCGAGCACATTTCCAGAAGATACCGAAGAAGCTACAGGCAGGCGTCAGAGAAGTTTCGTCCGGTGAATGAGAGGAAAGGGTGCCGTTTGGTGAGGCCCTGCTGATAGCAACCAACAACACAACACATACCCATTCTGATTCCGATCCATGATTCCCGGCATGATTGAGTGGGCGTAGGTGCTCGTACAGATGATAAGCAGGAAGACCAGCAGAAGTGACTGGAAATTGAAGAGAGCCGACTGAGTTTACAAAAACAAGTCAGCATCACCATTTGTGAAAGATCCTTCAATCGCACTGCGCTGCATCTCACTTACCATCTTGACGAAGGGACCGAACCAGCTGCCTGGCCTCCTGTTCTTGTTGTTTCTTCAAATGCAAGCTCGCAAGGAAGGGGCCTTCTCTTCTTCCGAAACAACCTCACTGCAAACACAGAGTTTCCGCTGGAAGTCTTTCTCAAGGACTTGATACCTTCAAAGAACACACAGTAGTTGGCTTCACCAGCTCGTCGTCGTTATCGTCATCATCGATCGATCATCCTTCGACGGCGGAGGGGGATTCATTCTGCCAGCATGTCGTCCGGAAGTTACCGCCACCGCCTTACGGGGTCGAGGCCCGCGCTCCGCTATGCGCCGTCGCCGCGGGTCCGTCCTACAGCCCGTGTTACCTGGACTACTCCTACTACAACAAGACCTTCACCACCACTACAACCACAACCACAACAACCACAACAACAACCATCATCATCATCCTCTGCACCGCAGACCACAACCCCGCGCGCTGCTCAGCCGCCCCCTTCCACCCGGACAGTCTCGTCCGGTCCTTCCCGCCAGCGCAGCACAGGCCATGTGTCGAGTAAACTCGCCCCTCCTTGGCCCTGGAACCCCGAAGAAACAGACCTGATTCACGCCGGCTATCGACCCGCCTACCCTCCTCCTTCTCCTGCTCCTCCTAAAGTCGACGCAGCAACCGAATCAGCATCAACATCAGCACCAAACCTCCAAACCACAATCAAGCTCAAACCTAAACCCAACAAAACCAAAACCACCCCCAAGAAAATGGCCGAACCTCGAGCCCGTGCCGCCCGGCACAAAGGGCAGATGAACTTCGCCTCAGAGCGTACGTTGCTTGCCTTCCAGATACTGGACCCCCCCCCAAAACAAACCCCCTTCGAGAAGATAACTAATAGCAGAGAAAAAACAGTCCGCCTCCTCCTCCTGGCCTACGGCGATCCAAGCCCCCACCCCTCCTTCCCCTCCGAACCCCTCCCGGAAACCGTCCGCGTCCTCGACGAGATCGTCACCGACTTCGTGCTGGAGATGTGCCACGGCGCCGCGCAGTACGCGAGCTACTCGCGCCGCCAGAAGATCAAAGTCGACGACTTCCGGTTCGCGCTGCGCCGGGACCCCAACAAGCTCGGCCGCGTGCAGGAGCTGCTGCGCATGGAGCGCGAGCTGAAGGAGGCGCGGAAGGCGTTCGATCAGAATGATGATCAGGTTGGGAATCTGAAGGATGCGGCCGCCGCCGCCGCGGCGAAGAAGGGTGCAGGAGGTGGTGCTGCAGCGGCGGCGGCGGCGGCCGGGGACGAGGATTTCGGGGCGGCGGAGAGTGTGGATGGGAGGAAGAGTAAAGGGAAAGGGAAGAGGAGTGCTGCTGCCAGAAGGGATTCGGATGTTACCGAGGAGGGTAGTGTGACGGCTGGGGTGGCGAAGAAGAGGAAGGTAGGTGGTGGTTGAAAGTCTGCGTTTCATTCGTTTCTTGGCTGGCTATGTTTGCTACATGGCGTTCTCGGGGTTTTTTCTTATATCGCGGCGTGGGCTGGCTATCAGGATTGCATTGTGCACCGGGTGTATTTATATAAAGTGATATCCCATTATTCAGTTATCATTGACAGTGGGGGCGTTGATAACGAGAAACCATACACTGAAATTTCAACACGCATTGTTGTTCTTGCATCCAAAGTTCAAAAATACATCTCTACTCTTACGATAAGCCCGCCGATCTCGAACTAAACCTTCGGGACTATCTTATCAGTTGCACCGCCACCCCAGTCAATACTTTATATATCCAGCCTCACACTAGCCAGCTCTCGACATTGCAAAGACCCCAGGACTCGGTACACCTTCTCTACTCCGTCCGCATGGAACTTGATGAAACATGCATGCAATAGTTCCTCTACCCTAAAAGCAAATTCTATTTCCTCTCGGCTCGCTGCATAAAGTACTCCTTTTTTTGTCCTCTTCCTTCCCATGAGCGGGTTGCTTTTTCCAATCATTCCGAACAAAAGCCAGACGGACTCCCAAGACGCCGTGCTCTTTCTCTTCTACTCACTTTTGTTGTCAGCTTTGCAGGTCCCGTTGGTTAGAGAGGGATTGTTTGCTCCCAAGGAGATACAGGTCAGCCTGGAATTTCGTTGGCTGGATGCGACTGACAAGCACGGAACTATCCTCTCCGAGCTGGAGCTGGAGCTGGAGCCGAAAGAGGGCATAGTTTGGCAGCAGACAGATATCCCAGGCAAGATCAAACGAAAGAGATTCTCCAGGGGCAGGGGGTAAGTATGTGTGGATGTGGGGAGCGTTGTATGTATAGAAAGTGCTGGTATCGCGGCCTGAGCCTTCGCAAGCTGAAGCGCAATACCAAGCAAGCCAGAAACTTAAGCTGACCAACATGAAAATTGCGGAAGATTAATGGAAACCGTTAATGGGATCAATATGCACGGAGAAAAGACCAAGTCGAGACAAAGAAAAGATATGAGAAAAATGTGGGTGGGACGGTGGTTGAAGAGAGAAAAAAATGGAAGGTATCGTTTTTCTTTTGTCTTTAAATCAGAACCCTATCATAATATCCTCTTTACGCGCGAGCCTCCTCGCCGCTCCGCTCTTGAGTCCGCTGCTGACCACCACGGCCTCCCTTGCCGCCCCGCTGTCCGCCGCGCTGGGCGCCGGACTCGCCGCTGCCCTCGCCGCCCAGGGTCAGCTGTGCGGTGGCTAGCCGGTTGGACAGCTCCATCTGCGTGCGGATGGTGTTGGCCAGGTACGACACAACCAGGACGTCCTGGATGTGGTTGTTGCTGCAGGGATTGGGTTAGTTTTTGATGCTTTGTTTGGTGTGCTGGGGCAGACGGGAAGAAAACTTACAAGTCACGCTCAATGTCGGCGGGCTCGACCTTAGGAGCCAAGGCGAGCGTGTTGAGCAGGTACTGGCCCATGGCCGTGGAGGCGGGGGCCTCCTCGTCGATCACGGACTCGACATAGCGGGAAACGCGGTCGATCATACCGAGAACCTCCTCGATGGCGCGCTCGAGGGCCTCGATGTCGGTGAAGATGTTGGCGGAGCGCTCCTCGGCATCCCGGGCAGCGGCAATGGCCTCGAGACCGCTCTTCTCGGCCTCGCCGTAACGGATCTCATAGGGAACGGGGATGAAGGCAGCGCTGTCGGCAGCACGCTCAGCGGTCACGCCGACGGGGGCAGAGATGTAGGCGCGGGTCTCGATGTCCTTGCCGGCCTCGGTGGAGACGGTCAAGTGAACGGCGGGGTGAGGCCACGTGCCGTCGCCCTGGCCGCTGTAGAAATTTTGGATCAAGGCCGAGAAGGTGTTGAGCTCGGACGAGGTGGCGTACCAACCCACGAGGACCTCCTTGGGGTTGGCCTTCAGGTGCAGGGCGAGCATCTGCTTCTGGTATTCCATATCCACCTCAACCTGGTCTGTCGTCTCGGTGTGGCCCACGGCGAAGGTGCTGCGGATCTCGACTTCGGTGCCATCCTCGGACCTGGTTCCCAGAAGAGTACCGATGACACGCTCCTGGTCGGCATTGCGACGGAGAGAGTGGTCCAGGATGGAGAACAGAGCCTAGCAGCAACCATCAATCAAATTGCTCCCGGGTGAAAGAACTTCAACAAAGCAAGCTCAAGCTCGACCTACCTGAGGCTGAATAACAACATTCACAGGGGCGGTCGTCGGTGCAGACCCCACTGCCACGGGACCCAGAGGGCGGGCGAGATGGACGAAGGAATCGGTGTCAGCCATGATGGAAGTGAGGGAGAGAGAGAGAGCAAAGGTGGTAATGTAATTGGAAGGAGGGGAGGAGGTTAAGATGGCTGATTCACACAGCAGTCGGAGATCTCTCTGCTTGGTCTCCGGGGTGGGGTTGTGATGGTGGCTCTTCTGGGGAGGGAGGATTAAATCTTCTCTTTCCGCCTCTGGGCTGCGGCGGACGGAGGTTCTGCTGCGAGCCTCAAATTGTGTGTGCGCAAAGGGAATTTCGCGCTAAGATAAGATAAGCACCGCCGCCCAGATTCAACCCGCCTTGTGAAAAAAAGAGTTTCTGGTCGGGTTTCCCGTCTGTTCACTAGCTACAAATTTACCGGTCAGTTCGCATTCAATTAATTTCTGCAATTATCCAGAATGGCTCCTCCTCGTGGTAGAGGTAGAGCTCCTAGAGGGCGCGGAAAGCGCACCCGTGGCGGCGTTAGTCGCAGAGATGCCTTCCAAGCATCCCGAGTCGATGAGATCCAGTGAGCGCTCCATCATATTCGCGTCTAACACAAGTCACCCCAGCTGACCGACTGTGGCAGGTCGGAAGCCTCGTCTGACAGTGAGGATGGCTCATTCGACGAGCCTATGGAGGATGCCGTGGCCGACGAAGAACTCTTGGACCAGGACTCGTCCGATAGCGAAGAGGAAGCGGACCAGAAGGGACATTCCTATAACGAGTTGTTGCAACTACTGAACGCCGGCAACGACGCCAATGGCCCCGCTCGCAAGAAGCGAAAGACCGATCACCGAAAAGCCGAGATTAAAGAGGTGACCCGCGATGACGCAGAAGAGGACGAGGATGAGGCTTTGTTGGGAGAGGACGATCTAGAGCAACAAGCACCGTCGGACGCCGAGGACGAAGACAATCAGCCCGAAGAAGAGGCAGAGTTACAAGCAGACAGTGATGATGAAGATGGTAGGAAGATCTGGACAATCTTCGATAATCGGGACATAGCCCACTGATGCGCAGCAGATAATGATCCTTTCGACACCCACTTCAACGCCCTCAAAGAAGAGGACTTGAACAAGAGGATTAAGGCCATTGAGGAGAAAAAGTGGAAGAGTACCAAGAAGGAACTTGCCGAGGGGCTGAAGTTTGTGCGCTCCATTCCTGATACGGGCGACGATGCATCCTTGTTGGCCGCAATGAAGAGCATCTCGAGCGTCAAGGTAGGCCAAATTGCACCAAGTCTCCACACGACCAGACGGAAGTCTAACACACATCGTTGCTCTTAGCTCAAGAAGAAGCTCAAGGCTCCTGCGACGGAACATATCTCCAAGATCGATGGCGATGCTCAACATCTTGCGCCCTACGTTTTCGACTACCAGGATGTCCTTTATGGCGCTCGCACGGCAGACAACGCAGCTCACCTGCGAGATCTCCTGGCTCTGCATGCGACGAATCATGTATTAAAGACGCGCGACCGCGTCCTCAAGAACAACGCTCGCGTGGCCAAGGAACAAGATTCCGACCTGGACGTCCGGGATCAGGGTTTCACCCGGCCCAAGGTGCTGTACCTGCTGCCCACCAAGCAAGCCTGTGTGCGGGCGGTGGACGCCATCACGCGGTTCTTCCAGCCCGAGCAACAGGAGAACCGGAAGCGACTTCTCGACACCTTCTCGTCTGCTGACGACAAGTCCTGGGTGAACAAGCCGGACGACTTCCGCGACCTGTTCGGCGGCAACGACGATGACATGTTCCGCCTGGGTCTCAAATTCACGCGCAAGACCGTGAAGTACTTTGCTCAATTCTACACATCCGACATGATCCTTGCCAGTCCGCTCGGTCTGCGCACAATCATGGACCAAGCCGAGTAAGCAACTTTCTTCTTCGCTGACCCTCACTCTTCCCCCCCCGAGAACGTGACCGAATAGCTTACTGACCCCCCTCCTCTCCTAGCGCGAAGAAGCGTGATCACGATTTCCTGTCCTCGATCGAAGTTGTCATCATCGACCACGCGGACGGCCTGCTCATGCAGAACTGGGATCACGTCGACTACATCCTCAAGCATCTGAACCTGCAGCCGCGGGAGGCGCACGGCTGCGACTTCAGCCGGGTGCGGACGTGGTACCTTGACAACCAGGCGCGGCACGTCCGGCAGATGATCATGCTGTCCTCGTTCCTGACGCCGGAGATGAACGCGGCGTTCTCGACGCAGATGCAGAACGTCTTCGGCCGGGTGAAGGTCAGCCCGGTCTACGCGGGCGCCATCGGGGAACTGGCGCTCCCCGTGCCCGTGCGGCAGACCTTCTCGCGCTTCGACAGCCTCTCGCCGGCCAAGGACCCGGACGCGCGGTTCAAGCACTTCACGACGACCGTGCTGTCGTCGCTGGTGCGCGACCTCAGCAAGAACGGCGGCGGCGGCGGCACGCTGATCTTCATCCCGTCGTACCTGGACTTCGTGCGCGTGCGCAACTACTTCGCCACCTCGACGCAGACGACCCACGTCTCCTTCGGCGCCATCAGCGAGTACACGGACGTGCGTGAGGGCACGCGCGCCCGCACCCACTTCGTGCAGGGCCGCCACTCGGTGCTGCTGTACACCGAGCGCATCCACCACTTCCGCCGCTACCAGCTCCGCGGCGTCAAGCGCATCATCATGTACGGGGTGCCCGAGAACCCGACCTTCTACGCCGAGATCGTGGGCTTCCTGGGCCTGGACCCCGCGCAGGCCGCCGAGGCCGCCCAGGGCGGCGGCGTCCGCGCCCTGTTCTCCAAGTGGGATGCCCTGAAGCTGGAGCGGATCGTCGGGACGAAGCGCCTCGGCAACATGATGCGCGAGAAGGGCGGGGATACTTTCACCTTCATGTAGATAGATAGGTCTAGGTCTGCAGCTTCAAGCTGTATGTAACTATTAGTACCGGTAGTGTAACTACTGGTTCGGAGAGAAGTCCGACATCGTTCCCGTCTCAGCAACGGCCATAATCCTCCAGCCAGCCCCTGCAGTGCAGGGGGGCCCTGGTCTATTGTTCTCTTTCCCTAAAATCAATTCTTCATTCATAATCACCCAGATAACAACTACGTATTTTATGTGTAATCCCAGCATCTTTGATCATGCGGACCCGCAAAATGTCAAGATCAGCGTGCCAATCCCCAATCCACTTTTACACAGGAAAAACCATTCGGCTCCTTCACCGACATCCGTAGATCGGAGGAGGAGGGGGTGGGTGGGAGCAGCAAAAGAAAAACCCAGTGCTACTGTAGCCTCACGATATAACAAACATCACATGTAGAGGGGAACACCTTGGTTCAGATTTCGTTATAAAGTGATATACTACGAACTTTGTATAGTAAAACCCAATTGTATTTAGACAGCAAAAATCTGTCTATTCGCGATTCGTGATAGCATAAGGCTACAGTAACCGGGCAGAATGGATGCCTATTGCTAACACCTTCAACCCCAGTAAGTCTAAGGTCTCGTTTGTTCAAGCTCAGCTGATCTACTCTTTCGATCGAATCACAATCAAGGTCTGGTCTGTTGTTTTCTAAAAAGCTCGTCAAGTGCGCGAAAAGCGGTGATTAGTCATTCTGGGGGGGGGGCGTCCTTGTACTTAGTACATTTTTTTTTTGCCCTCGCATCTCTTTTTCCTCCGGCTGCTCTTATAAAATTCCTTATCGTCTCTGTTTGTTGACGGAGAGGTTCAGGATAGGACCAGGGGAATGACTGAAGGTATATATACAGCACGTCTACGATAGAATCTGTGTATATTTCCTTATCGCCTTCAGATCGGATCGACTTGTGAGGAAGCTTGAAGTACTGAACATTACCCAGTACATGGACAATCACTCCCGAACCAGGGACAAACAGGAAAACAACCTCGGATAACAAACACAAATCAGCCTTCAGAAAAACACGAGGCAATTACAAAATGGCCACTTGCGTCACTTCTCGATCCCACGAGGATCCGAGCCAGCGGGAGACGATAAGAGAAGCACCCAGCGAGCAGAGTCCCCTTCTGGCTCGCTCATCACCAGCGACGATGCCTGATGAATTGACCTCAGCTTCCTCCCACCACCAGTCGTCCTGGTGGTCTTCCCTGCGCCACTCGAGCCAGGAGCTCTGGCTGCAGGGAAAGGGTATGATCTTTGTTTTGGGCGCCCAGTTTTTCGGCGCTACTATGAATGTCATGACGCAGGTTCTGGAGATCAAGGGGAATAATGGGAGGGGCTATCATCCGTTTCAGGTATGTCTTGATCGCGTGCCGCTTTGCTTGATCGGTTGTGTGAAACCAGACGTTCGCTGCTGTGTTGGTCAACCGCTAACCCCCCCGCAGATCCTCTTTGCGCGCATGTCAATCACTGTCATAGCCAGTTATCTGTATATGTGGTACACAAAAGTGCCGCAGCCGCTTGGGACCAAGCCGATCTTGTTGCTTCTGTTCCTACGTGCCAGCGGTGGCTTCTTCGGCGTCTATGGGCTGTACTACTCAGTGCAGTATCTGCCTCTGTCCGAGGCCACTGTGGTCACCTTCTTAGTTCCCATCCTTACCGGATACGCCTGCTCCTTGTTCATCCCTCGCGAGACGTTCACCCGCAAGCAGTTAATGGCTGGGCTCGTGTCCCTGATCGGTGTAATTCTGATCGCTCGCCCTTTCGCCTTCATGCGCTCGGGGGAAGAGACTGACGATGGAGAGTCAGACGATAAGCCCGGTGCAACGGACAGCTATCACCACGTTTTGGCGATTGCTGTTGCCCTGCTGGGTGTCCTAGGAGCCACTTGTGCTTATACGACCATTCGAATGATCGGCCGGCGCTGTCACCCACTCGTATCTGTCACCTGGTTCTCGTCGTACACGACGATTGTCGCCTCTCTCGCGATGCTGCTGGTTCCGTCCATCCCCTTCGCGTTGCCGGTTACTCTGTTTGAATGGACTCTGCTGCTGGGTCTCGGAGTGTGCGGATTCCTGTTGCAGTTTCTCCTCACGGCTGGCCTGTCTTATGTTCCGCCGGAACGGGCGCCTAAAGATCTTGCGACAGGCTGGGAATCGAACTCGTATGGTACTCAAGCGACCGGCCGTGTAGAGGATGAAGAGCAATTGCAGGGACAGCAGCAGCAGCAGCAGCAGCAGCAAGCCGAAACGAAGCCTCCTGCAGCAAAGACCTCGTCCGGGTCACGCGCTACGTTCATGATTTACACCCAGATGTTGTTCGCGCTGTTCTATGACCGCATGGTCTGGGGTAGCACACTGTCTCCGGTGAGTTGGGTCGGATCGGGTTTAATTCTGGGCTGTGCCATCTATGTGGCCGTTGCACGAGAGGACCAGAAACCCGAGAATGGCTCAGTTGAGACTGCCAGCAAGAACGACGTCACAGCTGCAGAAACAGTCGATGAGGAAAGTGAACGGCTGGAGGTAAGCGGGACGAGGTAGACGCGGGGCATGCAGCTGGATACATACTTCCTGCAAGTGAGCATAATAGGGAGGTCGATCTGAGGCAATTAACCCTTGGATTGATACACATAAAAGATCAAGTCGACTCCTGGGTAGTAAAGAATGCAACCCCATGGCAGATTCGGCTAGTGCGGGAGGGGCATAAAAAGCGGAGCAAGCGACCTGCATACACGGAGTGCAGTAGTAGGACGCTGTGATATAGAAGGGTGATGAGCGAAGTGCATGAGTGTATGAACTATATGACGAATGAGACGAAATGAAGTGATGCAAGAAAGAGGTTTGAGTGTCCAAGTATGAGTGCAGTGGATGGAGTAGAAAAGGAAGGTGCGGGGTGGGACTCGACTCGACGGGACTCGGTTGACTTGCCTTTTTGACCAACAATCCGACCCCAGGCGGGTTTTCTTGTCGATCCGGGGATGGACGGAGTAATCCATGATCTACTCATATCTATCAATCCAATACACCAATTTAACTCAACTTCCACTTCCACTCCCACAAATTGATCTTGCACCATCTCTCTGACTTTGGAGTCACTTACTACCATAGGACTAGCACTAAAACACGCCGAACAAACACACCAACCCACAATCTCACCAAGCAAACCTAACTTGAAGGCAACCGACCATCCGTCTCTCCGGTATGCCGCAGCACAGTCTCCCTCGAATTGTCGGCTCGGAGCACTCTCGTCCTATGCAGCCATGCAGCCATGAAACCCAATGCATTGCAACTGTCCCTGCCAGAGAAGCGAGGCCTCACTTCGTGGTGGTGTGATTGGACGCCACGACGTCATTTAGCCGCTTCTCCCCATCGGCTGGACTCACGGAAGAACCCGAGGTTGACCGCGAACGGCCATGATTGGGGGCAGCCTGAGTGGGATTGCCAGTGGCGTTACCACCTACTGTCTCTATGATTTGATGGACTTACCGAGTAGAGTGGGCAATGGAGAGTACTTTTGACCCGATATGGCTGGAGAAAAGGGGAAGCTTATATAGAGTGTGCAGCCTCATCTCGCCTTTCCTTTTTCCTCCCTACACAGCCAATCGCTTTTCCTACACTCTTTACTTCGTTCTTTCGTGCTTCTTCTAGATATAGACAAAAGTCTCGATACAATGCGCCATTTTGACGCCTGGTTCCTCCGCGACCCCTACTCAATCTTCCACTACTATCCCACCAACCGCCGCTGGTCAGAAAACATCCGCGAACTCATCCAAGAACGCCAAATCTGCGCCCCAGTCCCGTCTGCCTCTGGATTCACACCATCAACCCCGGATATTTTCTTGAAAATCGACCCCCAACTCAACAGCCCCCTCTTCAACCGCCTGCCCCCGGAGATCCGGTCCATAATCTGGTCCCACGTCTTCGGCGAGCCCGTCCTCCACCTCGTTCAGATCCGCAATCAAATCCGCCACGTGCGCTGCCCCAACTCTGTCTCCGCGATTGACAGGAACCGGCGCTGCTGTCCGGTCACCGCCGCGCGATGGCGTACAGACGTTGATACCTCGTCCGCTGCTTCACCAACCGACAGCAACAGCACCAACAAACAACACCCCAACACCGACCCCAACAGCAAACTCTACCCTCACACCCACCCCTCCCTCCCCTCACATCTCAGCACCACGCCAGCAAGCCTGCTGCGCACCTGCCGCGCGATCTACGACGAAGCAGCACCCCAGCTGTACCGCCAGGCGACCTTCGATGTCGACGACCTATCGACCTGGATCGCATTCACCGACCAGGTCAACCCGACCTGCCTGCAGGAGGTGCGGAAATTGAGCGTGCAGGTCGTCCCGCTGGGAGGGATATTCCACGACCGGGAGACCAGCCATAGTCATAACCACATCGACAGCAACAGTAACAGTAACAGTAACAGCAACAACAACAACCCACCACCGCCACCACCAACAGAAACAGCACGAGCTCCCACCATCACCAGACCCCCCCACTCAATCCACACTTACACGCACAACCCCCACCTCTGGACAAGCTTCTGGCAAAGAACCACCACCCAGTGCCCGCACCTCACTGACCTAACCCTCTGCATCGACCTGGGCCGCTTCACCGCAACCGCCGCCCCCACCGCCACGAACCCAGCCGCGGGCAGCATAACTGGCGGCTACAAGCTCCCGCTCCACGCCGGCGTGAATGCGGAATGGCTACGGCCCATCGTCCAGCGGGTGCGCGGATTGAAGCGGTTCGAGCTGGCGGTCACGGCGCGGTGCGATGCGGCGGCGCGGGCGGGGGTGGAGCGGGAGGTCGGCGGGGTGGAGCGGCTGGGGCGGTTGCGGGCGGAGATTCGGGGCTGGGTTTGTTCGGGCCGTTGCACGGGATTTGAGGAGGGACAGGATGATGCGGCGGCGGCGGCGGCGGCGGAGTATGGGGATGACTATGGGTACGGGTTCAGAGCTGGGAAGGAGGGGTGGCAGAGAAGAAAGCGGAGGTTAGCAATTTGTTCGGCTTGATTTTTCCATAGAATCTCCTCGGGAGGGAGGGAGAGATGAATTGACGATAGACGATAGATTCATAGATACCCTTTTCTTTCTTTCACATCCGTCCAGCAACGTACCTGACAACCTCTAAAATGCGAGGCGAGGTGAGGTCACTCGCATTCTATCCTTATACATCAAGTGCAGTACATATACACACTAAGTTACACTCCGAGTGACAACACACCATCCAAAAGTAAAAGTCCCAATTCATCTATAACAATTTAGTCTCTCTGTACAGTACAGTACACATCATCATATTAAGCCCCTGCATCCCATCCCGTGCAGAAACACCACCTCCCCAAAAAACAACCTCCATCTCAAGGAAATAGTCCTTTCCCCTAAAGCAATATCCCACCCCATCAAATAATGATACATCGCCCGTAACAATTTTGTCGGAACCAGAGAAGAAAAGGTCCGTAAAGATACATATTACTCATTTTTTTTAAACCCACGTCGAAATTGAGATTCCCTTGGTTGATGCACGGCTCTTCTCATATGAGGCTGCTCGTGTAAGGCTCCCGCGAGATAAGAGGAAGTGAGGAGGCAAAAGAAAAGAAAAGAAAGGGTTGATGTCCAATTTCGGAAGTTAAGCTCATACCCAGACCGGTCCTTTTGCTAACCTTACATTATCTGGAGGGAGAGAGGTTGTGGGAAAGGGAGACATGAACCAAGAAGGTAGGTGAATTAGGTTGCCCAGTGGGTTGAGGGGTTCGGGGCGAGAAACGACAAGAGCAGAAACAAAGTATCATCAAGTAAGAACACATATCACTCATGCCCGGGAACCAGCTGCATGTTGTTGTTCATACTCGTGTTCTTGTTGTAGCTGTTGGCCGCTGCTGCGCTCGGCCTCTGATTCATGTTCCTCCTCGCTGGTGGGGGAAGGGGCCCGACTGCCCACTAACGAGCGACGGCTGCGCATCTAGACCGAAATTTGTGAGCGGGCTGCACCCTCCTTTGCATCGCGACTTCAGGAACTCACCCATGATCGAACGCCACCAATCAGACCCAGACTGTACCCAGTGGCAAAGTAATCAGGGGGTTCGTTGCGGCCAGTGCCCATGGGGCTGTCGGGACGGCCCAGAGCCTCAACCCGCGAGACATGCGACTTGTTCCCCAGCACGGGACTCGTCAGTCCGCTCGTCAGTCCACTGCGCGAGCCGCCCAAGTCCACGCTGTTGCGGGTGCTGGGCGCCGGGCTGCCGGGGCGGCTGTTCTGCCAGAACTGGCGCAGCTCGCGACCCAATTCCTGGCCCGTGGTAGTCCAGTTGGCCCGGATGTTGTCGCGCAGCTCCGACACATGACGCTTGATCTCCAACTCGTTCTTCTTGATCCATGACACGTTCAGTTCCTGACGCGAGGCTCCGCGCTTGAATTGGCGCGAAATGTATTGATCGTAGTCGCGGACAATCCTGAATCGAATCAGCTTCGCCAGCTCATTCACATCCCAACCGCGGAAACCCACCTGGTGATGATGCCCGTAGTGCTGACACCTTCCGTGCGCTGCGTGACCAGGAATTTCCCCTCTCGCTTGATCGGGGCGTAGATGTCGTCGCCCTCATCCGCACCATACGGCAGGTCGTCATGTGCCACATAATCAATCTTGTGCTCCTCGAGGAACGCCGGGGTCAAAATCCAAGGACAATCGGGAATCACCTCGTCCACCCATTTACAGTGCCGCAGGGACTCTGCACGCTCTGCGCCACTCAAGACCGTCAATCCCTTGCGCTTGTGTGTCTCCTCATCACCCGTGACACCGACAATCAGATATACGTCGGGGAAAGCCTTCTTCGCCTGTTCCAACTGCCGCATGTGACTGGTGATCACCACGCCGGTTAGCCATCGATAAACGGAATGCACCGTAACGGAAAAAAGGACAGCACGTACCCCAAGTGGAACAAATCGAACACTCCGTCCGCGTACACCCGCACCGGGCGACCCACTGGAGGCGGGTTGGTGTGATAACCGACGGGATCCTGGAGCCCACCGCGTTTTGGAGGCTCCAACAAGTGCTCTGGGGGTGCCGTCGTGTCGATTTGCAAGCCCGGTCGGGTGCTCTGACTCTCGATGTCGCTGCTGGCCACGGTAGTCTCGGACGGCTCGCCCGGGTCTTCCTTGTTTAGCGCTCCCGCCGCATTGCCGTTGGACAGATGACCGTGGTTATTGTTGTCGCTGACGGAAGCCTTCCGGGCCCGCTTGGACGGGGGCACAGCGCCGGTCGATGTTACGTCCTGGGACGGCTGTTTCTTGTGTTTGCTGGGGCTGGGCAGTGGAATAGCTGGGCCGGTGGAGTCGTCGCCTTCCTCGCCGGACGCATCGCGGGAGGAAGGTTGCAAAAGATCTGCAGGCGCAGGAACGGCAGTAGGATGGTGTTGGGAGCCACTGCGCTTGCGTTTTCCGGACGGAGGAGAGGACATGGTGGCTGACTGACTGAGGGAGCGCAGCTCAACTTCTGTCGAGGAAGGATTAGGAGAGAGGGAAGGAGGAGAGAGAGAAGAGATGGGGTGTTGGGGGGGGGGAAGAAGAGGAAGAAGAAGTAAAGAAAAGGGATACGGACGGGGAAGAAAGTCCGAAAGTAATGGGAGGACGGTGTGGAAGCGAAAGGGGAGGTGAGACAAGAAGAAAGTAGGATGACGGAGAAGGATGAGCAGCGACAGAGCAAGCAGAACGAGAGCACGCACGAGAGAGCAGAGCAGAAGCCGGACGGGAGGTCCCGGTGGAGGTCCGGTAGAGGAACGGTAGAGCACTAGACTACGTGCAAAACACGGGCTTTCAGACGGAGCATTGATTTAACCCAATGCAGAAGAACAGACAGGACCCTGAAATCGGATCCGAGGGGGGAGTTCTTGGAATTGTCTTCAGGGGGAGGAGAAATGCAATGAGTCCGTCCAAGACTGAGAGGACAGACAATCTATCTTACAGTAGAATCAAAACTCTGCGGGCAGAAAAGATACAATAAGTTACGGTATGGTACTCCGTACTAGGTCATTGATTGAAGCTGACACCGCCCCCCGAAAGGGTCCATCCGCTGCCCCAACAATTCCAATGGTTCCGAGCTAGTTTATGATGAATGGAGTTATGAAAGTAACTAACTTACTTATGCTCAGCCTCACAATCTAGGAAGTCGTGCACGAAGTCGTGCACTAACATCTTCCCCTATGGCCTGCATCCGTCCAGACCAGAGCCATTGGTTCAATGTTTCCAGTTGGAGGTGGGGGATGATAATGTTGATTATTGTCTGGATAGAATTGATGTTGTCATCATCATCTCCAAAACTTCTCCCAAAATATCCCCAAGCCACACTAGCCTTGTTAAGTTTAGCTCGGTCGCCTATACTTCCCTCCTCGCAAAGTAAACCATCTTTCAGTTGACCCTCACTCATCCTTGATCCATTTGCCTATTACCCACTTGCAGTATCGCTAGGGCTTCAAAGAGAGCATTGTACTGTATATACATCGTGATCATGGAAGGCTAATCAGATCGCAGAAGACTGAAGCCATCCTCATGCCTGAGCGAGTCTACACTGTCATCACCACGGACACAAGTTCCCAGAACTAAGCCTAAGTACCTACAAAGGCCTTCCCTTTTAGTATCTACAACCTACGTTTCACACGCTAAGAGCCAACGGTGTCTATATGCATACCAGATGAAAAAGGACGTCAGATACACGGCCGTATCCATCCCATTCCAGAAACTCCGCTGCTGAAGGAAGCTGTCCACTCGACATGCCACACTATCACGGACAGTCCGCAGGTCTTTCGCAGATGTCGTTTCCCTGCAGGACGCGTAACCGTTCCCCCATGTCCAGTCAACTACAACTGACCTTTCTTCCCGGTCTTAACGCCGGCTACGCGCCTTCCCGTTGACCCCGGGATAAAAAAGGCCCAAGTTGTGGCTGCCACCGTCGCCGGGGAGGGAACGAAGATAGTGACATGGGAGTTGGGGAGCGAGTAGAGAAAACGAAACAAGTCGTTGTAGAAATATGAAAGGTTCATCAACACGGGGCGTTTTGTGCGGTATCTTGTGTGTCAAGGCATGAAACAGACGTGCTCTCGTGAGACCTGCCGCTCGCGGCTTCGAATGTGGAATAGAAAAGAAAAGCTGTAACGAGAAAACCCCATCCTAATCCCGTGAACTCACCCCGGCAAGACACAATAAAGATGTGAAGGGGGAGCTCGACAGTCGCTATTCCCTGCTTGTTTCATTCCGTCCACAACCGTTGAACCAGTCAATGCCAGGGAGCTGGATGGATGTAGAGAGAGTAGGTGTAAATTCGGAAGAGAAATAACATGGCGCTTCGGATAACATGTGGAGAACAGAACAATAAGGGGGAAGAATAGCGACACTGTCAAAGAATCACACGACGATCAGGAAACCCAAAAGAAAAAAGAAAAGGACATCAACAGCGGAAAAATGCAACAGATCCATTCCATCATGACTACACATTAGTAGGTTTCTGCGGCGTTCCAGGGGCACTGGTGGAAGAGCTCTCCGCGGTGGTAGACGGCGACTGCGAGATGGTTGTAGATTCATCGGCCTTGGGAGTGCTATCCTTGGATTGTGGCCCAGGGGTTCCTTCGCGATCGCTCCGTCCCGCGTCAGTAGAGTCATGCTGCACCTGATTGCCGAGGTCCCGGTCTTCCTCAGTATGGTCAAACAGCTCGTCATCGTTCTGCTCCGGAATCAATTCTGTGCCATCGCCCAAGAGAATGATGCGGCCCGAGCGTACACTGAAGCCACGGGAACGATCGTTTTCCACGTCATACTCATCGGGGTTCTCTTCGAACTGATTACGGATGCCGGGGCCGCGGAACTCAGCTGCTCCCCCCGGTAAGTCAGTAGGAGTTGGGATTGGAGGCCTCGGGATCCTCGAGAGACTTGCCGTACTCGGGCGGGGCGCAGGGGCCGTCGCCGTTGGCCACGCGCTCAGCGATCTGATTGTACCACTCCTCTTTGGTCCTACCGTTCAGAAGACCGATGATGATCATAGTCATGTTGTCGCATCCAACGCCACCCGTCTCACTGTTGGAAGCCAGGCAATTGTCCATCATGTTCTCACAGATGCGGTGGAGGTCCTGCTTGGCGGCAATACCGCGACGAACGAACTCAACGACGGCCTGCGAGGTTTGGCAATCCCAGATACCTGCATTGACATTAGCACCCACTGAGCTGAACCCGGACTGGACGCGTGAAAGGGGGACATACCGTCGCAGGCGATAACGAGGAATTCATCGTCGTCAGTAAGGTCGTGGACAGTAACATCCGGGTAAGCGGTCACGATCTGCTGTTCGGGTGACAGCTCGGGACTCTTCTTAAATTCGAAATCTCCAATGGCACGGGACAGGGCCAGGTTGCCGTTGACACGGCCAAAGTCGACGAAGCCGCCTGCAGCGCTAATACGGGCCTTCTCGCCTGTATTCCATGTTTCAGCATAACCAACTCCAGCTCGAAGAGACCCAGCACCTCGTTACTGACCTTCATTTTGGGGCTTGTGATCAAAGGATAGGGGCTTCGCGCGGCCCTTCACACCGAGCACGGAACGGGAGTCACCAGCATTGGCCTATGCAGCGTTAAAATATCATTCCGATAGACAGCCAGCGCGGTTCCCCGAACGATTCCATATACGTACCACCCAGATCTTGTGCTTGGAAATGACGCTGACGGCTGCAGTGCAGCCAGACACTTCTTCTTCGTATTTAGGATCTAGCCGAATCAGTCCACTGTTATCTCGGGAAGAGAGGCGTGGGAGACAAAGAGTTGTCCCGGTGCCCGAAGCTGAAAGTTCACGAACCTTCCAGGATAGCGCGGTCGGTCGCAAGGAAACCGTCCTTCAAGGCTTGCTCAATATCGCCCTTAGCGAACGCATCCTGCTTTGCGACGATCTTGTGGACATTCTCTCCGGCGAATAAAGCTACTTTATCACCACCGTGTCCATCGTATACACCAAAGAATGCGAGACGTTTGTCGGGATCGGTAGGGTTGTCGTTCTGCTCCGAGAACTTGGCCTGGAGGTCTAGCACGGCCGCATGAGCATCCTCCATGCTGATCCGCCAGCCCTGCATGGCCGAGACACCGTATATACAACACTCATCCTGACCTTCAGCCGAATGCTGGACAATGCTCCATCATGTTAGCAAAGTTGACATGTTAAGAGCGCGAAAAGACAGTAGATATGACAGGTCACCCGCTCGGAAGCCGCCTGCAGGAATTTTCATCATCTTGTGGAGGGACCCCGCAGACGTGGGAAGATCACCACGCTGCAGCCCCTCCGACCACCTGAGGAAGTGATGGCACGCATTTTGAACTTGAATCCAGACAGTGGTACCGACAGTTATTCGAGTAACCCATACACATTGAGAAAGAAAGGGGAAGGAAATGGGTTGCGCGATGATAGGGGGGAGGCGGTTATAGGAATTGCGTAAGGCCTCTTGCAGTGTGGGGGGACGAAAGGCGAAGGCAAACGCATTGCTTCAGTTTCACGCACCTTCTCGACCACAGGCTCGGACAAGGTCTGACCCATGATATTTGACGGGAGATATTGATTAAAAGTTTGGCGCGAGAAGATGTATTGTTTCTTTTTTTCACCAAAGTGAGAGGGGAAGGAGGAGATGTAAGCTGAGTAGTAGAAAGGTTGAAGACAGGAAGGGGAAAAGTTTAACACACACGGAGAGAGAGTATCTGAGGGGGAAATGAGAAGAGCCAGTGACTGAACAGGATCAGGTGGGAAGGGGAAGGGAGAAAGACGGAGGAGAGAGAGACTAGACTCAGAGCGGGAGGAGGGGGAGTGAGAGAGTAGGTAAGAGAGAGAGAGGGGAGGGTAAGTTAACGGGCAGAATCACTACTATTAACGGAGGCGGCGTGACGGAAAGAAAGAAAAGCTGCCTACTAGTACTGTTGTTAAGGCGAGCCTTAGGCCTGTACAGAGAGGTATAGTGTGGTCAGTGTAGCTAGGTAACTACTGCTAACGGTAGTTAGGTAGTGACTGAGGGACTGAAGGACTACAGAGTAAGATACTGTAGCCTGCCTGTAGTTAGGTGAAGTGAGCAGCCGCAGTCATTCATTATTCAAAAGACAATACCGGGGAGTGGGGAACCCGATTCAACGATGACGATACTTTGTCCACCGTGCTGGAAGATTGGCTGATCCCCTCCGATCCTGTCCAAGATCTGTCACCGTGTTCATTAACCACGGCTGACGAGTGACACGCGGAATCATATGGAATTATGACAGAAGTGGCAGAAATAGCAGAAAAGGGGCGAAGAGAAAGAAAATTGATGATGATGATGATGATGATGATGATGATGATGATGGCGATGGTGTCACAGGCCTGGGGATGAGTTTTTTTGGCGTTATGATACTCTGTACGGAGTAAGTTAATCAATTGCTTATGCTCTACAGATCACAAGGGCATCGGCAGCGCTCGTTGCAGCTGGCTGGCTACCTGCAGGTAGATCAATAGGCAACTCACAGGAGGTTTCAAAACACATTAACCTCGATAACAATAATGAAATAAAATTCAGTACCTCTTCTCTCTACCTCGAGCACTATGTCCCGAAGGTACTATTGTTCGCTGTTTTGGGTGGACCGCCTTCCTGTCGCGTGCCTTCAACCACAGGAAATGCCGGAAACAGCCTGACCCAACCCACTCAGCTCACCACGCTCTAATACTGTGGACTCGTGGAGTGCCACAGAAGAAGCTGAGCTCTATTTAATCCTTCCGCTTCGTACATATTGTACTGTACATACATACTCATACATACATCAAACATTATGCTAGGGTCTGTGGCTGCTATCCGAAGTGAGAGACCGCCATTCATGCCAAGTCTCTGGTATTGAACCGGTATGGTCAATCTGACCTTGCAAACGAGCGTGCTCTAGCCAGGTCTCTGCTTCTTATACCTAACGTTACCCGAAGCTGTGTTTCAGTAGAAGATATTCGCAATCAATGTCTCAGACCTAACTTGATACATCAATGCCCATCAAATCTTGCTTAACTTAGGTGATTGCTACCTACGGTACTCCGTAAACAAGTCGGAAGTAGATAGTGAGACGAGGCGTGTGGAATTGGCTGCTAATGTCAGTTCTCGCAAGGGCTCTCTGCATTGCCTTGCTCAGCGCCGGTAATGCATTCAAGTTGTACCTTTGTATTGCTCGTTGAACAGAGTACTGTACCTACTTTACCATAGTACAGTACCTTGAAGCGCTCTTGCTGTTTTCGGCAACTGCCTTTATACCCCGGGCCTGTTCAGTGTGGTGACTGCCTCAGGCAGGAAGCATCATGTACCACTGCCTAGTACCTACCTGTGATCGTACCTAGGTACCGACTACCTTAGGTAGCCGACTACTATACTTCTAGTCAGAGCCGCGCCTTCAACACTTCGCGGGCTTAGACCTGCCTTTCTACCCACACTCTTCGGAAAAGCCCATCAGTCATAATGAGATGAACACACAAGCACATGCAATCAGCAGGGATAAGCTGCCATCGAAAGAGAAGGCGCCCGATTTAAAGAGAAGTCATCGCCATTTGATACAGCCCGTTGGGGAGCAATGCAGTCCGTGATTAACTTAGAGGGGCCACTCTTGTCACTGGACAGCAACGACGGCAAGCAGTGGGGGACTGGACTCTCTGCATCATGCGCAAGCATTAAATGAAGTATAACCAAGATTCTAGTGGGCTGAAGTACGAATGCAAGAGACTGCTAACCCGGCCAGCAGGTACAGACCAGTTGCAACCATCCATGGCAAACCCATCCATGCGCCCTCCCACGCCATTCCTGCTTTGAGAAGAGCTGCTAAAAGCGGTCCAGCTATCATAGACCCCACGGCCTCAGCCAGTGCAATTGTTGTGTTGAAGAGCCCGACATGGGTTTCTGCCACCAAGGCGCTTCCAACACTACGAAGTGTCGTGTAGAAACCCCACCCGAGGGCCGAGAAAGACAAACCTATGCCGAAAAGGGCTGGATGAGCAGCTACCGACATTATACCGAATCCTGCCATCAGTACACAGATACTGCCGTGTGTGATTCGGAGATCTCTCCTTATCGGAGAGAGATAACCTCCAAGTATTCTGGAGATCAGAGGCAGTATGATAATGAAGGCGACAAGGTTGACTACGCCTTTGAGGCTGATGAGGAATGTAGCCTACCCAGTTTCTTCTGTTAGTGACTTTCAGGTTAGTGGCTCGAACTGGGAAGGCATACCTCGGCCACACTCCACATGAAACGCTTGGAGGCATACTGCAGCACGAACTGAAGTGCCTGGCTTCCAATGCTAGATGTCAAGAAAGCGAAAAAGATCGCTAAAGTGTTGGCGTTGCCCCAGACAAACCCAACCACTTCGATTAGCTGAGATCGGACCAAGTGCACAATGGCCGTCCATCTCACGGTAGGATGCTCGCTGGCTTGTCCTTGTGCTTCGCTCTCAATATCTTCGTTCGATCCGATGGATGCTTTCGGTCCAGTTTCTGGTAAGGCGAAAATAGGGATGATTCCGCACACCTCAATCGCTAATCCTAACAACGATGGCATCCACACATCTTTGGACATCAGCCAAGCGCTGAGAGGGGCTGCGAGGATCTGGGAAAGCAACATCGCTGCAGCCATGAGAAGATACGCATTTGCCCTGGGAGTTCGTCGCGTTTCAGCGCATTGAACAGCAGGAAATTGGGAATATCATGATTACCTTTGGTCAACTGGGAAGACGTCTGCAATGACGGTCCAGGCAACGGAGCTAGCGATTTGGCTACCACCCCCAAATACCTGGAACAGTGGTGCAAACCACACTGCTTCAAGTGGGATGCTTGTATGATTCCAGCCTGAGAAGCACGTCAGCCAGTAATTCCTTTCCTCTGACTTCCAAATCACCCACAGATGAAACGAATAGCGCATTCCTGCATGAGGAAACCCGCAAGGCTGATGATGATGACAGGTTTGCGTCCGACCTGATCTGCCATGAGACCGAATGGGATAGCTAGGATCATTCCGGGAAGCTGAGTGAAGGTATCCTGCCAGCCTACCAGCAGAGCGAGCTTGCCTTGCACGTCAGTTGACTTGCAGAGCGGTTGGGTGGTTGCTGTCAGTCCACCGAAAGCGCTGGCGAATAATTCGGGGTGCATGCGCTGGCAGATAATGTTCTCATATATCTGCAGCTGCGGCGCGACAGCAAGATAAACGCCAAAGTCCAGAGTAACGATGATGAGGCACACAAATAGGAGAATCCATTTCGATCTTCTGGGCGTGGTTTTATTTTGAAATGACTGCTCACGAGGGCCTGGCAAGAGTAAACTCGTCTCCAGTGCCTCATCTGCGCCGAGTAAATTGGTTGTCATCTTGAAAGAGAAGTTGGACAGCCCCAACTGATTCGGAAAACACAGACAATTGAGCACACACACTCCGGAGCACCCTCAGGCAGGAGAGGAGTGAGAGTGGGTTGGGCGAGAGGAGATCACTTCATCTCACTCAGCACAATCAGAGAGGTGCGATTGCGAGCTATTTAGCTGCATGGCAAAGCAGTACGCTAGGCTGGATGCGTGTCTGCTTTGATATAGGTCGAGTGTCTTATCTGCTTATCGGGTTCCAGAAAAGTCGACAGCGACAATAGACCGGCCTCCGAGAATGATGGATTGATTACACGCATTTTACATTGTGGATGAGGGGTGCGAGCTTATAGGCTCATGGATCTGACACCGACGCGCTACGCCAAGACCCAGCCCAATCCCGCTGGTCGAACCGCATAGTACCTTGGATTGATACGTGGTTGCCTGTTGTTTCAACACATTATCATTGAGTTCTCGAGATTTACCCTATCATGCTAGGGTGATCATGGACAAAGGAAAGCATTAAATTAATCATGGTACAAAATATGCACGGTGGATATCATGCTCGCCGGATACTCGTCGACGACAAAACAAACCCTAAGACAACACATTGGCAGCGATAATATTGTAACAACAACAGCATGAAAGACAAATGGGTATGTATACTTTCGCCTCAATCATACAAATGCGATATCACTTCTCACACTTCCCGTCAGCTCTCTTTGCATACCTCTCTGCTCACTCCAGTCTCTGTCCGCCGATCGAATCAAGCTCACTCGGCGCGATCGAACCTCGTATGGCATGGAAGAATAAGAGGGGCTCTTGCGCAATGGTGGCAACGGCGGAGGATCCGTTCTAGGGGCTTCACCCGGCGCGTTTGACGCGACCTGGAACCAAGTCCGATTGTTCCCAAGGGATTGACGCTCATTGTTCTGTGGGTCAGTTGATCCGGGGTACGCCGCACTACCGCCGGCTTCGCCTCGCTGGGCACTGCTTAAGCTTAACTCGCTGTAAAAGCGGGGTAGCGGAGCAATCGCCTCAGAATAATTCTGGGCGAGACTCGATTGACTGGGCTGCTTGTTGATCGGTCCCGACATCGGCGCGTCCGACGATTCCTCTGATAGCGAATGGAGGTAAGCCGACTGGCGGTGGTCATCGGTATAGATGGAGGCTGACATCGCCGCCGACCAGGGGCGGTCCTGCCGGTAATCATCGATATAATGGGAACTAGCGACTGTATCTGCTCGACTCACGGTGCTGCGCGCCCGATGGAGAGCGCGGCCACCGGATGAGCCACGACGAGCGAATTGGCCGGCAAACAGAGGATTGGAAGAATTTCGGCTTTTTGCACGACTGTGCACGAAAGCTTCAAGGGAATCCGTATCAGAGATGGTCAGCGTGTCCGGCTCGACAGCTCGAAGGCTCACGCGCTTAGGATATTCCGTGCTTTCCCGTGCGCGGAGGGGTGGGCGAGGGAATAATGGCGCCAAATTCCCCACATCGCTCTCGTCGCTCTGGAATGAGGCTTGTGTGTTCTGCCAGGAGACACGAACAACCCCATGCCCCGGCGGCCCAAATCCACCGGCCCCATGGCCAGCGCCGCTCAGCCTGACAGGCAGCCCTGAAGCAACTGTGGAGATGCCGCTAGAGCGCTTCGAGTACCTCTTCGACCGCGATACCGTCGAGTTCCGCTTGAGTGACCTCCTCGGCTGAATCGGCCGAAGTGGCTCACGCTTCTTTGATGTAGTCGTAGTGCGCCTGCGCACGGGAGGACTGCTCTGGAATGACAAGCGCTTTGATTGCGGAGGTGGATCCGCTACTGGTTTCGTCTCTTCCGGCTCCTTCGTGGTCGCCAGTGGACCGAAGTCCCAGTCGAGGGTTGAGTGGGGGTAGGCATTCTCCTTGTCATCTGTGTAGTTGATGGTGTCGGCATCGGCCAAGGGCTTCGTGTGCCAGAAGATCTCGAGCTTTGGGGGTCTGGATGATGGCGACGGGCTTCTGAGCATCCTTGGCGGCTTGCCTGGGGTGGTCTGTTCAAAAGGCTGGCAGTGAGGGTACATGTCAGAATCGGGATCAGGGGGCAGAGATCCCCTCTTTTCGTCTGCCAGTCCTTCCTCCGGTCCTGGAGCGACATCTTTCTTCTTGTGACGCCAACAGAAGAATAGAAGTACAAGGGCGCTGAGAACAATGAGCGGAATAATGACCGAGATCGCTATGATGCCGGCCTTTTTGCCGCTGTTGTCGCTACTACCGCTGCCTTCGTCCGCCGTGGCGGTAGTAGCTGCGTTCTCGTCGTTCTTTTTCTTCGAGACTGTCTTGATTGTGAATTGCCGGGTATCCTCCGCAGTCTCCTCGCGAGCCGTCAGGTTGAGGTTGAAAGTTCCCGGAGTGATATCGGAAGGCACTTGACCATAAATGGTCTTGTTGTCGCGGTTGTAATGAAGCCAGGGGAGCTGGCCACCTAGTTCAACGTCCAATTGGACAGAGTCGTCGGTAAGAATAGAGCTGTTGAAGACGAACATGAAGAATTGCCCGATGACAGCGTCGCATTCGTCCAAATCATCGTGAAAGAATTGAGAAAATTGCAAGCTGACAAGTAGTGTGGCCACTTCCTGAGATTTATCAGTTACAGTGATGGTCACATTCTGGTCTACAGCGTCTGCTGGAGGTGTGCCGCTTAAGGAGAGCGATTCCTTGTCCAATGCCAACCATGCTGGAGAATCCACATGAATATTTGCCAAATCAGTGCGCGTCGCTCCGTGACCATCCAGAGTCAAATCATCCAGGAAGTTAGGACTGTCGAATTGTTTCCCTTTGGTGACAAAGAGGGTCTGTGCACTTCGATTGAAGGACAAAATGTGTGGGCTAACAGTCATCGCAAATGTCATGGTGGCAGCGCTAAATCCGGCTACATCCGAAGCGATCAGGTTAAAGCTGAATGTCTGAGGTCCGATATCCGGAGTAGACCCCGAGAATCGCAGGGCTGCCTGGTCGAATGAGACCCACGATGGCAGCGGCGCATTGTCAGGGGAAGTGCCGTAGTAGACAGTGGAGGGACGCGTGTTGGCGAAGGTATCACGATCGAAGGATATGGAAAAAGAATCGCCAGAGTGTACCACAATCGTGTCTGGAGCCGATGTGGCGCCCATCGTTTCAAGTTGTGGTAGCAATGGTTTCCCCAACTTTGGCCCATCATCGGTTGTGACTACCAAGTTGACCTCCATGTTCACGGATCCCGTCTCATCAGAAGCTACCAACTCAAACTTGGGCGACCCGATGTCATCTTTCTGGGGCGTTCCGGATATCGTACGGTGCTTTGCATCTAGTTCAAGCCATGATGGGGCGTTCAGAAGCGTATATTGAGTGTCGGGCCCGCTGCCAGCAAACGTGCCTTGGGAGAAGACAAATTCGAATGGTTCTGAGACTCGGGCTACTGGAGGCAGCTGTGCGTTCACAGGGTAAGTCGGCGCGAGGCCTGCAATTACCGTCCCCAGGATGCTGAGGAGACCCAACGCGATGAGCGCCATCTCTCCAGAGCAGTGAGAACGGTCGGGACGAGTGAGTGTCTTCAGTCAGATACACGAGAGGCAACTCGCACTGTCGCTCTGAAAAGTCACCCGACGCCAACCTTAGGAAGAAGCCACAGTGAAATGGTCGAGAGTTGAGGGTTGAAAGTGAGAAACGAGGAATTGCTCTGCCCTTAGGGCAGAGACTCTAGTTTTTTCCATCATGGCATCCGCGCCCAAGGGCCCAACGGGCACAGGAGAGGCGCGAAGCTTGCATCCCCTTCGAAAAGAGCCATGCCTGGATATGCTTGACGTCACTTGGGCATGGGAATGGTCAGAGATTGATGGTTCGCGGCGCGATAATTCTCACTCTGTGAAATGTAGGCTTTGCTCCCTCTGCAAGGGATGGCGTCGTCGGGAAGCCAAGGAGCGAGCCACCCTCCAACCACCGCCTGAACCGTCAACACCCTGACTCGGAGAATTGCAGCTATTTGACAGATGGCCTGAAGGAATCAATTGGCGCTTGTGCCTTTTGGTCTCGTCGCGAGTAAACAACCTTATCCAGGGGACCTACTCATGTACAAGCGATGCCACAGGAGTGACAGGGGTAGCAGCAACAAGTCAAGGTCTCAAGGGCTACTTGACTACAAATCCAGGACCATTCTAACGCCAGTCCGGCCTGGTCCATAGTAATCTGGGATTTCCTCGCGCTCTGCATAACCACTGCGGGCGTACAAAGCTCTAGCTGGGGCTCTGTCCTTGTCCACCCATAACTGGATATACTGACAACCCTCCCTTTGCAGACGAGTGCGAACGTAGCCCATTAGCTGGAGCCCTACGCCCCGACAGCGATAAGTCTCGGCTACACAGACTTTATGGAGCAGGGCAATGCCTTTCTGGCGGACGTAGACCGCATAAGCCAGAACCAGCGGGGGATTTGCGCCTGGGAGGTGGGCATACAGGACCCTCGTGTTGGGCTTCTTGCGCCAAAGCTCCTCTCCAAAGGTCATGCCCTCATTGGCAGGGAAACTCTTTTTCTCGACACGTGCGATCTGGGCAAGAATGTCCAGGGCTTGGATCCTGTTCAGGGAGTGGATGTCTGAGAAGATCAGATCGGTCGACATTCTTGGAAAATTTTGAGAGCATGAGTACATTCAGGGCTGGGTTTGAAACGATCCCGAAAGTGACAGGGCAAGCCAGCCGCGGGAGGGCTGACAATGAAGGATTTAAAGGGACCGCAGGGCAAGGGTTTTAAGGGTAGGAGGATGTCCTCAAGAATGAGAACCGAAGGGAGGGAGGGGTTTCGTGAAGAGCTTGTAGTTCGTCTGTCACTCTCCTCAGGCGCGTTTCCAATTTGACTCTATCCTTAGCATGTAGTTGTAGGGTAGCCTAACAAAAAATACTGAGTAATGTTGACATGCAGAGCCTGAGGGTGCCCAGTGTGGTAATTTACTGTCTAAATCGGGCAACCCATTGGTTCCAGGTTTACCATACGGTACCGCAACACTCTTCTCATGCGGATCTTGAGCTCCAACGATCCCTTCCTTTTCTCCAGGTACAGTACTGTACATGATAGAGTATCAAACATTCTCTATCGCGTTTCACTTCTCTCTCTCTCTCTCTCTTCTTGCCATCCCCTCCCATTTTCGATTCTATACAACCCCAACGCGCAGCACAACAACCCACTACCCACCCAACAACAAAAGAGATCATGCCCCCCACCCAAGCCGACGACAAACGCCAAGCAGCCCGCGAAGTCATCGACATTCTTCATGAGATTTCCACCCTCCTAGTAAGCAAATCAGCCAGCCCAGCCTAGCCCAGCCCTCCCCCTACCTGCCTTGCCATTCTTGTGTATGGCCCACCAGACCAGAACCTTCATGTCCCCCCACCCATCATGAAATCCCCTGGTAACCCCACACCACCGCCGAGCTTGCAACCTGCCTGCGCGGCTGGGGTTGGTGATACGCGTCGGTTCCGGGCGTATACTCCGCCTTATTCTGATGTTGACATCCATACTCTCCTCTCCGTCGTCATGCCTCAATGGCCGGGATCGATTGGAACTAATCATACTATGTCATGGACAGAACACCCATCTGGACCGCACGGAGCTCTCGCTTTGTGTCTCGCTTATTGAGAATGGGGTCAATCCGGAGGCTCTGGCGGTTGGTTTCTTTCCTGAATTTCTTCCTTGGGTTTTCTTGGGGGGGGGGGGCGGAGGGGGGGCTTATGGGAAGGACGTTGTTCTGTCTGGATGCTGACTTGGTGGTCTTAGGCTGTGATTAAGGATCTGAGGAAGGAGGCTGGGTCTGGGGGTAGGGGGTTTGGTGAGCAGCAGCAGCAGCAGTATGAGTGAGTGAGTGAGTGGGGTGTTGGGGGAGGTGCTGGGGGTTGCGTCTGGGTGAGATTTACCGTCGGTTTATGCTTGCATGTTTGGGTTTTGATTTAAAGATACCCGTGATTTATTCTATTCATGTACTGAGAATTGAGGTGATGCATTGATTTTGTTTTTGCATGGGGGTTGAGGTTATACGTTGCTTGTTTACGAGAGTGGGTATCTGGGGCTTTTGCCGAGAGCCGGACAGTTCGAACTCGTTTTAACTGATTCATTCAAATGCAGTCTCTTGGTATCATGGGTTCGGGCCGCAAGGGCAAATAACACGATTTGTGTAGAACAGATCAAGGCTACAACAACTGAATAGGCAGGCCACTGAATAAGCCGTGGTGGTAAGCTAGCGGATGGAAGAAGGCCCCGGCCAAAACTATGACTTTCCAGCGCCGGTTGTGCTCTCCTTGGACACTGCTTCCGCTACCGTCTCGACCGTCGCAGCTTTGGAAGCGCCCTCGGCGGTGGCGGGTTCCTTCGCCTTTGTGGTGGTGTCCTTCTCATCTTCGCTATCCCCCAGACTGAACGGGTCGTGTTCTCCTACTGGAGACGGTTCCACGGCGGCTAAGGGTTGCCATTTGCTGGACTTGCCTGTCGTCGCGGGCGAGGCGCGCCGGACCGGCTCGGATGCATCGTACAGTGAATCAATCTCCGTTGGGGGCCCGTCCTGGAAGGCAACCTTGCGTCTGTCGGGGGATGGTGACGAGGTCTTGTACAAGTTAGGGTTTGCAAGAGGGCGGGGAGGACGCGCGGGAGGAGCTGCGCGAAATTCGTCAGTGACGCTTCATCTTCATAAAGTCATTCAATCCACTTACCCTCGGAATCCCTCAATTCCAGCGCTGAGAAGTCGTCGCTCAAGACTCGGTGGTCGGCGTCGTACCGCTCACGGTCCCCGCTCCGACGACCCGTGTCGCCGCTGCGACGCGGACGGCCGAAGGGATCGTCGCGCGTGCCCTGAGCAGCCTGACTGCTAGAGTCTTCTTCCGGCTCTTCTCCATCCAGCCTCTTCTTGAGATTCGTCACCCACGAGTTCACCTTGGACTGGGTTTCCAGGAATCCTTTGCGGATGTTCTCACGGATGACGGGCAGGTCGTCTGCGGTAGTCACACGGGTCAGCAAGCTCGGACGTGCACATCAGGGCTGAATGAAAACCAACCATCGAAGAAGCTGTATTCTTTCTCCTCCTCTTCCTCGCTTCCTCGTCGCCGCTGGTACGCGCGATCGTCCTCATACCGAGGCTGCGGGGCCGCGCGGCGGTTGTAGTGTTCGGCAAGCTGGCGGGCATACATCTCATCCTGCTCGAGCTGTCTCTGGGCAGCCGACGGACGGGGAGGCTTCGGAGGGGGCACGTCTTGTTCGGCGGCATTGGGATCGGTCATGCCTGGGGAGTCGACAAGAGGTTAGTCGGGACGAAGAGGCAGCATTTGTGGCTGGGGACTACAGACCTAATAGAGCATGAAAGGCCCGCTCCACATCCCAGTTGCTTGCAGTCAGCACTGCTCTTACAACTCCGATGTCGATCGTGGGGAATGCTTCTTTGAGGGTGTTCTCGGCCTGCTGCCGGGGGCTCACGGAGCGGGGTGGCTTTGGCGGGGCAGCTTCCGCGGCGGGCGGCTGAGCTGGGGGAGCGGAGGGGGGAGCTGAGGTGACGCCGGTCTCCTGGGCTTCATCGTCGAAGTCCAGAGGACGCGCCGTGGTGGGCGACTCTGGTTTCGGGCTGGCTGGCACTGCAGAGAGTCTGTTGGCCGTCTGGGGTTACACTGAAGTTAGTAGTCGCAGTTGAATCGGGGGCAGCGGGATCTAGAACATACGTTCTTGTCTTCTTCCGACATGATGAACTGGATGGGGTTGGGGAATGTGAAGGAGGTGTAGGTAGGATATGTATGTAGAGGGTAGATATTTAGGCACACAGCCCGAGACTGAAGTTGGGGATCCTGGGGTATTATTTGATTGCGTGGAGGAGGGAATTCGCCCAACAGGCAGAAAGTATACCAATGATTGCTCGACTCTCTCCGCCCGCCCCCTTTCCTCTTTCCTTTCCGATTGTCCCTGGTGACGTTGCATCACGTGCCGAGTGTGCCTAGCTGACATAATCCGCCAGTGCCTTTCCATCCCCGATTGAGCATAACTTACATACTTAAGTTGGGTTGATATTCTTGATATCGTTCGCATTCGTCGTCTTGAATGGAGCTCGAGAGGTAGTGACCTCCGAAGACCCTCCAGCTGAAACTTCTATATCCCCGGTCTCGTTCAATATGTCTCACTTGGGCCAGTCACTTATCATCGGATCTTATTGTGGCTAAAATCTGGGACTTTCAGCTAGTCAGGTTAGACTAGGCTGATCATTGATTGATTCCAGAAGTATTCTTCAGCATGGCTTCGGAACTGGAACTCGGCTCCTCTTTCATACCCGCCTTGTATAAGCCGGCCTCGCTGCTTCCCATTGCGAGACATAAGCAAAATCTACTCTATTTGGTCGAAACTTACCCCGTCACCATTGTCGTGGGACAGACTGGAAGCGGAAAGACGACCCAATTACCCCAATACCTCGAGCAAGCAGGATGGTGTGCAGAGGGAAAAGCGATTGCTATCACGCAGGTAATGTCACTTCCGCCTTGTTGTTCGGCCGTTGACCAGCCAAGCTAACAAAGTTGCAGCCGCGTCGGGTGGCTGCCACAACTGTGGCCGCTAGAGTTGCCGAAGAAATGCGATGCAAGCTAGGCGAGGAGGTGGGCTACTCAATCCGCTTTGAGGACCTGACGTCTGCTTCCACGAGGATCAAGTTCCTAACCGACGGGATGCTACTTAGGGAGGCACTCGTTGATCCCCTGCTGTCGCGGTATTCGGTGATCATGGTCGACGAAGCCCATGAGCGGTCCCTCAGCACTGATGTGCTTTTGGGCATTCTGAAGAAGATCATGAAGAAACGTCCGGAGCTGAGGATTGTCGTCAGTAGTGCAACTCTGCAGGCCGAAGACTTTCTACGCTTCTTTGCTGGGGGGGAAGAGTTCGACGGCGATGCAGAATCGGGCGAGACCGGTGGGAATGTTGGCAGAATCATTAGTCTAGAGGGTCGCATGTATCCGGTGGATATGCTCTTCCTTGAGTCACCTGCAGAAGACTATATCGAGCGGTCCGTTAAGACAGTCTTTGATATACACCTGCAAGAAGCAGAGGGGGACATCCTTGTGTTCTTGACCGGGCGAGAGGAGATTGACACAGCTATACAATTGATTTCAGAACGCGCTGCCACGCTTCATCCCAAAGCGCAATCGTTGCTCCCTCTCCCGCTGTACGCCGGCCTCACGACAGATCAGCAAATGTACGTGTTTGAGCCAGCGCCTGAAAACACGCGCAAGGTCATTGTGTCCACCAACATCGCCGAAGCATCCGTTACTATCAATGGGATTGTGTATGTGGTGGATTGTGGTTTCGCCAAATTGAGAGCTTACAACCCGACCACGGGCATCGAAACATTGACCGCGGTCCCGATTTCCAAAGCAGCGGCAGTCCAGCGTGCAGGTCGAGCTGGGCGCACCAAGCCAGGGAAGTGCTTCCGTCTCTACACCCAGCAGGCATATGAAGCCCTTCCAGAGGCGACTGTCCCGGAGATCCAGCGATCCAACCTGGCGCCGGTGATCATGCAGCTGAAAGCTCTCGGAATTGACAACATCGTTCGTTTTGACTTTCTAACGTCCCCCCCCGCCGAATTGGTGATCCGTGCTTTTGAGCTCCTGTATTCTCTGGGCGCAGTCGACGATCATGCCAAACTCACCAAACCGCAGGGGATGCGCATGGCAGAGTTGGCCGTAGACCCCATGATGGCAAAGGTGCTCCTTTCCGCGCCGGGCTTTGGCTGCCTAAGCGAGATTCTTTCAATCGCGGCAATGGTCAGTCTTCAGGGCACCGTCTGGGTCCAACACGATGGCGATCGGAAAACATCCGAGAGCATGCGGAGGAAATTCGCAGTTGAGGAAGGCGATCATTTGACGTATCTCAATGTCTACCAAGCCTTTGTCACCAAGGGCAAGAAGGACTCGAAGTGGTGTCGGGATAATCTCTTGAACTTTCGATCTATGCAACGCGCCGTGAGTATCCGCGCCCAGCTGAAGCGATACCTGGAACGTTTTGGGATCCAGGTCGATGAGACGCTTTCTGCCCGCGCCAGACAGGAGGATCCAAGCAAGCTGCCGGAAAAGATACAACGATGTCTCACAACAGGCTATTTCGCACATGCTGCAAAGATGCAGCCGGATGGCACGTTCAAGACGGTGAGCGGCGGGTTAACGCTGCATGCTCATCCGAGCTCGCTGATGTTTGTGAGTCACACACACTTGCCACTGGGTTGTGAGTATTTTCGCTAACTGGTTATGCAGAATCGCAAAGCCGAATGGGTCTTATTCCATGAAATACTTCAGACGGGAGAAAAGACCTACATCCGCGATATAACAAAGATCGAAAAGGGCTATTTGCTTGAGTATGCACCGAACTATTATCAAGTGCGGTAAAAGATTCTCTTGCAGAGTTTCCTTGCCAAAGCAATTTTTGTACAGTAGATGATCCTTGGTAGTCTATGTTTCTATGATGATATCCCATGATGCATGAAGTGAAATCTTGTCACTTGGGTGGAGGCAACCTTCCGACCTTTGTTAAGCCACAACAAGCAAGCGTAGGATCATTTAGTTTGGCAGATTCATTGCTCACAATCTAACATCTATGTTTAAGAGCTAATATAAAGGTCAAGTGAAGAAATAAATGATAAGTGTCTTGCTGGGTTTAAACGAGAGTGAATTGTTGAGCTGATGTGAATGAATGGGTGACTTAGCCGAACAATCAAAGGTCGCGTTGAATTCGCTGAACATCTTGCTTGTTTTCAGATTCATCGTGCTTACCCAAGGTTCTCGGACCACCGCCTCTTACTCCAACTAGCTTCTCAGCCGATCTTGACTCGACCTTTCGTTTTCTAAAGCGACCACCAGGAGATTCAAGCGTCAAATTGCGACATGTCGGGCCATCATCACCATCATCACGGCCACGGCGGCGGACATTGCCATGACGAAGACGGCCACGACCACTCCAATGACATCACCCCAGCCATTCAATCGCTTCTTTACTCTCAGGTTCAGTTCGACTCTATCACAACACTCAACGGTGCGTATTATACCTGCGCTTGCAGCGATCGATTAATCTCAAAAGAGATTGAATACCAACAAACAAGGCAGAGGCGACGCCCAAGTCCGGCGCTGCGATCGTTAAGAAAACATGGGCGGAGAGACTCAACGACGAGCCGGAGCTCGAAAGCGATGCCGATGAGCAGCTCCTGATGTACATTCCGTAAGTTCTGCCTTGGAGGGTGTGTTCGCAGCCGGGGGAAAGACTGCCTTGCTTGTTGCTGTTGCTACCCCGCCATGGCCATTGCCCCTCCTCGAGTCTTGGTGTCGCGAACGAGCGCAGACCACTTCAGCACGCTTCGATCCCCACTGTTTCCATCACTTGTGACAATCAACTAATACTTCCCGTGACATGATGCAGCTTTACCGGCCAAGTCAAAGTCCACTCTCTGCTGGTCTACACCGCGCCCACTCCCTCCGCCCCCAAGACGCTGAAACTGTTCAAGAACCGGGACGACATCGACTTCGCAACCGCGTCCGAGCTGTCGCCCACCCAGACGATCGAGATTCCCCAGCCGGTTGCCGGCGCCGATGTCTTTGAGATCCCCCTGAACCGCGCGCATTGGAATGCCACCACCTCCATCACGCTGTTCTTCGAGGATAACTGGAGCGATGGCGAGGAAGACGTGACCAAGGTCGGCTACGTGGGATTCAAGGGGACTTTCATGGCGCTGAATCGCGAGCCCGTTAACTTCCTGTACGAGGCCGCGGCCAATCCGAACGACCATGTCGCTATTCAGGGCGTCAGTGGTGTGGGCAGTCGAATCCTGTGAGGATGGTGATTTGCGAAGTTTGTGGCGCGGACGGATTGACTTGTTGTCCAGTCCGGTTGCCGTTGCTGTTGCTGTTGCCTGTGCCTGTTGATGCGGTGCAGTGGTGTTGTGTTGATTTGTGATCGTGCTTTCTCTGGTTATGGAGCTGGACTCTATCCCCAATGCTAGTCTGAATTTCAGCTTATGCATGTTTGTAACATTGAACTAACTGGAGCTATCTAATGATATGATGGAATATGATGATGACCCATTGACAAGAACCTAGAACTCCAGAAATGCTGAAACTTATATAGACAAAAGGATGAGGGATTTCATGCCAGGACAGCGGTTCGCTCTTCGGCCTTGACCTTTCGTCCATTGGATGATGGCTCGGCCTGCGCTTCTCCCGTCTCTGTGTCCTCCTCCTCTCCAGCCTCTGGAAGTGACGAGACCGGCGCACTCGGCAATACCACTGGCCCTTGTGCCTGACGCTGCAACTCCTCCAACTCCTCTTCGACCTCGTCTTCGTCCTCCCTGGACAGACGACCGGCAAGCATCTGACTGATCTCCTGTACCACCCCGCAAAAGTCGACAACATTAGCATGTCACCCTAAGAGAAAAGCCTCTCTCAACCATAGAACACCCAAGCTGGAACTAGACTTACCTCCTGATAAGCCCGCGCCTCCTCGGTCTCGCCCATCAGCTTCTCGACCCCCTCGATGCCGCCCATCTCCCGGTTGATGGTCTGCAGCACCTGCGTGCCCTGCTGCAGGCCGAAGAGCACGTCCTTCTGCACGAGCGCGAACTCAATCTGGCCCGTGAGCTGCTCCAGCTGCTCCAGCTGCTTGTCAGTCTTCTCCAGCAGCGACTCCTGGTACTTCTTGCGGCGCAGGGCGAGCAGGGCGCGCTTGCGGTCGTCCCGCGCCAGGCACTCCTTGGCGATCGCCGTCTCCCGGTCCGTCAGCACGGTGATCCGCTTCTGGTACTGGCGGAGCTTGTCGCGCTGGTTCTTGAGGTCGAGGATCGCTCTATAGTACAGTACACCGACGTGGTTAGCTTATCTATCGCGGTGCGGGCAGAGGTGATAGTCCGGTTGGGGGGCTCCTTGAAGTACCATCCGGACTAGAACACACGGTACGTAGTGGAAGACAGAAGGGGGACCTTACCGATCCTGAGCAGAGATCTTGTGGGAGCTGTTTGCATTCCCCATTGTCAACGCATAGTGTCGTTCTGTGGGACAGTCACTCCGGAGACTAGTTAATTACTATGAAGGTGCCGTAGAGTCAGGCGGGCGATAACAGATGACGTCCACTGATATCCGGTTTGGGTATGGTCAAGGGGGGGAGGGCGGTCAGACCGTTGCTCCAATTGAAGTGAGGTAATGTCGGTAATGCAGTTACCGATCTGTAATTTTTGCTCATCTTCTCCGCCGGCCAAATTGATTCTCCGATCTCCAAAAATTGTAGAAGATCCCCCCACTGGGCAGCGATTGAAGCGTTTATCAGATCGGCTTGTTTTCTCGTGCATTGGCGCGCTTCGTTTCAAAAATCGTTAGACGCACGAGGGAAAACGCTCTTCTTCGACTTGGGACACAATGGGTCGCGGGGGCAGGCCAAGCCTGAGACAGGGCTTGGATAAAGATGTAAGCCAAATGCAAATCTCCTCCTCTATCGCGCAAAATAGCGATGTATACTACCAAATGCTAATGTGCGCTTTTGCTGGCTGGTAGGTCTATCAGATTGTGCGCAAAATCATGGACGAGCAGGCGGAGAATGGAGCTACGCGGATTTCTGTTACGACGATATACGACACGATCAAGCGATCGAACTCGAGTCTGAATCGCAAACCTAAGAGGATTCTCGAGGATAGCATCGAGCGTGTGGTGGCGGTGATTCAAGGCGATGAGGAGGAGGAGGATTCCGTTGAAGGGGACTTTGAGGGACTGGAGGAGCCGGCAGCGCCGGTGAGTCACATGCGCGGAGGACGATATGGTCTGCTTTCCTTCCCAGAGGTATTGACGAGTGGGTGTAGGAGTCCAACAGTTTGAACAAGAGCCTCGTCGGCATGTGGAATACCAAGAACGGCGTAACGGACGCCCAGAAATCCGGCGAGACGAACAATACGACAGACAACACGGCCACCACGCCGGCTCCTAAATCGTCAACGAAAAAGCGACACCATGGCGGCGAATCTACCTCCTCCAAACGCCGCAAGGGCGACACCGCCGTCGACCGCTCCCCGCCCACGCACGTCAGTCTCGCGGACTTGGGGGGTTTGGACGATGTGGTCGAGCAGCTCGGAGACCTGGTCATCCTGCCCATGACCCGCCCACAAGTCTACATGTCCTCCAACGTGCAGCCGCCGCGCGGCGTGCTGCTCCACGGTCCCCCCGGTTGCGGTAAGACGATGATCGCCAATGCCTTCGCCGCCGAGCTGGGCGTGCCTTTCATCTCCATCTCCGCGCCCTCCGTCATCTCGGGGATGTCCGGTGAGTCCGAGAAGGCGCTGCGCGAGTACTTCGAGGAAGCCCGGCGCATCGCGCCCTGCCTCATCTTCATCGACGAGATCGACGCCATCACGCCGAAACGCGAGAGCGCGCAGCGCGAGATGGAGAAGCGCATCGTGGCACAGCTCCTCACCTGCATGGACGACCTGGCGCTTGAGAAGACGGACGGCAAGCCGGTCATCGTGCTGGCCGCCACCAACCGGCCCGACAGCCTGGACGCCGCGCTCCGCCGCGGCGGCCGCTTCGACAAGGAGATCAACATGACGGTGCCGTCGGAGCCCGTGCGCGAGCAGATCCTCCGCGCGCTGACCCGCAAGATGCGGCTGGCCGACGACCTCGACCTCAAGCTCCTGGCCAAGCGCACCCCGGGCTTCGTGGGCGCCGATCTCAACGACCTGGTGGCCACTGCCGGCGCTGCCGCCATCAAGCGGTACCTCGAGATCCTGAAACAGAACAGCGGGCCCGAGGACGAGAAGATGATGGACATGGACCTCGAGGACCTCAGCGTGACCGACGACCTCAGCCCCAAGGTCAAAGAGATCCGGCGGCTGATCATCCACGCCAAGGACACGCCCATCGGGGACGAGACGCAGACGGTCCTGGTGTCGAACGCGGACTTCTTCACCGCGCTGCCCAAGATCCAACCCTCGTCCAAACGCGAAGGGTTCGCGACGATCCCGGACACGACGTGGGCGGACATCGGGGCGCTGGGCGGGATCCGCGACGAGCTGTCGACGGCGATCGTGGACCCGATCCGCCACCCGGAGATCTACGCCAACGTGGGCATCACCGCGCCCACGGGGGTGCTGCTCTGGGGACCCCCCGGGTGCGGTAAGACGCTCCTCGCGAAGGCGGTGGCCAACGAGTCGCGGGCCAACTTCATCAGCGTCAAGGGGCCCGAGCTCCTCAACAAGTTCGTGGGCGAGTCCGAGCGCGCGGTGCGCCAGGTGTTCGTGCGCGCGCGCTCCTCGGTCCCCTGCGTCATCTTCTTCGACGAGCTGGACGCCCTCGTCCCGCGCCGCGACGACACCCTCTCCGAGGCCTCCGCCCGCGTCGTCAACACCCTCCTCACCGAGCTCGACGGCCTCGGCTCCAGCCGCCAGGGCATCTACGTGATCGCCGCCACCAACCGACCCGACATCATCGACCCCGCCATGCTGCGGCCCGGCCGCCTCGAGACGCTGTTGTTTGTCAACCTCCCCAGCCCCCTCGAGCGCGCCGACATCCTGCAGACCCTCGTCCGCAAGCTGCCCATCGAGTTTGACGACAACCTCCGCCGCCTCGCCGAGGAGTGCGAGGGCTTCAGCGGTGCCGATCTCGGCAGTCTGCTGCGCCGCGCCGGCTACTCCGCCATCAAGCGGCGCGACACCATCAAGTTCGAGGACTTTGTCGCCGCCAAGGCGTTCATTCGGCCCAGTGTTACCGATCTGAAGAAGTATGAGCGTTTGAGGAGGGATTGGAGCGGTGGTGTTGTCTAGGTTGCGTCGCTGTTGCGGAATGGAGGTTACTACTGTACATAGATAGATAGACTGAGAGGTCGGAAGGTGTTTGCTTCCCTGGTAAAGATTTACCGGTGGTGGGTATGGTTCCACTGTTTTATGGTTTTTTGGTAACTTGTAGTAGACGTCCAAGGCGGGTTCGATTGCGTGGTATGCATGGAGGGGAGGGGAGATAAGCTACGTAGAGGGGATTGAATTGGCTGGGGCCTCAGGCTGATACTAATGTACGTAGTCTGCTCTACATATGACCACGACGGTGAAGGAAACTTTTTGAATGGATATCGAAAGAGAGAGAACAAAGAAATAATGTATATACACACACCGAGAACGCCCTTCTCATGTAGATATGACGAGAAACTGGAAACAGGAGATGATGATGGATAATAACAACACAGAAAGTATGCGCTGAGCTGAATCGAATCTACTACATCCACAAACGACACGTGCCGTCGGCCCCGGCACTGACACACCACGCCTCGCGGGGGTGCCAGTCGATGTCCAGCACGCCCAGCTCGCCGGTGATCTTGTGGCCCTTGAGGACCTTGAGCGGGACGATGCTGGCGTTGCTGAGCATGTCGCCCGTGACGCTGCCGTGGAAGATCTGGAGGGAGCCGTCGTCGCTGGCGTCGGCGAACAGCGGGTAGCGGCCGCTGGGGTGGAACTTGACGGCGCGGATGGCCTTGCGGTGGTACCGCAGGGTCTTGTAGGGCCGCTGCGAGAGTTCGAGATCGTGCCACAGGAGCCGCCGGTCGTAGGAGCCCACGATGAGGTTGTCGCCGCCGGAGGCCGTGGACGAGGTCGGGTGGATGTCGAAGGAGGAGATCCAGCGGGCTCCCGGCTGGACGATCTTGACCAGCAGCTGGCGCGAGAGATCGTACCCGCGCACGGTGCGCTGGTTGGCGACGAAGAGGATCGGCTTCGACGGGTGGAAGTGCGCCGTCTGCGGCGGGCCGCCGCCCTTGATGCGCCGGCTGAACGGGTATTGGGTGAGGTGCTTGGAGACCGTGTGGATGGCAACGGCCACGGAGGCAGGGGTGGAGGCGCCGGGGCACACGGTGACGAAGTAGTCTCCGCGGCGGTGCCAGGAGATGGACTTGGCCACGTAGCGGAGAGGGATGACCGCGCACACGCCGGAGTCGGTGAGGGCCGACGAAGGGCGGATCCACTGCGGGGGTGTCTTCTTGCCTTCCTCGGCGGCGCTAGGAGCAGGCTTCGAGGCGGCATATCCCCATCCAGCGTCGAGGAGTTCCAGACTGGCCTGCTCGAGCTCGGGGTCGAGAATGGAGGGCACCATGAGGTAGAGGTCGTCGCCCGCCGCGGCAGCCAGAACCACGGCATCCTTGCCGGGTCTCCAGCGGACGACGTTGACGGCATCCTCGTCACTCAGCTGAACGCTCCACAGCTGACGACCGGTGAGCAATTCCCAGACACGAACGGTACCGTCATCGCCAGCAGTCGCCAACCAGACGCCAGTAGGGTCGACCGCAATGGAGCGCACACGGCCCTTGTGTCCTCGGAACACGGTAGCACACATCGACGGGAAGGGTTTGAGTTCCTCGGGGCTGGGGAGCTTGGGGAGAAGACTCTCGGGATCGATGTTGAGCTTGCTGCGCCGAACTCTGGGGGCCAAGTAAAGGTCCAAGCAACGCTCGAATTTCTCCTTGACAAACTCGCCATAACCAGGAACCTTGCGAAGAGAGCCAAAGTCGGTGGGGAGATACTCGCGCTCCCGGTCTTCGGGGTCCGCTTGCTCCCAGGTCTTTCGCTCCTTCTGATCGGGCAGATACTCCGGAGGGGGGTGGTAACTCTCTTCGTAACCGGGCGGGGGAAGCTTGGGAGCGGGGACATGCATGATATGATCGGGCCGCTCCTCCTCGTCCGCCCACAGGTCATATTTGATGAGATCCTTGTCCTCCTCCTCTTGCTCTGATGGGGGCTTGTAAGGCAGGATACGACCTTCTCTGATGGCTTTGACGAGCTTCATGACACGCTTGGCCTCGTGCTTGGATGGCAGGAAGCGGCGCTTGGGCTCGGGAGCCGCGCTCAGGGGCATGACTTCCTTCTCCGTGGTGAACCATTCCATCAAGGGCTCGTAGGGGTTGTAGCCGTCCTCCGGAATCTCGTTCATCTGCACCTTGCGCAGCAATTCCAGCTCGTCCTGGCTCAACTCCAGAGGCTTGCCCGTCGAAGGATCGGTGAGTCCAGTAAAACCCTTGGGGATCTCGATGCTATCGAGCAGCGCATCCAGCGCCTCTCCGGTAGCGGGACGCATGATCTTCTTTCCATTGATGTCGTAACCGATGTGAGGGTACTGGTCGTAGAAGGACAACGGGATATTGCCGATAGTGTTGGAGTCCTCGTCGATGTCAGAGTAGTCAGAGTTGTCATCCGGGTTGATTTCGTCGTAGACGTAGCGGTCGTTCCCATTGGCATCCTTTTCGATCCGGAAATTCACCTCTGCCTCGTCACCTGAGCTTTCATCGTCCGCGGGAGCTGCAGTCAATTTGGCGGAGTTCTTCTTGACGGCATCTTCACCATCCGAGGGGATCTCATCGCTATCGAGCTCCTCCTCTTCATCATCGTCCTCATCACTGCTGAACTCGTCGACCAATTCAACCTCAGAATCGTCCTCGTCACTAGAAAGATCATTGGCGCTGTCCGAAAGCGCGCCGTTCAAATCTCCAGCCAATTCGTCTCCGGAGAAGGCGCCAGCTTCCTCCTCCACATCTCGAGTGACAGCCTTGCGCTTCTTCGAGCCTGCTGAAGCAACCATGATGACGGTAGAACGCTTTTCAAAATGCGTTCGGTGCTTGAACAACGACAACCGTTCGGGAGACCGACTTGATTCCTCGCCTTGCAACTTTTTTTTTCTGCGCCGGGAAGATTTGCGCTCTCCCACCGCCCACGTGATACACCGCCCGCCCTTATCGTTCCGCCGCTCTGGCAAGTTTATCGATAATAACACAGCAATACAGCAATAGTTACCTCGGTGGCTCATCACGGCCAGTCTTGGATGGTCGCTCACCGTGCCGCCTCTTTTGCGCTTGCTTGCTTGCTGTCAAGTGCTATAGTCTTTGAAAGACGCCAATCATCTTATCATGACGCAGTTTGAGCCTCAGGCTGAGTGGTTTCAGACCCCACTCGCCCTGTCGGACAGCACTTTCAATGATACTGTGGCGCGGCCGGTGAAGAGACATGCTGCGTGTGATGAGTGCAGTATGCCTGACGCACAAGATCCAGGCTCATCATGTGTAGGCTGACAAATTTAGGGAAGCGCAAGCTGAAATGCTCCGGTGAACAAACTGGATGCACCCGATGTCTGAAACAAGATCTACTGTGCCACTATTCGGAACAGAAGCAGATGGGACGACCGCCGAAGAAGCGCTTGCGGGAGGAAGAAGATCCTTCGTCGCTTGGTCTTGATAACGGGCTATGGAGCGCAGATGCGGATCTCGGTCATATTCTGTCAACTGATACTGTGGGAATGGGGATCCCACCGAGGGACACTTTACCGTCAGGGATTGCAGCTTATACACCACAGACGACCCCTCCTGATCCCGTGGCAGACGACACCCAGAGCCCACCGAGTCGCATGGATCTTGCAACGCCTCTGAACTGTGTACCGACGACCACCACTCCATGGCCCGACTTCTCCAGTGTCTCTGCGGCGACAGCTAGTCTGACACCGCTCCCGCCGGACGTGTCATATCCATCCCCCGACCCCGCCGATTCGCCCGACCAACAATGTTCATGTCTATCACGTCTCTACCTATGCCTCAGCCACCTGTCCTCCCTCGCCCCCTTCCCGATCTCGCAGCACACCTTCTGCTCATTATACATCGCGGCGCGAACAGCCAGGGAGGTCATCCGCTGTCGAATATGCCCCTTGCGCTTCAGCACGGGGATGCAGAATGTCATGTGTACCGGGACTCTGCTCGCGGTCATTGCCGATTCATGGCTCCGCGTTTACAAGGCCAACCCCGTGGATCTGGGCAAACAGTCGACGTCTCCTGCATACGCCGCGACGGTCGAACAGTCGCTCAATCCGGTAGCCGGCTGGAAAGACTGGCTACGGCAGACTGTCCGAGGCGGAGTCGTCGGCGGGCCCTACGACCCGGTTGGCTCCCCGCAAGTCACGGAGACACCCAGTCTCCTCGCCCTGATTGAGGAGATGGAAGCACGCCAGCGATCGTGGCACCAGTCGCATCCACTACCTGCGGAGGAGCGCCTTCTACCCGTCCAAAACTGTAGTACAGGGGAGAGCGAACTGCTATGCCTACGCGTCATCAAGAGCGCGAGGGAGGTCATCGCCAAATTCGGATTCGAGCCCTCCGATTACCCGCAAGGAACGACGCCTGTGACGAGCGGGATGTAGCTTGTGGTCATCCGCGACAACATGTGTGCATGATATTGAAGCGTAAATCTGTTCTACCGATACCATTATGTTATTTATGCAGACGATAAGATATTCGAATATATAGTTATCTACCCATGCTGGTGCAATGGCCTGCTATCCTGGTCTAATACCTGGCACCTGTACCTAGTACCTGGAAACTACCTATCTCGACATGACTACTAATATGTGCATCTATCCCAAGACCTAGCTAGTGGCTACACCTTTAGCGAATATGCCTATACTTCTGCAGAACAATACATGGTGCAAGCCAACTTTCTTTTATTGTCCGGTAATGCTAATTTAGGAAAGAAAAGCAAGAAAGATTCCCAGGCGAATATGACCAGTCACGCGCCGATGAAGTATCCAGAGAGATATGATATAATAGTTACACAAGTCATTAGCATATGAAAGCGAATATACGGGGTGGCCCGTAAGCAAGATGCAAGAAGACAGCAACATCAGAACGGGGAGTAACTTGGAATCCTTTACTCCTCGTCGTCATCATCCACGATATAACGATTCTTCTTCCGAGTTGGAGGGGTATTCGCACTGGCGTCGGGCGACGGGCGTTTGTGACGGGGTCTGGCAGGCGGGGCATCATCGTCGTCGCCTTCGGCGTCCATGTCTTCGTCCTCGAGGATATCCTCGTCGTCATCATCGTCCACGATCTCGGGCTCCTCGTCGCTGCCGACCAGGAATCCGTCGTCTTCGTCGTACTCGTCCTCGCGGGTGCGTCCGCGGCGGTCGTAGTCTTCCTCGTCATCTGTGTAGATCTCGCCGCGGCGGTTCGGCTTGCGCGCCTTCTTGGCGCGAGGTTTCGTCGTCATCAGACCGTCGTCGTCCTCCAGGCCGCCCACGGTGAGACCGCCGCCTCCGGTACGGTGGCCGAACCCAGCCCGCCGGCCACGGTCCAGCTCCCGGTCCGCGAGCTGCTGGCGCCGGCGCGCCGCCTTGAGCTTCTCGCGCTCGGCCATCTCGGCCTGGCGCTTGGCCAGCTCCGGATCTTCCTTGACTTCGATGACGGGCGCCGAGCCGTCCAGCGTCTTCTTGCCGCTGCGGGCGGCCGCAGCCAGCGACTCCTGGAGACGCTGCACCGCATCATCCGTCTCCATTGTCGTGGGGTACACGGTGAGGCCGTGGGTGAGGTGGGAGGTGAGCCGGAAGACGGAGGAAGCCTCTGCGGCGGCACCCAGGTAGACGTGCGAATCCAGCTTGACATCGTACTCGCCGGCTTTGTTGAGCGGCGCCAGCGGTTTCGTGGAGATGCGGTACTGCTCCTTCGGCGCCGAAGCAAGCTGGAGCGTCATGGACCCATCCTCCCAGCGGATGATGCGCGCATTCGATTGAAGGAGGGATTCGTCCTGCGGGTCGTGTCTCCAGCACAGAGAGGTAGCGGCGGTCGTGAAGGGAGGCGCAACATAGGTTTCCGGGTTGAACTCTTCGGTTTCCACCGAGAGGAAAGGGGGAACGGGCATTGTGTAAATCTAGATAGGTAAACAGGCGAGTGAGTCTTCTGCTGATGTGACGTGGTAGAATCATCTTGCATACCTCGCCGTTGGAAGTCAAGGGTTCCGGCGCGCGACTCAGTGTCATATCCATGATATTCACAGTTTCCTGGAACTGTTCTTCGCCCCCGTCTTCGTAGTCCATGCGCTCTCCAGCGCGGTCGTAACGGTCCACATCATCTCCCGAGTCGAGCTCCTCGTCGTCGAGTGTACGTTGGGGTTGTCTGGTGCTGTGTTAGCGTTTATGTCATGGCCCGGTCAAGCGCGGGCATTCTCGCATACTCATTGTCATCTCCGAAACCTCCATCTGAAGCATCTGAGCCGAACAGATCTGCGTCGTTGTAATTGTTCACATTGCCCGCATCGGAGCCGAGCTCGCTTCCCGACGGGCTTCCCGGTCGATCGGCCGCTGCACCTCGCCCAGGACGACGGACAACATCCTCATCTGAAGAGGACATGTTGGTGTGATGTGTAGTAATCAAGTGTGTTAAACCAGGCTCCGGGGTCGGCTATCAGTTGCCGTGTGAGAAGAGCGCTGGCAAGTCAAAGCTTGTGTATAGCGCAATCTTGCAATTGAGTGGCTTAGAAAACTTTCAATACGGGTCTTCGAAGAGAAAGAAATTCCGATTGGGAGCCTGAGCTGATGTAAAAGAGGAGTCACTCGAGGGACGGAGAATAATGCCGGACTCCGTCAATTGATCATTGATCGTTGTAACTTGTAACTTGTTCCAGCTCGGAGCACTCCCGTTGAATTGAAGCGGAACAACTGGATGATCCCGTCCGAGCCCAAGTAGGCTTAGTGGAGGGCGGCAGCTCGACGGGCCAGACCGAATGAGGACCGAATGAGGGACTCAAACCAACTGAAACAATCGCCCCCCTCCCTCCCAATCACTCACTTCCTCACTCACTCACTCCATTCATCTCTCTTGTCTCTCTCTCTCTTCTCCGTCTGGGTTTCTCCAGTCGTGATTTATTCTTCCTTCTGGATTGCCGTCGCTGCTCTTTCGTCTCTTGTTCCTCTTTCCATCCTTGCCTCTACTCGCCGCCTGCCACTCTAGACTTCGTCATTTCTATCATTTCCCCCGTGTTTTCGAGCATACACCGCTTTCCATCATGGCGACCTTCTTCCAGAGTGTGTAAGTGGTCCCCCTCTTCCCCTAAGAATGTATCCCGCACGGTCACTCTCCCCTGAAATTCCCTCTGCCGCAGCATGGTCAGAGGCATTCGAAATGATTACGCCCCTGGCTTGCTTATCAAGAGGCCACGCCATGCGCTTCCTCTTTTGATTTCATATTCCTCGGGTTTTCTTTTTCTTCCTATTATTCCACTTGAATAGTTGAAGCAGTGGACACTGACCCGCGATTTGATATGGTGTTTAGTCGCCAAGGCTTTGGCAGAGGAGGCAATAACAAAAACAACAACAACAACAACGCCCCGAAGATGAACAATGGAAGTCCTGCTCCGTCCCCGACGCCTCAGGGCCCTCCCGCCGGCCATGTGCCCAACTCCCCGTCTCTCACTTCGAGCTTCTCGGTCGACACCTCTTCCGCCTACGACCCCGATGCTCCCAAGTACTTTTTCCAGGAGAAATATGCGCCCTTGAATGTGAAGGGCAACTTCCTGACGTTGTGTGCCTGCCCCAAGAACGTGGAGTTGGGCGAATGGCTGGCTCATCAGAGTAAGCGGATCAGCTAGCGCTGTCTCTTTTTCTTGCAGGGTATGATACTGATCCTATAATCAAATAGTTGTTGAACAATATCGCCTGCTCCACGGTATGCTCCAGGTCATTCAGGAGGTCAACAGCCTCACGGGACTCCCGATCTGCAATGAGAACACTTGCCCCACCATGTCCGCTGGTCGGTAAGTAGAACGCGATTCGTGACAATACCTCCCAGGTCTTATCTGACTGTCATCTCTTTCCAACAGATTGACATACACATGGCTTGTCGATGGCCGTGCAGCTAAGATCTCGGCTCCCAAATTCATCAACCGCGTGGAGAAATGGATCGTCAGCAAGATCCATGACCCCGTCATGTTCCCCACGGAGAAATTCGCGGGCATGCCGGAGACATTTGCGATCAACGAAGTTGGAGGCGCTAGCGCTACTGCTGGAGAGGAATGGATCGGCAAGTCCAGCGGCTTCCCGCAGACGTTTTACAAGGATTGCCAGGGCATTATGAAGCAGATGTTCCGCTGCTATGCTCATCTCTACCATGCACACTGGTTGAACCCTTTCTGGCACATCAACAAGCACGACATCCTGAACATGTGCTTCGTCCACTTCGTCACCGTGGCGAAATACTACAAGCTGGTATCCGACAAGGAAATGGAGCCTATGCAGCCATTGATCGACCTGTTCATCAAGCAGCAAAGGATCCCGCCGGAGGCCCTTTCCGGGGGTCACTGGGGCCAACAACAGCAGGCCTCTAGCTGAGCTAGAGGAGGCCCCTTCCCTCTCACTTATTTTGACTAGCCTCGCAATTTGTCCGTCTTCTGACCTGGCGTTAGAATTCGCTACTTCCCACTGTAGCACGGCCATGGGATTGTCTTTGGCTGGCCGCTCCATATCCCGGTGTCTTGCGCATTGTTTTGCCAGCCAGGACGCGTAGATGATACCACATACGCACACAACATACACAACACAGTTGGCGTTGAGCATTTAGCATGCGGTGTGAATGTTTATTCCCACTATTACCTTTGCATATTGTCTTTCCTGTCTTGTCGCATCGTCTGGCCATGCAGTTGTCATCATCTTAGCTTAGATCAACAGAAGTGCATCACGATGCGGATGGTTTTATCTGATGGAAATACCCTAGCGTGACGTGGGGAATTAGCTTCGAGCCACGGAGAATGAGAATCATCCAGGATACACATATTGTGAAGAGTCATGTAATCTGGACCGGCGCGTAAGATCGAGCTCTGATAGATGTGTGGAGTATCAAAGACAAATCAAAGCCCAGGGGCCTCGAGGAACCTATCGGCGTGACGAAAATGTTAGCAAATATTGTACCGGGGCATTTTCACGGGCATTTCTCAATGCCAGTGTGCTGTGCTGCTGCATCGGAACGTCTAGGTATGCCTATTCTAGGCGGCGATCCGTTAGAGCTGTTCAGTCGTCGTGAGCAAAAGTGCTGTCACTGTCGATGGCATGGTCAATAGTACAGCTGTACTGGCCTTCATCGCTTGTTCCAGTCCTCAACTACCCTAGGGCTTCCTCATCACTCCACCTACGGGAGCAAATCCGGAAGCTCCGTGCTAAGCGAACAATCCATCGACCACGCTACTTTTGCAAGATGGAGGCGAGGCGATGTCGGGCGTTGCGACGACAAGCAAAACGTAAAACCTCACCTTCCGATACAATGAGCTCGCACAGGACAGACACATGACGAGATCTATGGGCCACGCAACCACATCCTCGCCAGTGAGAACTGGAACTTCCTGACTAGGACCGACCAACTTCTCCCTGGCCAGGTGGGTAGATGGAGGTTCAGGTTGGATAGAAGGCACATGAGAGAACCCGGAGACTTCTCTCTCCCAGGTCCTTATCAGGTTGACAGGCATGGCCATATGTGACGGACACTTTCTTCCATGGTGAGAGGGGTCTCATTTGGTAGTATATAGGATCACAGAGAGAGGGATGGCTGTTATATGGGCAAAAACAGCTACATTTGTCTCATAAACTACCCCTTGGGGTGGCTTTATAGAGAGAAAGGAAATGGAAACTAGTGGTGTAGGGGCACTTTCTGAGCTGTTTGTATTGTTGCTATGTAACAGTGGAGATCACAGCTGAGCCAACTGCAACACTACCAGCATTCACTACCCTCCTGTGCTCGAGTTCCCCAAATAACCATGGTGTCGTCCCTGTGTTTCTATCATCTTGCGGCTAGCCATGCGGCAGAGGGAGGCCGCATGGATCTCGTTCTGAAAACACGGTTGGGGAAATTGCAGCGCAGGATCGCTGAACCGGAGAACTACACGCGGGTCTATCGCCTTTCGATCACTCTATACAGAGATTAGATAGCAGGCAGAAATGAAAATCCTCACAAACTGACTATCGTAGATGATCCTTTACCTTGTAGTTGATGATTAGCTTGAAACTAAACTTTCATGTCCTCCTTGATACCTTTTTTAGTACTCGCATCTCAATTAGAGATGTGAGTGAATCTTTACCGACGTCTTGGAGAAGATCCACATCCTCTCACTTCTCCTGATGCAGTGTGAGAGACTCTCACTTCGTGACTACTCTTAACTTCTCTCTCTTCTTCCCCCTCCTTTACCTCTCCATCCTCAACACGCCTCCAAGCCTCATCCCCCTTGTCCTCGGCGCGGTCCACCAAGGCTCTTGTATTCAGTGTGCTTCACAAGCGTCCCTTGTCTCTCTTCTCTTCCCGTCAGCTCATCGAGGCCTTTGAAGCATCTCGCAACAGTGAAACTCGTAAGTGTTGTTCTTATCGGGCCACGCCATGGGCGTTTGTTTCCTGTGTTTCCCTTCTATAATACAGGTCAGTGCTGACCAGCCGCGATAGCAGTCGATGGCTGATATTCCGGTGACCTCTCGACTGAGAGAGGACAGGTCGCCAATCTTCACGATGAAGCATTGGCAGATGGCTAGAAGGAAGTCATGGTCTGAAGAAGACACGTCCCCTGAGGACTCACCGAAGACGCCCTTGAGCCCCGATGGTGAAGGCTTCAAAGTGACCCTGGTGAACCTGTCAGAAGAAAGCATCTCAAACGTCCCAGAGACAGAAGAACTCATTGAACGCCTTGATACTGAGTCTGAGGGGTCTGAAGAGTCTGTCGTGTCTGATCTGGAAGAGAGACCTGTTCCCGGCCTCGTGCTTCGCCCCGGTTGGAACATCCTTGACTACCACCTCTATCTCCTCAGCAACGAGCGTGACCGAGACGAGCACGTCCGTAAGAACAGTATGTACATTTTCGATGGGACCGAATGTACCATACGTTCCTATGAAGAACTCTTCGATCACGAGGTGCTGGCTCCTTTCAATGTCGGCGATGATCCTCAGCTGGTGTTTAACATCCTACCCATCATTAACCGGGACGCCTCGGAATGCCATGCAGGCTATATCCTGGGGTACAGTCATGTGAACAAGATGTTGTATGCTCGTTATTTCGAGTGGATTCCCCACATCGAGGACCTCGACTTTGTGTGGCAGGATGGGTGCAACATGTACGAGGTGACAATCTATGAATTGCTTGGCCTTCTTCATGATTGCTTCGTTCAGAAAAGTTTCTTCCCAGGCGAAGGCATCTTGAGCGCTGGTTACCAGCATGGTCATCACCGCCCATCTCGAAGGTTTGACGACCCCGGAATGGAACTCGTCATGATCATCCTCTTTTGCCAATGGATCCGGGATGCTGCCGACCCGCTGTTTGGTCCTGCTTACTTGCGAATCGGTAACCTCAAGGAGCAAGCCGCCTACTACGAGCAGCAATGTCGCTTGATGCTGCAGCGCGCTTCGGCTAGAGCGTGGTTCTATATCCGCGACGGATGGGTTCCAGATGATCTGGCACGCAACTTGGAACTCAATGCGTGGACCAACGATCTGTACACCTATTGTGATTCCATGTACGCAGAGAATGGAATCGATTGGCCCGCCCCTAGCTTGAGGAAATCATCCGAGCTTCGAGAACAGTATGTCGAGACTCACAGAGCCGAGAACTCCGCCAATGTACGTTTCAACAAATTGTTTAACGCCGCAGCGGGTGACAACAACCCTAAACCCGAGAATGAGGCGCTTGAGGAGCTTACAGCCATGATCGGACGGGAGCAGGCGCACCACCTGCTGGACTGCGCCGCTAGCCAGTGCCTGGACAATCTCATGTCGAACGAAGGCGAGAATGATGGTGACCACAACGTCTCGATAGAGTGGCTTGCCCGTCGTCTCGCATATCTCACATTGGACTACCCTGAACTGGACAGCCCCACAAACCGCAGCCACTTTTGCGAGCTTTTGATGAGAATGGGAGTGTCCATGCAACAGCAGCCAGAGGAACATCTGGCCCAGTTGCCGGATTCTCCGCTCAACGGCGACTTCTGGAAATTGGTTGTCGATTCGTCCCAAGCCGACGCCTCGAGCGCTCGTCATCTTCTACCCAGCCCAGTCATTGATTAGCGAGACTAGAGAACACCAAGGACCTGGAAATGCCTCTGTATCCCGATAGATGACTGGTGGCTATCGCTTTGCCTTTTCAACAATATCTTCTAGGGCCCTGGATCCATCTGGTCTTCTGGTATTCCTTGATGACCCCTCACCATTTTTGTCAGAGTTTGAAATCTTTCCTTGGCTCGGAGTTTCCGTCTTTTCTTGTTCCTTTTTCTTCGCTGTATTTTTTTCGCTTCTTTTCCACGTCTTCTGATTGCTTCGGTTCTTTCCGTTTCTTTTGTGAAAACTCACTCGACATCAAGAAACGTTCTCAAATTGTTCCTTGATTGCAACAGGTTACTAAAGCATGGGAGATGCAATAAGTTATCGTCCTTGCATATTTGATACCCCCGACCCCCCATTACCAACCACTCATGATCCGCTTGAGCCCTAGGCAAGCCCTGGGCAAAAGAGCAGCATGTTCCGACAACGTTTTACCCACCGTTCTTGCCACGAACGCAAACCCCCGTCGGCCATCCCACCCGTCCAGATCGCCGGCGATCTGTTGATGTTCTATGACCCTTGGGGAAGGAAGCTGGTGCCTTGGCCTAGAGTCTTTGAATCGCCCAACAACTGGAACAGTCCGAGTCCTTTGGTTTCATGGCCCCGGGGAATTGAGCTTTGCTTTCTAGTTTTAGGTAGAAGACGAGGCTGGTGCTGGGCCGAGCAAGTGAATGGAGAATGAATGGAAAGAGAGTGGAGAAAAAATCTGGATGCACCAGACGAAAAGAAAGAAAAAAAAAGACAAGTTGCTTAGATGACTAGGAGATGAATGAAATGATCCCCCATCACTGATGAGATATGATTGATGTGATGATATGACTCTGATGATGTCCAATGCTCGTGTAATGCCTACTTTATGTGGAGGGTAGATCGTGTTCCATCAGATGGTCTAGGGTAGACAATGTCATACATAGGTTCAGAGCAGGATTGTGCTGATTGTAGGATTGGTGATGAAGAGGGGCATTTGTGCACGTAGCATTCTTGCAAGAGGCATGGCATTGGTTCGGATTATGAAGTCGATGGTAGTAGAGGGGAGGAGATGTGGTTCCCGGTGCCCGGTGGTTAGTTGGACGGCCGAGGGCGGAGCGGAAGGATGGTGGTTACCTATTTAGGAAAGCAGCCTTTCTCGGCAGGGCACCTGGAATAGTACACCTATGTACATGTACATAGTAAGTACGTTATGACTTATTGCTTCTTGTGGGTAAACATATGAGAATCTGAGAACCTATGGAGAAGTACATGCACTAATGCCTCTCATACTCTCAGTCGAAGTGGACAAGCTGGGTATGAGCAATCCTCAGTCCGCATACAGGACGAGTCGATAGATTATCTTTTTTTCCCTCAAGGCCTGATTGAAATGATAGGCACGAACTGATTAGGGCAGCAAGTAGCAGATTAGGCCACCGCACCGCATAACGAGGACCTCGGAGTATAAGTAACAGACTGTACGGAGTACATGCAAGTAGGGGGGAGATTGCGATCCACACTAGCCACAGACTGGAACCGAATGTGGCTGAGACGTGGGGCTAATGAGTAAGTAGTCAGTCTCGGCGTCATCATTCCTGACCCAATCAGGCTCAGTATACTCCGTTAGTAGGTACAACGCTACATTCCATTCCATTCCCATTCTCTCGGAGACTCGATCAGATCGGTTCCCAGACGGAAACCCACCCTCGGTTACAACTGATCACTGATCACCGATCACCAATCACTGGTACGAACAATACGAATTGAAGACACGAACAAACACAACTCGAGGTCTGGAAATGATTTTCGGTTAGTACCGTGGTTGTGCTGGAATGACCATGAGGCCGATGATGCTGCTGCTGATGCTGATGCTGCCAAGATGCAGCTAGTCACCAGAACCGACAAGCCAATAACCAGGAACATGAAAAAAAAAATGATAATGACCCGTGCAAGGATGGGGGCCCTCTCCGTCTTGGTCTCTTGGCCTTCCATAGGGAAAGTCAAGAGTGAATGAATGATGGTCTCGCTGTTGTCCCTCTTACTTTCTGTCTCTCTCTCTCTCTCTCTCTCTTTTCCCTTCCCCTTCTTAAGTTTCTCAGCCCTGCAGCCCTACTGATTCTGTTGTGCTGCTCAGTACGGAGTACTCAGATTCTCAAAACAAATTGAATGACTGGTACCTTAATGCTACCTGTCGCCGCTCCTTTTGATCCTTGCTCTCATCCATACTAATCATCTTCCTGACCTTCCGGGACGCGATACTACTGGCCTTATTTGGGATCCAATCTTCGTTCTTTCTATCACCTCCCCCGCCCCGTATCCCACTTCCCCCTTGACATCTTCCAGGGGATCCGATTTACACCGGAATCCTGGTCTCCCTGTCCTGCGCGCAGTTGTTATTAATCGCCTAATCCCTCTTTTCGGGTCAACCTCTTCTGTCACACTCTTTTATCTCCTTCCCTACCTGAGAACTATCCTGCCAGGTTATCGATAGTTACCTCGTCTGCACAACCCGTCGCAACCTGCCTCTAGTCTGTAATCACCATATGATACACTGATTTATCCCACTTGTCTTTTTTTCTAATATTTATTACCTATTTTCGAAACTTATCCCCTTGCTGCTTGGCGTCGGTATCTTTGGTATTACCCCGTCCGGCCCGTGACCTCACGATGGCCTTCCAAAGTAAGTTCCCAACTTCGACACTGCCTGACACGCGCTTCAACACTAATGCTGTTGTACTAGCCAATGGTGCAGCTCCTGCTGTCAATGGCCACTCTACGGATTCCAGCACGTCTGTGGACGTCATCTGCGGTCCCCTAATCAACTTCAAGAATATGGATGTCACTGCTTCCTCCTCCGTATGGCGAGGAAGTATTCTGATTGTGACTAAGTCTGGGCAGAGCCAGCCTCAGCTGGTCATGCGCCAAGCAGGCCCGGTTGATAGCAGCGGCCGAGCTTCTCGTACTCAACCCAACTCCCAACGTTTTGTGGCTGATGGACTTCGTCTATATGAAGATCCCGAGAAGGCATTCTGGAGATTTTCAATCGCCATCGCCTTAGAAGAGTACGAAGCACGCTGGGAATACACCATTCCGGGGTTCCAGTACGCAAATGGCGAAGAGCTTCCTCCGCCTTGGGACTTTGTAGTGCCATCGGTTCACCAGTCGATGCGTCTGATGTTCCATTCTTGCAATGGCTTTTCCGTCGGCACTGATATGAACGCTTGGGTTGGCCCCAATTTGTGGAACGACGTCATGCGTGTGCACGGCCAGAAGCCCTTCCATGCCATGATTGGTGGTGGTGACCAGTTGTACTGCGATGGAATCCGCGTTGATGGACCCCTGAAGGCGTGGACGGCCATTGGAAACCCTCACAAGAGACGGGCGCATCCCTTTGACAACGACTTGCGAGCCCGGTGCGATGAATACTACTATGCAAACTATGTCCGATGGTATTCCATCGAGCCATTCAAAGCAGCAAATGGCCGGATCCCACAGATCAATATTTGGGATGACCATGACATTATTGACGGCTTCGGTTCGTACACAGATCATTTCATGCGCTGCTCCGTGTTTCGTGGGATTGGCGGCGTGGCGTTCAAGTATTACTGCTTGTTCCAGCATCACATCGCGCCGCCCAAATCGACGTACACCACAGACGCTCCGCAAACAATGCATGCCGTTAACGGAACTGCTGGTGCCGATCCTAGACAGATGGAGAACACCTACGTTCTAGAAGGTCAGTCGGAAGACGATAGTTGGATTGTTGGTAATCGCCCCGGTCCCTACGTCGAAGAGAAGAGTCGAAACCTCTACATGCGCCTCGGCAAGCGGTTTGCGTTCATTGGCGTCGATGCGCGGACGGAGCGCACGCGGCACCAGGTGAATTACCCAGACACATATGATCTCATTTTCTCCCGCCTTGAAGCTGAAGTCTTAGCGGCCGAGGGGGACATAAAACACTTGATTGTGCTACTGGGAGTTCCAATCGCATACCCCCGACTCGCATGGTTGGAAAATATCCTGAGCTCTCCTCTGATCGCGCCAATTCGCTTATTGAATAAGCGGTTTGGCTTTGCAGGTGGTTTGTTTAATCAGTTTGACGGCCAAGTCGACCTTTTGGATGACTTGGATGATCACTACACTGCGCGTCAACACAAGAAGGAGCGAAGGATTTTCATTCAACGTCTACAGGACTTTGCTAAGGCTTATTCCATTCGTGTCACGATTCTGGGCGGAGATGTGCATCTGGCAGCCATCGGTCGGTTCTACTCCAACCCAGCCCTCAACCTTCACAGCGAACTCGATCCACGGTATATGATCAATGTTGTTAGCAGTGCGATCACGAACAAACCTCCTCCCAAGGCCGTGGCCAATCTCTTGGCACGTAGAAACAAGCTTCATCATCTGGATCCCCACACGGATGAGACATTGATGGACATATTTGATCGACAGCCTGGTGGGCAGGAGAAGAGCGCCGCGTGGAATAAGGTCACGATGCCTTCGCGGAACTTCGCCTGCATCACTGAGATCGAACCCCTCTACACTAATGGAAACACTTCAGTGGCTCCGAACGAGCAGGCCTCTTCGTTTCCTTTGGCCAAAGATGGTCACTCGCCTCTTCACCAGGGTGAAGCTGACGCAGGCTCTAGTCATCCCGCGGCAGACGGGTATACTAGTAGCGGCAGCATGCCCGGAGGATTGGACATTACGATTCGAGTCGAGATTGACCCACAGAACAGAGAAGGGGCTACCGATGGTTACGGCTTCAGCAGTAAGTTTGTCTAGTAGAATCGCCAAATTGGCCCTGAATGGTCTTGCTGACAGGTCACCAGTTCCCGCGTTGGCCTACGACCCTTCGAAAGACGTCTCTCGTCCCACTTCTCGCGCTCGCTCATTGCGACCTCAATCCCTCCGTCCCCCTTCACGGCAGTCTGCGCGGCCTCAAACCGCCAATTGATCGCTGATGTGCCCTTTGCGTGAATCATGCGAGATACTTGGAATACTTTGGCCCGTTCCCCTTCCTGTGCTTTTTACCCATCATGGTAGGCCTACCTTATAGCTGAGTGTTGATGTAGGATAGTTGTTGCTCCGCTTCGTCTGGTTCTCTTTCTTGATTCCCCGGTGTATTCATTTTAATCACTACCTTTCTACGTTCGAATACCAAATTTTTGAATATTCATGATGACAGTCTTTCATCTTTCATGTTCATTCACTTTACAGTTTGAGGTCATTGATTCATCCCCAGGTTTTGACTCCCCTAGCTTTCCGAAAGCAATATAGTGCAATAGTGGCTGGCTCATTTTGCCATGCTCTATAGCAGATTTTGCCCATTATTCGTCTTCGCACGTTCTCTGATGAACTACAACAGACGTCATGATCTGCACGAGCCATTCCAGGTTTTGCCATGCACAAGAAACCCCGCCTGCCAAGATTGAAGAGCTCTCTCCTCAAGTGACTCGGAATTCTGCAGCTGAGATCAGAGCCTAAAATCATGGAAACAGGTGATAGCCAGACCGCATGAAAACCAGGCAGAAGCGAATAATTCGTCCTGGACTGCAGCTTATCTCAACTGTTCGACCAATCCTAATTCTCGCTGCAGCTAAGCTACAGATTGCGAGTGCTTTTCGGTATTTGAGGCATGGAACTTATGCAAGGGCGGCCGGTGGAGTGCGGAGATATCACGAGCGGCACCACATAGCGAACGTAATGGGGAATTTCGCCTTCCGTGTCACATCGAGATCGTTGCCTCCTATTCAGCCCTGCAAGGGTTGTCCTAGTACGGCGACTTTACTCAGCTCAAGGGGCAGATCCAAGGGCTATGGATATCCTGAAAAGAACCGAGCCGGAGGACCGAGTGTTCTTCGCATCTTGCGAGAAGAATCACGCATCACGGGCACCGCAACGATGGGAACCAAGAAGACAGCAGCGTCGCAAGATGCCTCTCAGGACAAGGTTGCAGCGCACGGCGCAGACAGCAACTCCGACGATGACCGACTCGATATCCTCGGCTATAAGCAGGAGCTTCGTCGCAACCGTTCCCTGAACACACTGCTCTTTCAATCGCTTGCGATGGCCGCGATTCCCTACGGCGAAGGAGGTCCTCTCATGGGAGCCATCTACGGCGGCGGGCCCATGTCAATTTTTGTCGGCTGGATCATTGTCTGCGTCCTATACCAATGCGTCGCCCTGTCTCTCGCCGAGCTCGTGTCGCGATACCCGACGTCAGCGGGGCCCTACTACTGGTCGCATCAGATCGCGCGCGACCACAAAGCCATCGTCTCCTTCCTCACCGGCTGGGTGTGGATCATCGGCAACTGGACGGCCATCCTCTCGACCAACTTCGGCTTCGCATCCATGCTGTCAGCCTCGATCTCCTTGGTCCGTCCCAGCTGGGACCCGAACAGCTGGGAGCTTCTGCTGATCTTCTACGCCGTCTGCGTCGGCACTTTCCTGGTCTGCACCTTCGGCAACCGGTTCCTCCCTCACATCGACTTCCTCTGCACGGTGACCACGGCGCTGACCATCATCGTGGTGCTGGTGGCTCTATCCACCACCGCCGCGACCGGCCGCCACACAGCGGCGTATGCCCTAGGCCACTACGACACGCACTTCTCCGGCTGGGGCGGCTTCACGTTCTTCATCGGCCTCCTCCCGGCCGCGTACACCTTCTGCGGCATCGGGCTGGTGACCTCGATGGCCGAGGAATGCGTCGCGCCGGCGCGCATCGTCCCCCAAGTCCTCAGTCTTAACATCCCCGTGCTCGGGCTGGCCGGCCTGCTGTTCATCCTCCCGATCTGCTTCACGCTGCCCCCAATGGAAGAGATCCTTGCCGCGCCGGCTGGCCAAGCCCTCCCGTACATCTTCCACCGGGTCATGGGCACCGCCGCGGGGGGACTGGCGCTGACGAGCCTGGTCCTCAGCCTGACGCTCTTCGGGTCGATCAGCGCGACCGTGGCCGGCTCGCGGGCGATCTACGCCTTTGCGCGCGACAACGCGGTGCCCTGCTCTCGCTTCTGGGCTCGCGTCCACGACCCCTACGCCTTCTTCGCCTCGGCCTCATCGTCATCAGACAGCAGCTCCCACAAAAACAACCCCGACAGCGTCCCCTTCAACGCCCTCCTCGGCGGCACCATCCTCCAGCTGCTCCTGGGGCTCATCAACCTCGGCAGCACCAGCACCTTCACCGCCTTCGTCTCCGTCAGCACCATCGCCCTCTCCGTCGCCTACGCCATCCCCATCGCCCTAAGCCTGATGCACCGCCGCACCGAGGTCGCCCGCGCGCCCTGGACCTGCGGCCCGCTGCTGGGCCCCGTCGTCAACGTTCTCTCCCTGGCGTGGATCGCCTTCGGCCTGGTGCTGTTCAGCCTCCCCACGGCGCTGCCGGTCACGCCCTCATCGATGAACTACGCCGCCGTCGTGCTGGTGGGGCTGTGGGGGTTGGCCTTCGCGTGGTACTGTGTGTATGGACGTAGAGGTTCGTTCTCATTCCTTTTCCTTTCTCTTCGTTGTTCCCATTTCCCCTCTTCCCCATGCATTCCCTCCCTTGGCAGTAGAGCTTCCACATCTCCCAGCCCCGATCAACTGACCTCTCGTCGGGAAACAGTGTATAAAGGTCCCCCCCTGGAATCGACCGGGCCTTCGCTCGTCGGAACTCCAGACTATCTCCTAGCTTTAGAACTATAGATGCAGGAGGTTTGTGCTTGGGGTTGGGTTTGGTTTGGTTTGATTTGGTTTGGTTAGAGGGGTGGTAGGTATCCAGGCCATGGCGATTCCGCCTCAACTGCACCAAGAAATGGGCATATGCGATGCGCGATGAGAAAGAAAAAGATATAGATCGATAGAGATTGAGTCTGGTCTTGGAGTTGCGGTTGTTATCCTTTGAAGATCAAAAATGTATTCAGCGTATGCATAACCTGAAAAATACATGTCGTGTTTCCATCTTCTCTACTCCGTATACTGGATGGAGTGATTTGATTACCAGAAATAGGGATGAGGGTGTCTCTCGTGAGCCGTACACCAACCACTGCAACAGAACGGGAGTTGGATTGGTAGTGTACTGAGCTTATTCCATGCAAATGAGCAGGAGCAGTAGAGTGTATCGATCCTTCGAGTGTCGGGTCTACATTACGAAGCAAAAAGGCTTCAAGGTTCGAACCGCACCGCACCGCACCGCACCGTCCGCCCTCAATCCTACATCCATCTCTATCATCCAACCAAGTTATGCATTGGAGTACAGTACATGATACATGATAGATACATGATACATGCAATGCCCGAGGGCGAATCTACCTCTACTCCAAAGCCAACCAACAAGTGATCTCAACCTAATAAGTCGAATCATCCTGGTAATCCAGTTCCCCGACTCCTAAACTCGTCGCCGAGTTCTCGTGGCCGGAATCGATACTGTTGCTATTCCCGCGCCGTCGCCGGGGCTGGCCCTCGTTCGGGACCGAAGGTCTACGCAGGATGGTCGTCGTCCCACTCCCGCTGCCACTCCCACTCCCGCTCCCACCACCGCCAAGCATCTCCGCGGGTCTGCGCCGCCGCACGACCTGGTACCCTTTGTCCAGCTCGATCTCGATCACGCAACGAACCTTCAGGGCGCTCACGGCGGGCCAGACGCCGCGCTCGCCCTTGCGCGACCAGTGCGCCAGGCTCTCCTTGCTGGGGTTCTCGAAGATCTTGGTGAAGTCACGGAGGGTCAGGTCGGGGACGAGGGTGATGCTGGGGCCGGGGATGGATTCCTCGAGGAGCAGGCGGGCCAGCGGCGTGGGAAGGAGGCCCATGTAGTCGAGCTGGCGGAGGCGGTGGCGCACCTCGCCCATGACGAGGCGGGTGAAGTAGCGGATCGGGGGGTTGGGGTGGTCGCCGGGCCGGCGGATGAGGAGGGTGCCGCCGTCGGAGCGGAGGAACGGGATGAGGTAGGGCCGCGCCTGCGAGACGATGAAGTGGTTGACGTTGAACAGCTCGGCGATCCGCGAGAGCGGCGACTCGCCCTCGCTGTACTGCACGTGGCGCCAGGAGGCGAAGGTCGCGTCCTGCGAGTGCGGCCAGGGGACGATCGAGCCCGTCTCGTCCTTGCAGTAGATGGTGACGGGGCGGTAGAGGGAGGTGTTGGAGGCGTTGGAGGCTACGGCGGCGGACCAGATGAGCTGGGCGAACCTTCTTGTTAGCTTTTTCACACCCTCATAGAATATCAAATGAGATGGGATGCGCGGGTACGTACCACGTTTGGTGCGGTGAGATAGTTGAGGAGATTCGGCGTGGCGTTGGTGTTCGACGTCGCGACAGTGATGTTGAGGATGCGCTTCGATCGGGCGTATGCTTCTTCGAACGTCAAGTCTCCTAGGTTGGCCCGCACGCATTCCTCCAAGACTTCGGCGTCAAGGAAGTAGCCCGTCTGAACATATCGCTTGATGCGCCGGAACAGGGTCCCCGCCCAGTTGTCGCCGACGTCGAACGGCAGCCATTGAGTTTCGGAGGAGGCGTCTTTGGTCTTCCGACGCCGATCGAAGGCGCTCAGATCGATGCCATCGCTGTCGAGGAAGGTCAACAGCTCATCTTCCGTATGCACCCCGACCAGGGCGGCGATCAGGGCGCCCGTCGCGGTCCCGATGATAATCCGAGGCAGAAGGCCCCGCAGATGAAGAGCCTTGACGACGCCGAGGTGACAGAGCCCGAAGATCGATCCGCCTTGGAGCAGGAGCGTTGTCCGTCCAAAGGCCTGTCGAGTGTCATGCAGCAGCTCGAGCTTCGCCTGCGCTCCGAACCCACTGATGTGGACCGGGGCGGTGGGAAGCGCCGTCACCTGCTGAATGGACAGTGCCACCTGGGTGATATAGTCATCGATCAGAAGCTTGGTCCCCGCGTACGCCTGTGTGAACAGCTTCGGTGACGTGATGTTGCCTAGATTGCGAAGCAGTCCGGATCGGAGTAGATTGACCAGCGTCAGGATATCCTCGTCTTCGCGAGCACTCATGAGAGCCTCTAATCTCCCCAGGATCAAGCGATAATCGTAATGGCGGCTGGTGGGGTTCTGGCGCCTATTATACGCTGTCAGTGACTGACCTCCGTGCGCAGGCTGAAGTGGAGCGAGTTACCAAAGATCCTTACTGAGGATTTCGTCTAGGTCGAAGGCGGCTTCTTCCCATTCCTCGTAGGTTGTTGCAGTAGCGAGCGCATGGCGCAGTCGGTCTCGGGGAGACTGTGTATGCCACCAGGATAATAACCTCTAGACGAAGAAAGTCAGTTAATGAAATTTACAGCATAACATTCCAATGGAGTATCATAGGAATAGTGGAGAGTTCATCAAGCATATCCGATAGGATTGGTGCTGGCTTGAGAGACCATGATGACGACCATGCGTCTGAAGACATTGAATAGCCTACCTGTTGCCAGAACTGTGCGACGTCTAGGATCATACTGAAGATGGCAGCGAACAACTCGTAGATCACCGCCCAGGATGCCATGCTGAATGAAGGGAGAGGGGAGGGGAGGTTTATCACTGGCAGGTCAATCGAGAGGGGGAAGAATGACGGCACATGTCGAGACAAACGCCTGGCTGGTGCTTTCACATGCTTGATCTCCGACGAGGTCAGGAGGATAGACAAGTCCGCAGCTCAGCACGGAAAAGGAGCAGGGATTCTCGATCGGGGCCAGAGCCGGTGCATTCAAGACCTCTAGTTTTTGAATAACGAGGTCGAATATTGCAGCAAGAAGGGAAAAGAGAGGAGATGTTGGGAGTGAGAAGCCGAGAGGAATTAATTGACTTCGGCGGGATGATGACACAGCTTGGTATAACTTAAGTCGGTTACTCCCCGCAGCACGGTGCTACTATATATATATCCACACTGTCTGATCACCACCACCACCACGAACAGGGAAACATACCACAAGGCTGAAATTACAATCAAACATATTTTCGAGCTCAGGATTCATGTACAAAGTCTCCATACCTCCAGTAGAACGTGTGTTGTGCTCCAATGGCCCGACAACAGTCACGGTGGAGATGCTTGCAAAACACGGGGTAAAAGAAACCTGCATTGGCCAAGGAGAAAAAGACGTGGGAGAATTGGGGTACATGAATTAGAACATTCTATGGCCGACCTACATACGAGCCTAGGCAAGAGTCACCCTACCGGGAGATACACTCTGCGAAGAAACAAGGCGAGACCAAAAGCAGAAGAAGAAAAAAAGGCCAACCAGATTTTTGAGTCTCTCTACACGCCACGCTTCGCCAGCGGAGTAAGGAAATGCCAGACAAACCCCGTGGACACGTTAACTGGGCATTTGAAATTCCATAATTTTGGGTTTTAAATTTCGCGTTGCTTCCCTATGCAAGTAGGCGAAAATGTATTCTTCGAACATTCCTTCACTACCCACCAAGGCGGACATTTCCAACCGCTTACTCCTCGACAATGTTACCCCGCTCCGACACGTACAGACCGTCAAGGAACTAGAAAGCCGCGAGTCAGGGAAGGATGTTCGGGGGACTGAGATAGGGCTAAAAGCCGGCTGCTCCAAACTCACCTTACGGATATCCTTGTTGCGGACTCTGCAGATCTGCTGGATGTCGGCAGCGCTCTGGGAGACACCCTCAAGGGAGTTACCGGAGAGCACGAGCTCATCCTTGACGTTGGTGGAGACGGCGATCTCAACACCGGGCTGGGCAGTCACACGGCGGACGTACTTCTCACCCAAGAAGTTACTAGAAAGGAATCCGTCAGTCGGAAGATTCCTTCAAAACGCATGCAGCGACAAGCGACGCAACATTGGCCCCCAGGGCCAGTTGGAACAACAATCTCCCATCTCAATCCAACCAGCCCAGTGACTCGCCGCAATGTCGCAAAAAGGTGATAGTGCCATACCGGATCTCAACTTCGACCTGGCCGGTCTCGGCGTTCTTCTCAAGGTTGACGTTGATGGGAAAGTGAGCGTAGACGTAACGCATCTTGTACTTGAAGCCCTTGGTGACACCGATGATCAAGTTGTTGATGAGGGTGCGGACGGTGCGGAGGGTGGCAATACCCTTGCGAGCACCGTGGTGCAGCTGGATGCTGATGACATTCTTCTCGGGGCGGCCGAAGGTGACGGCGATGTGAGAAAGGTCCTTAACGAGCTTGCCTGGAGAGCGGGAAAAGAAATCCCATGTTAGCGGCCGCTGGCAGTCGCACGACACGAACGGGCTCAGAAACATCCAAGCCAGCACTGCACTGTAGAAGGTCTGTCTGGTCCGAGCCCATCGTTGGGAATGTGCGTGTTTGTTGGTGGAGTGGTAAATTGCATACCTCGGGGTCCCTCGACGGTCACAACGCGAGAGCGAATGTGAACCTTCACTGTACGACGAAAATTGTATCAGTCCCAGTTCTCTCACACAAACACATAGAAATAGTCGCGCAAGTCCATGTCGCCTGATTCCCTTCCGCCGCGGAGAGACAGGCATTCTGATATATGCATTGGTTCCTCCTCTTGATTCTTCTTCATCCTCTCCTGCATTGACTGATTCGTAGTCGAGTCGGGTGGGCGCATCACTGTTCCTCTTTTCCCTTTCTATCCCTCAATGCATCATCCTCTCCATGCCTGCCCCTCCAGGGGTGTCCTTTCGTCTTCCCACTTCCCACCTCTTGCGAAACCAGCGGACTCTTTGCGAAACCAGCGAAGTCGAGCATTCAGGAGAATGCTCAGGAATAAATCGAATTTGCTCACCATTCTCGGGGACGGGCAGCGTTTCCTCGGAGTGAATGTACCGCATCTTGACTGCGTGGGCTGTGGTGTGTCCGAGGGGGGAATTGTCGATATCGTCGTGCGGTCGGTCGTCGAAAGGATCGAAATTCCTCAAGGCAGACCAGAGTCGACAGTGGTGGAGCGAAAATCACGGGTTGTGCGTCGCTTACGGCTCAATCTGGTTTAGGTCTTCCCGCCTAGGGTTGCCCACTTCGGGTTTAGTGCAATTGATCCCGCCCGGCAGAACAGCAACAATTGGAACTGGTCTGTGACTGCAGTGCTTATCCTTATCAGTAGGTAGTCAGCCTCACCGAATTCCAGTAATTCCTCAAGCTCAAACATTGAATTTGATGCATTGCAATTGTACTCGTAACTCGAATTTTGGTCCTTCAAATGGATGGAAGCTGTCAGTACAACTCTCGCTGTAGAACTGCTCTTGAACGTACACACTGGTACCAAGCTATCAAATTACGATTAATCATTTCCTGTTAATTATCACATGATCCCAATTATGTACGCAGAATGAAATGCATCAAAGTCCTGAAAGCTTTTCCGTCTGTGATCATGACCTGTCTGGCAGCAATAACCAATGCGAATGGTGAAACACACAATCCCAATGTATGCATACCGTAAATAGATCGAGTCCAGATGCCTGAATCAAATCGACAAATAGTTTTCCAGTCCGCCCAAAAATTCTAGTCGCTTGAGTCCTTGCGGTGGACTTCTTGGACCCACTTACCACCCAGGTCCCTCAAGGTTGATGTCAATTCGTCGCGCCCGTTGAGGGCCGTCACGTCGTCACCACCCCCAATACTCTTGCCATTGACCAACACGTTAGGGACAGTCCGACGACCTGTAGTCTCGGCCAACACGGCCTGCAACATCCGACCATGGGGATGCTGATCCAATTCCACGACGAAAGGCGCAGGGGTGATGGAGTAGTGATCCAGTAGAATGGACTTAGCTTTGGCGCTGTAGGGGCAGTACGATTTAGAGAAGATGATGACTGCGTTGAAAAACAAAAGACATAACACATTAGTAATCCATCTCCTGCGCATATCAGAGGGCAAAAGGGGGAAACGACATACTCGGCGCCCGTTTCAGGATATCATTCAACTCGGCCACTGCATGCGCATGCGCTTCCGCCTCGGCGTCGTCCTCTGCCCCGGCCTGCTGCGGCTTAGACTCCTGCTGCTTTGGTTGTTCTTGCTGTTGCTGTTGCTGCGGCTGCTGCGACTGCTGCTTCTCCTCCAGCTCCTCCTTCTCATCCTCCTCCGGTTTCTTCGACACGGTCATCTTAGTCCGTCCCGCGATCGGGATCTCTTCCAGGTGGTCTGCCGGGTTGGCCTTGGGGATCGCCGGTGCGATCTTATCATCGACCATGGGATGCTTCAAATCTTCCTTGATGGGGTTGCGATTCGGGGCGGGGATGTTGGCTGCTGCGGCCTGGGCTTCCTTGGCCTGCTTTTGGGCATTGATGGCCGCCACGGTGGAGCGATAGAATTGCTGATTCTGGACACTCCGGGCGTCGCTCTAGAGGCGCGCGTCGCGTTAGTCAACTTCGCTATCTTAAGAGGCAATTGCGACCACGAAGGGGAAGGGAAATTATACCGAGTAGTACCAGGTCACGCCGAGGATCACCAGCACGGCAATGACCAAAAGTCTCATGCGCCGTTGAGAGAACATCTTGAGGCGGATTGTGAGAGGGTAAATCGGCAGGGGAATCTGACAGCGATGCGATTGATAATCACGGGGGGAAGATATGTTCAGCTGTGGGGAGAATGCTTGCTGTCGAGTCAACGAGCTACTGTGCGCATCAGTGCCGGGATGGTTTAACAGTCGATGTGTCGAGCCGACCAGTCATAGATGCAGCTCCAAGACCAACAATGGCTGGACATTAGGCGAGAGCGAGAGGTTAGAGATTCCTGAAGAAAATGGTGCAAGATTGGAAACAGGTGGCAAAGCCAATACTAATAGACAATGCTATCAGTGAGAGATCTAAAAATACGCGCGACCGAATGACCTGAAATGTCAAGAGGTTTCCCCTAGTGTAAGGGGGGAAAAGGTCCCATAAGGAGTGGGGAAGAGTCGAGGCAACTGGCAAAGACAAACTCCGGCCTCGCCGGCGCGGCGCTCGGACGGGAGCCTCCGAGCCTACTCTTACTTCCAGCAAAGCACGGAGCAAGTATTGTTTCTTCATGGCGAGTCCCCTCAATTCTAACCTGAATTATGCTGAATTATGCTGAATTATGAATTATATTATGAAATATTCATGCTATGCTATATCCGGGGTATGTAGCTGGTATCATAGTGAAAACCATAAAAGAAAACATTCAATCAAAGCGTTACGTGGTGTCTTTCTTGAGACAACAACATGTGAGGGCATGTAGGTAGATGCACATAACTCACGGGTGCAGATCAGAACAAATATAGATCTGGACTGACATGGTAAGATAAGGTCGCTTCGTCATCCCGCATACCCTGCAGCGGTTCGACTGAGCAATTGACGGGTATTGTGGTGGTGATGATCCTCGTCCAAAAAGCGCAACGTTTCTCTTCCGTTTGACCGATCTTCGCTGACTTCTCTTTTGTCGCGTGATTTGTGATAGGGATCATAGCGAAGATCCAGGAAGTTGGTAAGGACCCAAGCCATCATCATGCTTGAACTGCGATGCCTGAGCGCGGCCCAATAGTCCCTTTACGCTTGCCTTGGACCACAACCATCCAATCCTCCCACTCCTTGGCAATTTCCATCAGCACATTGCCCATCACCGTAGCTGAGGCCATCAATCCGTGCCCTTCACCTTCAAGCACACGCACTTCGCAGCGTCGCATAGTCTTCCCCAGCCATCTGACATTGTCGACAGGAACGCGAGTGTCTCGGCTACCATGGTGGATCACCACATTCCGAGTGATATCCACATAGCGGAATCCAATAGGTTGACGACGTTCCAAGCACACCAGTAAATCTACCGCCGGGTTTGCGTTGGTCGTCGCTAATTCCCAGATCCTGTGGGTGAGCCGATTATCGTAATCCACCTGCCGCTCACGATCTTGAGATGCAGCAAGTGCGGCCTGGTTCGATAGATGTTTGTCAATGGGATGGCCTGCTCCTACGACTATGGGCGTAGGCTTCTTATTCTCAAGGCCTTTCAGACCGCCTTGCTGGTGAACCTTCCCTGGAAGCTGTTGGGGCTTGCTGAACTCGATAACAGCGGAGCTTAAGATGTCTCTCTGTAGCGCTTTGCGCTTGGCTCGCCGGGGTGACCTGGGGAGACTGGAGGTGAGACTCGCACTTGCTGCGCTCATGAAGCTGGAGTTCGCGACCTTAAGGATCGATGTCGGGAGCGCTCGGAGAATGCGTTGGGTGTAAGGGACGGCATTGGTCGGAACTGGAGCCTTCAATGAGCCAAAGCTGGATAACTGTGAAGGAGGGATCCACGGAGCTAGCAGATGAATTCTTCCTCGAATATGCTGTGGAATTCTCAAAGCCGTAGCTAGCGCATAAATAGCTCCAGCGGAGTGTGCCATGATCGAGAACTTTGTTACTCTAAGATGATTACATACTATCGCAACATCATCTAATCCATGTCAGTCGGCCCTTCTCGTAGTAAAGAGAACGCTCACGGCGTGATCGGTACATAGCACTCACCAGGCCAACTAAGAGGGGTTGCCGGTTCGTTGATGTAGGGTGCGCTTTCACCGACTCCAGGACGATCTAAGGTGACCAGACGAAGCTTGAGAGACCTTGCCAGCTCGTCATAAAAGGCCATCAGATATCTCGTCAACCCCATGCCGAGGCAGCAAAGAACCACATGACCATTAGGGTCTCCAACCTCTGAAAATGCTATAGAGCGGCCTGACGTGGGGTGAATGACCCTCTGGGTCAGCTTAGCGGCCGTCACATAGTCTTGAACTGCAAGGTCGATGGAGTCAGCGCTGGACGGGCGCTCTTCTACGGCGGTATAAGCAGTAGGGGAACTCGCGCTCGATAGAGATCGAGTATGACGGAAGGGAGACGGTGAGTCGGCCACATGCCTGTGCGTCATTTTCTCAGATGGGTCATATTTGTCGAACGAATGGATGGATGTAGTGGTTGATCTAGAGGTGAATGGGGGACTGATTGAGGTTGCAGAGCGGCTTTTGCCCGTTAAGACTGCTGGAGCTGGAGCGCTCTCGTCAAAGCTGAAGCGAGATATATGCCCCGCTTGCTGTAAATCGGTAGTTCCACCAAGTCCCGCAGATGCCAACGGCTGCGCATCTTTGGCAATGGGCTCTTTAGGTGAGTTCAGCGAGGCGTCATCTAATTCTAGCTCGGTCTTGATCTTCTGTTGCTGGTCCTTCAACTCTTGGATTCTCTTCGTCACCTGATCCGAATCACTGCCCACCCCCGAAACGGCACTGTCCACTTTCATCTCTCTGCTACTGGTAGATGAATACCGGCTATGGCGAGTAGAAGATCTTCGGTGCTTGGAGCTCAAAGAGAAACTATGTCGCAAGGATGATTCGCGGGTAGGGATAACGCGCCCGCTCCCAATGCCACCTGGAGTATTGGGCGTACTTTCTTGGTTGCCCTGCAATGAGTTGCGTTCCTTGCTGGGAGGTCTGCTTAATGAAGAATCGGTAGTGGTCTCAGTTGGGGATCGGAGTGGCGGAGCACGTCCTTCTTCAACCACGTCGGCCATGGAATGGAGAGAGCGTACACTAGCCCTATTGCGCGGTGTAGTTTGACGAAGCCCGTCGTTGAAGCTGTTCGTTTTGCGCAGTCGATCCAGCTGCCGCTCTTTCTCGCTGGGAAACTCTCGCGAAACTCGCTTTAAGATGCTGACTTGGCGTTTGAGGCTTTTCTTGGATCCGGACGAGGCGACACTACTCGCAGTTAAAAGCCGTGGACCTGGCTCAGCGGTGATTGTACCAAAAGCGGAATCTTCATAGGCGGCCTTGGACGAAGTGAAGGAGCCCCTTGATGTCGGTCTCCCTGGAGACAAGGGCGAATCGAGGGCAGCTTTGTGTTTGGGGGGTGGCGGCGCGCGGGCCATGCGAATGATCGGAGCAACTGCTGCATCATCTGGATGCAGAAAGGGACCCTGTGACGTCTCCACGGGCGGCTGAAACGCCCCGAGACTCAACCCGAGTTCATGCGCGCTGACCGGGCGTTGGTCCGGAATGTGATGTTTCTCGGGGGCGAAAAAGACGGGCGAGTCGGGATCGGTCTTGGTGTCAATGCGCGGAACGTTGTCAAAGTGCGTCTGAAGAGGTATCGAGATGGTCGACAGAGACGAGATCAGAGAAGAGATGACTTCGGGGGAAGCAGGGTCAAAAGCTGGGGGAGGACTCGCAGCGAGTGCGCGCGACGGAATTGACTTGCGACGCATGTCGAGCAAAGCCGAGGGTAGGAAAGGGGCATCATCAACTTGGGATGTCGGAGAATGTTCCGTGCGATCCATGGCGGACATTGACAGGGACAGGGAATCTTGCCTGTCCAACAGCAAGTTTCGGCCCCAGCTAGCCAGAGACAGACAGAAGACAATCACCGACGATATATGCGGTCGAAGGTAGTACGCGCTTGCATGATCCAGTAAGATGGCAGGATAACGTCTGCAAAGCTTGATCGCTTAACGGTCAAAATCAATAGACCGCGGGCGCTTGACGCATGTGCCAGTCACCATGCAGGCAGGCCCCGGGGAGGGGAGGGGGAGTGGGAGTGGGAGTGGGAGGGGAAGTAAGAAGGGCAGTGGAGGATCCAGGGCGGTCCTATCGCTGCCCTTGCGGTATGCAAGCCCAGCGGCCCCCTTGCCGAATGTTTATTGTCTAGAAGGTCGATCTAGACAACCAATGACTTTCGTTGTAGCACAGTTCAGCGGGGACGACAGGGAGAAGTCAAGAAAAGTCGTTGTATGTAGTTGCGTAGGGGGACTTTTTTTTGGCGGATAAGAACTATCGAAATTAGACAATAAAGTGAGGGGGAAAAGAAAAAGAGAACGGAAATAGAAAAAGGGGAAAGGATCGAATAACTAGTTGGTAGAAGAAAGAAGGGACCCAAGGAACGATTGTAGCTCCATAAAAAGGGTACTTAAGCCCGAAACTGGGAAGATAAACAACAAGAAGCCTCAAGCCTGCTGTCCCTGCAATGGAAACGAAAGGGAATGTGTTGTATCGAAATAATCTGAAGGAGGTAGCGAAGTAGAGAAGAGCAACGCAGAGCAACGCAGAGCGCACGCAATCTAATCTACTGATGGTCTGAGAAAAAGGGTAGAAGGAAATGAGTTATGTTTATGCTTAAGATAGGAAGGAGGGAGAGAGGGTATGATGGAACGATGGAACGACTCCGGTGGAGAACAATAATATACAGCAGTTGTTCCACTGATCACTTTTCTTTTCACTTAGGATGAGACTTGCATCATTTAGACTAAGTTATCCAGCAGTTTCCTCTCCACTGTATGTGCGGGCGTGCTTTATATGCACTGTAGATAGCATAAAAGACCCCCTCAAAAAAAAAAAGTCCGCTCCCCCTCCCCCTCCGTCCAGGATGGCAAATATGGAAAAATTATAGGTATCTACCAGGCTAAGCTAGGGAAAGGGAAGGAAAAGGAAGACGAGCAGAAGACCAAGCAAAAGCAATCATCAATGGACTGCGGGTCTCCCGCGGACAATGGGTGGAAGGGAAGGAAGGGAGAATCCACTCCTTCGATCTCACTGGGTTCTTTTCCTTTGCCTTCCTCCGCACTGTTCGCAGATCCAAATTTTCTACCCGTATCAAACTCATACCTTCAGGGGTACAGTCCCTGTGGTTCTAACTCTCTCTCAGTCGCGGAAGGAGATCAGTCTCTCTTTCGACAGTGTCGATGAAGCGCCCAATCTCCGCAAGAGTAATTCCTCGAGTCTGAAACCACAAGGTCGTGTTCAGCACTCATTGTCGTCCAGCCCGGTCTAAGGCAAACGGGATCCATCTTTCTCGGTAAGAATCTCTAAACGCGGAAACATAGAGATGGAGATTGTGTATGAGGTCCCCACCGAACCGTCACAGGGTTGAGCACGAAATGAGGGTCGGCTGTTCTCGATTCGCACTCTCGGAATCTGCGAATTTAACTACGCTCGTGTTGGACCCGAGGCAAGGATGATGATTCTGGCCGCCACTCCTTGAAGCTGGATGATTACTCCCCATGCATTCCTTCGTGATGCATTCAATAATGCAATTGTGGGAGAATCAGATAAGCTAGGAGCTTCATACACAAGAGCGTTGGGGCTGTAGAAATTATGCATATCGAGTGGATGTACGGAGTAGGATCGTCATCATTGATTGCCGATGATACCATGCCCAAAGGCTGGGAGTTCCACGCGACGAGATCACCGCGGATAGTTTTGTATTGTCAGTAAGGGGATACTTGGACAACATGGCGAACTACTGGTATAATCATATGACGTAGGAGATGTTGAATCAGTGTCACGGATATCAATCTTGCTTCATCAGTAGTTGATCCTCAAAATTAGTGTCAGAAATATGAGACGTGTGTACAATACCTGCCAGAGCGATAAAATATATATCATTACCGATCAGCCCCCGTGTGCAAGGTACGAGCATACGTCACACTTGAGACCTTCGAAAAAAATCATCTACCAGACGTAAGATGTCTGGTCGGACCAGACCCAGCTGGAACTTACGGACCCTCTTTTTGGCCATCCGGGCCTGCTATGGCTGCAAGACTTCGAGGCACAGTAAGTGTGTCTAGTGTGTGGTGGAGGTGGTGGTGGTGAAAGTGTTGCTGCGATAGTGTTGTTGTTATCTTGCGGCGGGAGGACCAAAAGCGAGCTTGGCATATTTCGGGGGTGGAAACTCATCTGTCCGCAATTCCTCTCTGACGTGCAGGAGCTTATTCGGGTGGAAGCCCACAACATTGGATCTAGTCTACAGTTCTTCTTTCTATCATATTCGATTCTCCGCTTCTTACACTGTTCTCTTGCTTGGTCACCCCCCCGCGTGACCTTGAACTTCCATTCCATTCCCAATCAGATATGCGGTGACCGGCGGTACAGCGAAAGAGCACCTGTCCGCAATGGACGCCTACCCCGAAGACTACGTCACCCACAACCTGCCCTTTATATTGCTCTCCGGTCTTGAGTCGGGATCCGAGGAGAAGTCAGAAGATACTCGAACGGACTATCCTTTTCTGCATGAAAAAGGTGCGAGAATAGAGTCGGATCTTCCTTCGTTAAGTGGTTCGGTCGCCGAGGAATTGCGACGTGTACTACTCGACGAAGATGCATCGCGTTTGGCAGGGAGTCCCCGAGAGGAGGGAAATTTAGACTCAGCAAGAGCCCAGTACAAGATCAAGAGTATTGGACGGGTGAGCCATTGCAGTACGGCGCTCCCAGCCGTGCCCCTCCCTCCCCGCGTCATCTCCTTGTCTCTCGTCAAGAACTGTCAAACAGACTGCGCGGAAAGCTGCAACTACCACGCAACTATGCCCCTGGTTCACGACCCATCGGCCCATCGCCATGTGCAAAAACTTGGTTAGGCTGATATCCATCTAGTCCTATAGATTACCTCCGCGCAAAGCTGATCCCCCGCCTGTGTCTCCTCCGCCGAGCCCCGGAGCCAGTCAAGAAAATGATGTACCGCGCGGAACATCGTTTATACTTCACTCGCCGATCTCACCTTTGACTCCCGCTTCACCTACTTTCCCTGACGGTCTGCTTACGCCTCTGTGGGTCACCAAACACCAAGGGCTTGTCCCTGCGGCGGTCATCAACTTCTTTCCGTTTTGCGCGGATCTTAATATGAGCTCCCTGCGCGACAACCAACTCCGAATCGAGATAAATGAATTGAAGAGGCAATGGCAATCCTCCGGCTACAAAACGCGCTTCTTAGTTGTTCTACTGTCCGAAGATAGCGAGGACAGTCTGCACAGGGATGCCGAAGATCGGGTAGCGAGCATTCGGAGAGCAACCAATCTGGATCAGAAATCACTTTTCCTGCTCCCGTCAGATGCCACGCCTTTGGAACTGAAAGAGTTTGCCGTGTCTCTGTTATCCCATCTTCAGCCATCTGTGATAGAATATTATCGAGATCTGTCTAAACACGCCAGGAGAAAGCGCAATCGAGGAACGATCCCTCCCCCAACGGCACCACCAACAAGCGGCACGTCTCAGACCTTATCGAGTCAAGGATGGAATGTAAGGTACGAATTCAAATTGGGAATCTTCGCGGAATTCCGTCGGGAAATTGATGCAGCACTGAGAAACTATGAGAGCGCGTACGAGACTCTATTCGGCCAAGAAGTGTTTGAATCTATCGCTGGCTGGAATCCTCGATTCAATGATGCACGTTTGCTTGGGGATGCGCTCGCTATACGCATCATACGCTGCCTTTTGTGGACGGGCCAGACTACCCTTGCGGTGCGCGCATGGGGCAATCACCGAAGACGCTCACACGACATCCTGAATCGCCGTGGCAAAGGAACAAAAAATTATGGATGGGAAGCTTGGGAGGCTCGATGGTCTATGGTCATGGCGCAGCTCATACGCCAGGCCAGTATCCCTCAATTTACCTCTGTTGGTATTCCGCAGGATCAATTTCAGCAGCAATATTCGATTTTTGTCCCACTTAACTCTACTAATTCCACATTGGACGCTGAAGTGCCGTGGGAACAGCTTCATCATGAGGGCTACTGGTTGTATCGAGCAGCCAAGCATGCTAATTATCGGCGCATCATGGCCGAGCAGATTCCCGAGGAAGATCGAATGCCGCCCGGACAGTCTCCTGCTTCCCAGATAGCGAATAAGTCTTACATGTATGACACATATTTGGTACCTGAACCGCATGTTGAAGCACCTAAGTCGGGAACAAGCGGCTTCGATCACTCTGCGTGGAGACTAGATGCGCTAAAACCAGCATTGGAAGAATTTGCTAAGCGTGATCAGCTACGAAAGACGGAAAGCATCACCTTGGAGATAGCAGAAGAATATATGCGCGTGGGCTCATGGCAAAAAGCCTATTCGATTCTCAAGCCGTTGTGGCCAACCTTGACATGGCGACGCACAGGTTGGTGGCAGCTCATGCAAAAAGCCGGCTGGGCTTTGAGAGAAAGTGCCTCGCACGTGAATGACGCCGAATTGATGTTGCGGATCGACTGGGAGCTGCTTAACAAAGGTAAAGAATTCCCTAAACTAGATCACATGGTTAAAATTAGCTCTCGGGCTCGCTATCCTCTAGTTTATGCTCACCTTCTGATTATCTACTAGCTTTCACATCCCGGCCTGAATGGCACTACGATATACATAGAAGCCTAGAAGATATTCCCCTGACGAAACCAAAGCCATCGGTTGCTCTGCTTGCAGAGGATATTGTCTCATGCGGTAAGATGCAGCTTCAAGATTGCGCGATCTATTGTGCTAAGATTTACCCACCAGTGACGGCGTCGTTCGTTTTCCAAAAGGCAGAAGGCAATGTTGGCGAGCCATTGAAAGGACAACTTGTTGTGACATCGTGCGCTCACGCATCCTCAGCGCCCATCAGATTATCTGAGGTCAAAGTTGCTTTCGAAGGTTGCCTGCGTCCAATCAAGCTCCAGTCAACCAACGAGGAAGTCGATACCGTGACGCAGTGCACAATATCGGCGCTTTCACTGCGTGATCCAAGTGTTTCGGCAGACCAATCGTCTATCCTGTCACCTACCAGTGGCCTGACGGCGTTGACTGGCCTCGCAGACCTAACTATTACTCCATCGCAAACAAGGGTGTATGAGTTGACATGCATCCCCAGAGAGGCGGGAGAATCGCGCGTGGCTTCAATCACACTAGTAATCGACGAGGAGAAGTTTGACCTTGCAGTTGCTATTACTGACATAAACCCAACTGAATCATTTTGGTGGCAGACTACCTCGAAAGGTCCTACCCGCCGTCGCGTCGGCAAAGGTCGGGATCCTGGCCGGTGCAAGATACTTCCAAAACCGCCGAAGATACGGATATCCGTGCTGAACATGCGCGATACATACTACACAAATGAGGAAATAATTCTCAAGATTGACCTCCACAATGAAGAAGATGAGGCTGCAGAAGTCTCGGCGGAAACGAGACTCTTTGGTCACCCAGACTCCAAAGCCAAAATCCGCTGGCTAGATGAGACGACATCCTCCGACACGCCGAGCTCTGGTCAGAGTACACCAATTGAAGGGGTATCGCATTTCATCAAACGGCCAATAGGCCTGATGGAAAGCTCGAGTCACCAAGAGTTGGCAATCGTCCTAACCGACACCAATGATGCCTCGAATTATGATCTCGACATATCTACTGTTTACAACCTCGTGTCTGATGTCCAGACACCCATTATCGCAACAACGCGGGTCAATTTGTCCATAATTCGACCATTCGAAGCTAATTATGAATTTCTCCCCCGGCTCCATCCCGAGCCCTGGCCGGACTTCTTTACTGTTGATGATCACCTGCTCCCCAGTGGAGAGGTTTCGACCCCGGGGGGCCTCCAGCAGCGATGGTGCCTGAATTCCAAGGTCGTCTCTTTTGCCTTGGAGCCTCTCGTCATTGAGAAAATGTCGGTTGTGATGCTGGGACTCGGTGGGGCTTCGACCTGTCATATCGGCTCGGAGGAGATTGTTAGCCCCGAAGCTGTAGAGATTCAGCCCGAAGAACTTAAAGAGTCCAATTTCACTCTTGACATCCAGAAAGAGATTCTCGGCGACCGACGACCCACTTCCCTGAATTTGGCGCTTGAGATACACTGGAGGCGTAGCGCAGCCGAAGATGATGGTTCCAACCCGGCTACTACCACTTCGACCCTTGCTATCCCTCGATTCATGATTCCGACCGGGGAGCCTCGAGTGCTGGCCTCAGCGAGGCCTTCAAGTGCTCTTTCCGGCCTGATTCACCTGGAATACACCTTGGAGAATCCGTCGATGCACTTCCTCACTTTCAACCTGACCATGGAGGCCAGCGAACACTTCGCCTTCAGCGGACCGAAGACGATAGTGGTCCAGTTGGTGCCCTTGAGCAGACAGACAGTTCGATATAACCTATTGGCATCAAAGCGAGGATTATGGATCCAGCCGCAGCTTGTTGTCGTCGATACATACTTCAACAAGACTCTTCGAGTTCTACCGACGGAAGATATGCGGACGGACAAGAAAGGCATTTTGGTCTGGGTAGATGCTGACGACTAGGTCCAGCTATGCAATTGATCTATGTGAATTGATATATGAGGTAGCTAGATAAAGATTGATATTCAGGTTAGCTCAGCGGAGATTTGTGTGCAGTACGTCCAGGATGATTCATTTCGGACACAGTGCGGAATGTGCCAGGTGCATAAATCCGATATGATGAAGTGAGGAAGATGAGGAAGATGAGGAAGATGACGATGACTCTGTAAGAAACAGCCATGCACGTGATCCCAGCCCTTATCACGCATTACCCGCAATGGACTAGTGGCGGCGATCGGAGCGACGCCCGCAGCTCCCCATTCCGTTAAGCGGAGAGCGAGTGAGCAAGTGAGCGACTCTCTCTCTCTCTCTCTCTCTCTCTCGCTCTCGGAAGAGCTGCGCAGATTCCCTCTTCCCACTTCGCTCTTACAACCTCCCCATCTTCTCACGCTCGCTCCTTAATCTCCGGCTACTAATCGGTCATTTGTCATTTATTTTCCGCCTCTCTCAGAAATCTTTCCCACCAACACCATCGTTATTCCAGACCCCATTTGCTTCCCCTCCTCCTGCTCGTGCGGCTGCTTGGTAGTGCGACTGCTATCTGTTCGCTCCAATCGCAGCCATGACCCAGCAGGCTTTAATCCTCGACACGATCCTTGGCATGAAAAGGGCCTTGCACAAGGAAAATGATTGTATGTCTACGCCTTCCAGGTCTCGGTCTTTTTGTCGTTGACAATCTGGCTAACCGTCCTCCCCTCTCGCTGTGGTAGATTCCGGTCCTGACGATCCTATCACCCAACCGACAAACCGAGGCAACAAGCTTCGGGCAAACGCGAAATTCGTTCGAGAGGGAGCACTAGGATATATCCATCCGGAGGATCTTTACAAGCAGGTGAGTCGTTCTTCACTGCGTCTCCTCTCTCTCGATCATCGTGCGTCGAATGATCGTGAGCGATGGAAGGCAGGATGGATACGGAGAGAGCGCGAGCAAGCAGGCTGATCATCGCTGGGCCTGGACTTTATAGAAAATCGAACATGGAGGGTTCACGCGCTACATCCTCCAGCGAAATCCGGTGCGCTACGATTCCGAAGGTGATGAGCTCGACGACGACGACGAAGATTCTGAGGCAGATGCCGCGGCAGCGGAAGAGAATCCATTCTCTGAGATCGCGCTCGAAAGTGAGAGACTTCACCCACCCTGCCTACACCGACCGTGCGAGAGAACTTGAGTGGCTAATCGTTTCACGTCGTTTGTTCTCAGATTTTATGTGCCCGTTGAAGCATCCTTCTGAACTCCCTACGCATCCTTCCATGTCGCATGCCTATACCTCGAAAGCAATGTTGCATATGACCCAAGCAATTGAAGCCAAACTTCGCCAGGAAAGAGCATTGTTATGGCGGGCGAGAAATCTGCACAGGCAGTTTTTGGGCGATAGTTCTTGGATGGCGTGCGGTATGGTTGAGACGTCGGCGGATCGCTGGATCTTTGAGCCCCGAGTGGCTAGCACTACACATAGTCCGTCTTTGAATCAGAGCGGACCGAATGGCACAACTGTATCACTACCGACAAGCAAACCTACAACGGAAACGGATGGCACACAGGGATCCTCGTCGGTCACCGAGGCATCACAGCCGTCTCATGCCGCTCAGAATGAGACCTCGCAGTCTCAGCCTGCTGCTGACGAAGACGTGGAGATGACCGATGCCCAAGATCTCCGCACGAACCAGGTGCATCATCTCCCAAAGCTCGACCAGACTAGGGAACCTAAATCGGAGGAAGTCGACACGCCCGTGGGCGACCTGCCCCATCACTCAGAAACAACCAAGCAAGAAACACAAGTCAATGGCAGTCACTTTGCGAACAGCACTAAGATAGTTGAAGATCAGCTGCCTGATTCCGATCGCACTCTTCACCGGGAAGGGAAGGCAGACTCGAACAGCAATGGTACCGCCGGTGTTACACAGCCAGACCCCGAACATCGACCCGATGCTGCGGGCGACGATACGGATAAGGACGCAGAGATGCAGGATGATGGAATATCGCCGGAGCCTCCTCGACGCATGACAACACGTGCGCAGACCAACGCTGCCAATCCTCATCAGGACGACGAATCGGGGCCTCTCTCCCCTGCCCCATCCGACGACACTCTGGGCAGCCTACCCACACCCCACCCACTGTTCCTCATTCCCGAATCTGTCCGACCCGACCCCAATTTCGGCCTACCCCCCAACGAAGCCGAAGACACCCGCCGACTGCTATGGTCCTATGTTCAAAAGCAAGAGGAGACCGTCCGCGGCTTTGAGCACATGCTGGACTGCCTCCTCCGCGCCTGCCGCATGAAGGAAGACGTACTTGAATGGTGCAAAGCCGAAGGCCACGTCGGCGAATTGAGCGACGGCGAAGACTGGTACGACCGTGAGAAATGGGGTCTGGCCGAAGGAGAGGACCTCAAGAAGGGCGCGGACGAGGACGAGATCGAACCTGTCGAAGAAAGTCGGACATCGAACAAGAGAGGCAGAGGTCGACGAGCTTAGCCTTTTTCCTCGTCTATTCGCTCTCTTCTCTCTCACGGCCGACCTCTTCTTTTTCACCCATTTACGAATGCAGGCATCGATTCTTATATTAACATCATCATAGAGAACCCATAGCGCGGAGTTGGCGGCGTTTAAACTTTTTGAGGGACTGATATATCCATGACATGATAATGGACTGAATGATGACCAACCTTTTTCTTCATGTTCCAATTCTCTGCAAGGTTTGCATGTAGCGCACAAGCACACTGCATACACACACTACATACATACATATACTTGATACCCACCCCCCAATCCACTTACCCTCCTATCATTTATCAAACTCTTATCTATCATCACTTCGGAACGTACGGGCACGTGTCATTTCGTACTCAATGGTCCCGATCTATACAATCAATAACCATGAGATCTAAATCGAAGCTCGGAAAAAGAAAATACAATAAAAGAATGAAACAATTTTTTTATCGCCCGGGTTTTAGTGTAACTCTTCCAGCCTCCGCTTGGTCTCTTACTTTCGGCTCGTATGGCGTCGTCCGACGCCGTCGTTTTTTGCATATTATGTTTTTCTGTTGTATGTATGTCATTTGAGGGTCGAGGAATGGTAGTCATGTATCGTTGAGGAATACTGTGGGTTAGGAGGGTGCAGTTTCCATTCCCTCTGCTGGAAGGACTGCCCGGTGAGGTTGTCCTAGGGTGGGTTTATCTGGTGAGGGAGGCAGTGGTAGGCAGGTTGATGGTGGGTGTGTAGTTGTACCGAATTGATGCGAGAGCGAGAAGGGGATAGTGAGTGTTGAAGACGCCCTACAGCTCCCTTTCATTGGCGCGTTGGGGGAAAAGAAAGAGAGCTGCATCGCGTTCCGCATTGGATGATGTATGTCAGTGCCAGGAAAGCCCGCGGTGGGAGGGATACCACCCCCTTCCTCTGACAGAACATCGGATATCGAAGTGCCTGTTAAGGTACTGACTGAAGTTACAGGTTCTTCTTGCCGCCTTGCTTGCCCTTGGCACGCTCGCGCTCGCGCTTGGCGTAGATTTCGGCAGTGAAGGGACTACATGAGGATGGTTTGTGGTTAGTTGCGTGATTAATTGCGCAGGACCAGTTTGTAAGGAATATCTCTCCAAATCAAGAAATCGCATATGGGCTGAGAGTGTTCGCGTGGGACAGTGAGGAGGGAGCCTGGGGTTCGTCGCGTTTGGGATGTTCGAGTATAGGCTGGCTGATAGTTCGTGTGGTATTGAGGTCCCCAGAGCATGATGCGTGAGGAAAACATGTGGGGGAAGGGGGTGGGTTCGGAGAGAACAGTTGGATGAAAGGGAAATACTTACTCCTCCCATTGGAGAGCGAACCAGTAGAGAATAAAGACTTCGGCGGTCAGGAAGAGGCCCGCGACTTTACCTCTGTACAGGGCTACACCCAAGAAGTTGAGGGTGCTTCCCCAGTACATCGGCGAGCCGGTGACGTTGAAGGGAAACCCAGTGACGGGAGCATCCATGAGGATTCCGAAATAGTCTCCTAAGTAGGTGCCGGTCACACCGAGCGCCCACATGCTGGATAAGACGAGGACCGAGCCGACGGAGAAGAGCAGCCCGCCGAGGACGGGTTGGTGCACTGGGGCATAATAAGGCTGGTCTGCCAGGGCCGTTTGGTAGACGTGGTCGCGTAGGATTCCAATGCCGAAAATGGTGACGGCGAGGAAGTAGCAGCCGTAGTAGGGATTACCACCGAAGATACGAGTCAGGAAGTGATTGCGATATTCTACAAGACGAGACGAGAATGAGTTTCAGTCATTCTGAAAGGTCGCATGAAGAGTCGTAGATCTGTGCGAAATCTTGCCAGGCTGGCAGGCAGACCTGATTGCTTGGGCAAGAAGTGTGGGGGACTAACCAGCACGTGCAACAATGCTGGATTTGAGATATAGGTCAGTCCAATCGAGAGAAAGGTTAGGAGAGAGAAGTTCTCATCATCAGTACTTACTTCCAAAAGATGGGGTTGAAGGCAATGGACAACGCAGCCCCTACACAAAGAGTGGAGTTGAGAATCACATGCGGGGAAGAACCGGGGAAGAACTCATTGTCAACATACATTGCAGGGATGGTTGAGACAAGTCGACAAAGTTGGATAGGGAAGCCATATTGCAGAAGAAGATGAAACGTAAGACACGGAATGTCGGCTTCGAGAAGAAACAGAAGAGTGAAGAGGAAAGGAAGTGAGAGAAAGAGGGAGAGGGCGAGAGAACTTAGAAGTGAAAGAGGGCGAGGAACAGGAAAGACCCAAAGAGATGCGGTGGTGGAGAAGAAAGAATCCCAAAACGGCATGACGTCGTTTACTGCTGGCACCTCTAAGTTACTTCTAGGCTCCGAGGCCCCAACGCTTTTTGGTCTGCATTTGATGCCGTATGTGTACATCCTAACTCTCAGAAATTCTTCTCTGTGACGAACCACTGCAATCTAGCCTGTACCAATCCATATGCACTTTCTATGCTTCAAGTGAACTATGCCTCGTACTGTGACCAATGCTTACTCCAGCTAGTTAGTTAGTTATGCCCTGTTGTTGACAATACTCCCAATGTAGTATAGCCAGTATTAAACCTGGTACAGTATTGTAACATGTTCTACCAGGGAAGCCCCGGACTCCGGATCAACCGAACTTCCTCACCGCCTGCATCTTATCATCCCATCGTTCCATGCATTATCTCATCGTGGTCACCTTAACTTGATTATCTCGACCATATCATATCATAATATCCCCCTAATATCATTCCACTCAGGGGAAGCTAGTTGAATCACAAAAAATCATTGAAATTAAGCAACATGTCAACTTCTACGTCTCCGTCTTGTTCTTGCCGTGCTTAACCCGGCATGGCAGTACGACTGATCCGGGGACAATGGCCCTCAAGCGTCAAGAGTACATCCTGCTGGCCATCGGTGCTTTCATAGCTTGGGGTTTGGTCACCCAGTGGCTGCCTGTGCTCAGATACCTTGTTCATGCACTGGTGCTAGGTGTCTTGCTCACTTCAATCACCCTACTTCTTCTTGTTTGTCTTACGACGCGACCTACAGCCGATGCAGCTTCCCCCGCCCTAAACAAGCGCCCCGTCGCCTTCCTCACCCGCCGCCATTGGGACCAAGAAGCGCGAGGTGTCCGGAAACGTTCAATCTACAAACCCCACTCGCTCTACCCTCAGTCATTTGTGGTCTCAGAGGGCATTGATGAAGTTCTAACTCTAGTCACGCGCGATTTTGTCGCATCATGGTATCAACATATTAGCCCGAACCCCGCCTTCGTGAACGAGGTCGACCAAGTGATCCGAACCGCCATTGAAAACCTGCGCGAACGATTGTTAGCAGAGGATTTAGTCTCGCTTCTCGTCTCTCGCATATTCCCCATACTCACAACCCACCTGAAGGAGTTTGATGTCGCGGAGCGATTGGTGCGGGGAAGAAATCTTACTCGGAATGTTACCGAGTCGGACGAGCTGGATCTGGCCATAGCGAGCAAGTATCGGGAGGGCAACATACACCCGGCAGCTAGAGTTTCCTTGTCCGACCAGAAGCTCGTCGAGCAAGAATACCTCCGCAAAATCACCGTGGGGTTGTTGCCAAAACTGTTTCCGGCGTCGGTACTCAATAGCCGCATTGTGTCCGTCATAGCCCGAGAAATCCTCGCATGCGCCGTACTATATCCTATAATTGCGGCCCTTTCAGACCCAGACACTTGGAACCAGTTGGTGGAGGCTTACGGGCGTACTGCCATACAGGACCGAAAGACGGTCCGAAAGCTGCGGGCGGCACTAGATGAACACGCCTCACCAGCACCAAGATCGAAGCGCGGGAGCCAATTTCCACGTCTAGGTCCTCATGATTCAGAAAGAGCCTTTGAGAGATTGGTGCGAGCGATCCGGCGTTGCGACAACATTTCCGATGCTAGACGGTTCAGAGCCCTCATTGTAAGCCAGCTGAAGCGCGAATCTATGGTAGAAGGACAAGATGCGACCTATTTACAAAGGCTGGAAACGGCCAAGAGGGTTCTGGATCAAAAAGTAACGAAGCTTTCCACGCCTGCAGGGAGCCGTGTGTCACACGCCTCGGCGGCAGCATCCCACTTCCGGCGCAAGAACTCCGCCCCTCGGGAGGCATCGTTGGTCGACGTGATGCATGATGCCTCAGGACTCTCTTATTTCATGGAGTTTATGGACCGTCAAAAGCTGATGTCTCTGGTGCAGTTCTGGATCGTCGTTGATGGGTTCCGCAATCCGCTGGAAGATGATTTTGGAGACGAGGACTCTCCAACCTCAACATCGTGGACTTCCACAGACCAGAATGATATGGCATTGATCAGCCAGCGTTACCTGAACAAACCTGAGTTGAAAGTGCCGGAAGAATCCCGTCGAGCAGTGAAAGCGTTCCTGAACGCAGGCAAGCGAGCCACTGCGGACCAGTACCGTAAAGCACGGACTGTAATTCTGACGACTCAGTCTGCGGTACTCGAGGAGCTCCAGAGCACCTACTATCCTAAATTCAAGAAGTCCGATCTCTACTACAAATATCTTGCGTCAGATGAAGTTTCACAATCTGCGTCTCATGTGCCTCCAAAATCCCCCAGCACCGCCGACCTTCCCGAGAGACGACCGCTTCCTCCGCTGATGACCCGTACCTCCTCACAACCAAGCGCCAAACCCAAAGATCTGAGACGTGCAGCTGTGTCCTCAAGCGATGTACGAAGTATGGGCAAGAAGCTTGATGACGATGACTCTTCAAGACGTTCATTTGATTCTGAAAGGTCAGGTCCCTTGTTCGACGACGACTACGACACTGATCCCCTTGCCATGTCGATTCAGAGTCTTGGACAGGACTCGCAGAATGGCGACAATGAAGCGAATCAGAATCAGGTAATCGAGACGATGGAAGCTGCCTTGAATGATATTATCACAAATCAGCCCGGAAACAGTAGGTTGGAAGATTTGAAGAGCGGACAGTCATCCCCAACGCGCCTCTCAGCCGGTGATCTGTTCCCGCGCTCTCCGCGCAGCTCGGCCGAGTATGCTCGCGCGGAGAATCGGCTAGATGAGCGGGCAAAACCGAGCATTGCCTCGCTTGGACTCATCGATCGATCTTCGCGGCATGGTGTCTTTGACGATGATCTTTTCGCTGACCAGCAGAAGTTCATCGAAGATGAATATGAAGAACCTCTGGGGTCAGACAAAGACCCGGCTGATGAAGTTCATGAAGCTGCGCCCGGAGACTTAGGGTTGACGGAAGCCATTGAGGCGCTCACAACCGAGATTGAGAAGCTGGGATCGCAAGAGTCCGTGGTCGACACTCTCACTCGGAAAGCCGAGCTCACAAACAACACCGCAGAATTGAGGATTCTGCGCAAATCGAAGGCGAGTATCCAGCGTGAGATTCACCGGAAAGAGATGCAACGGCAACAGTACATCATTCAAGAGAGCGATAACAGCTTGTACGGCCGCTCAACGGTCCGGATCAAATCCATCGTAGTAGGGAAGGAGGAGGATGGTCGAGAATTCGCCATGTGTAAGTCCAAATCATACGGTCTTTTCATAGATGTCGAGACATCGAACAACGAACTGACCGACCCCAAGACGTCATCGAAGTGCAACGAAACGCCGGGGAGCAAATGCCAGCGGCATCCTGGGCGGTTGCGCGTCGCTATAGCGAATTCCATGAACTTCACACCAAACTACGCATGAGATACCCGTCCGTGAGGCATC